TGGGGCGATCGACGTTCTGGTGGTGACAGCTCTGGAGTCAAAGATCAGCTCAAGAATGTCCAGCAGGTTCACGCAACTGCTCGTGCATTTGCTACGATCCTTGCAGATGGATCGGTTGTAACTTGGGGCAAGCGAAAATATGGTGGTGACAGCTCCAGAGTCAAAGATCAGCTCAAGGGTGTCCAGCAGGTTCACTCAAATTGTTGTGCATTTTCTGCGATCCTTGCAGATGGATCGGTTGTGACTTGGGGCGATCGAGATTCTGGTGGTGACAGCTCTGGAGTCAAAGATCAGCTCAAGGGCGTCCAGCAGGTTCACTCAAATGATCGTGCATTTGCTGCGATCCTTGCAGATGGATCGGTTGTGACTTGGGGCGATCGAGATTTTGGTGGTGACAGCTCTGGAGTCAAAGATCAGCTCAAGGGTGTCCAACAGGTTTTAGGAACAAATTCAGCATTCGTTGCCATCTTGGCGGACGGATCCGTTGTGACTTGGGGCTTGGGCGAGCCGAGGTTTCCTAGTGACAGCCCTGCAATTGCAGCTCAGGTTGCATATTTGTACTAAGGTCTCTCCAGAATTGCCAAGACATTTTGCCGTTTGAAAAGGCCAAGGAGCACCACGTTGCGAGGGCACTTTCAAATCATCAGTCAACATGTCAGGATATCAAGTCACCCCTCCCTTCGTTTTATACATGTTTAAGCTGTTGGTGTCGTCACTTCGAAATCAGCTATTGTACTAGAAGATTAAGATTAAACCCAATGCCAGTGTCAGTGTCCCAAGAGACCATGCTGAGGAACCCCTTGAGTTTTAAGCTAGGAAAGAGAAACAGAAAAGGAAACCCAACCTGAAGGCTTCCTGAAGGGTCATGAAATGTATGTATAGACAGTGGGGGGCAGACTGTGGCAGACTGATATGCCGCTCGGAATACACTGTAAATTCCATCACTCGAATATATTTCAACAAAAAATCTAGGAACATCGCTCTTTTATGAATACCCATTGCGAGCCATTGTGCGCTCCAAAAAAATACAAAAAACATGTTCAAGCCACATCCGGGAAGAACGGATGAGAGACCTGCAGGGTGATGACCTTGTGTGGTCCTTTTGAAATGGTCCCCCTAGCTTGGGTACATTTTCAAACATGTAGCTTGGAGGGGGGAGGCATAAAGTAGTTAGGGGGTGATTATATATCCCATGACGGATCCATGGTGCTGGTATATATGCTAACATGACTGGGGTATATTGATGGGATCCACGTTACCATATATAGCATACATGGATCCTATGGGTATTATAATATCCTCTTAAACCAGACCATATTTTGTGAAGTTGATCATTTCGACCCATCCCATTTTAGATTACAGTACTTATCTTCCATTTGAGACTTCCGATTGAACCTTGGGATTTTCAAGCTGGAAATCCCTACGATGATTGTTTGACACATTCCCCTTTTTCGAAAGCACATATTTTATCATCCATGTATAGTCTACAATACATCCAGGATAAGTTCATGCAATCCAATTATTCAATGGTTTTTGATGGTTTATCAGCCATCAAGAATTGAACACACTGATTAATATTAAAGCTATTAGAATTAACGCAACCAACCGTTGAAGAAACACTATATTTTAACCTATAAACTACTGTATCCAGTTCCCAATCAAATGAGAACGAACATTGCAATAAGAATGCATAAAATTGATCTGGATACATGATAGCGACCTGACTGTTCTCCCGGAATGATGGTGAATGTCTAGGGAATGGTCCCAAAATCACCTTATACCAGGTTAGTGAATGATTACTGGTTGGTGGTTTGGAACATTTTTTCCCGAGAGCGTCTGAGCGCAGGGTTCTTCCAATAGTGGGGGTCTGTAAAACATCTTCTCATCTTCTCATCTTCACATCTTCTCATCTTCACATCTTCTCATCTTCGCATCTTCTCACATCTTCTCATCTTCACATCTTCTCACATCTTCTCACATCTTCTCACATCTTCTCACATCTTCTCACATCTTCTCACATCTTCTCACATCTTCTCACATCTTCTCACATCTTCTCACATCTTCTCACATCTTCTCACCTCTTCTCACATCTTCTCACATCTTCTCACATCTTCTCACATCTTCTCACATCTTCTCACATCTTCTCACATCTTCTCACATCTTCTCACATCTTCTCACATCTTCTCACATCTTCTCACATCTTCTCACATCTTCTCACATTTTCTCACATCTTCTCACATCTTCTCACATCTTCTCACATCTTCTCACATCTTCTCACATCTTCTCACATCTTCTCACATCTTCTCACATCTTCTCACATCTTCTCACATCTTCTCACATCTTCTCACATCTTCTCACATCTTCTCACACCTCCACTCACATCTTCTCACACCTCCACTCACATCTTCTCACACCTCCACTCACATCTTCTCACATCTTCTCACATCTTCTCACATCTTCTCACATCTTCTCATCTTCACATCTTCTCATCTCACATCTTCTCCTCTTGCCCTCTTGCCCTCTTGCCCTCTTGCCCTCTTGTCCTCTTGCCCTCTTGCCCTCTTGCCCTCTCCTTCTTTTCTATTTCTCTTTTGAAGGCGGGAGCAGGGGCAGTGCCAACGAGACGGCACGAAACGCAACCCTTTCGCACGAAATGAGGGTCGATCGTCAAAAACTGACAGGAAATTGCGATTTTACTTGTCCCGGAGCAACCCTTTCGCACGAAATGAGGGTCGATCGTCAAAAACTGAGAGGAAATTGCGATTTTACTTGCCCCGGAGCAACCCTTTCGCACGAAATGAGGGTCGATCGTCAAAAACTGACAGGAAATTGCGATTTTACTTGTGCCGGAGCAACCCTTTCGCACGAAATGAGGGTCGATCGTCAAAAACTGACAGGAAATTGCGATTTTACTTGCCCCGGAGCAACCCTTTGGCACGAAATGAGGGTCGATCGTCAAAAACTGACAGGAAATTGCGATTTTACTTGTGCCGGAGCAACCCTTTCGCACGAAATGAGGTCGATCGTCAAAAACTGAGGAAAAATTGCGATTTTACTTGTCCCGGAGCAACCCTTTCGCACGAAATGAGGGTCGATCGTCAAAAACTGAGAACAATTGCGAGTTTACTTGTCCCGGAGCAACCCTTTCGCACGAAATGAGGGTCGATCGTCAAAAACTGAGGAAAAATTGCGATTTTACTTGTGCTGGAGCAACCCGTTCGCACGAAATGAGGGTCGATCGTCAAAAACTGAGGTAAAATTGCGATTTTACTTGTGCCGGACTTGTCTGTGTGTAAAAGCGCCTGTGTGTAAAAAGCGTCTGTGTGTAAAAAGCGTCTGTGTGTAAAAGCGTCTGTGTGTAAAAGAGCCTGTGTGTAAAAAGCGTCTGTATGTAAAAGCGTCTGTGTGTAAAAGCGTCTGTGTGTAAAAGTGTCTGTGTGTAAAAGCGTCTGTGTGTAAAAGCTTCTGTGTGTAAAAGCCCCTGTGTGTAGAAAGCGTTTGTGTGTAAAAGCGTCTGTGTGTAAAAGCGTCTGTGTGTAAAAGTGTCTGTGTGTAAAAGCGTCTGTGTGTAAAAGCTTCTGTGTGTAAAAGCGTCGCTGTGTGTAAAAGTCTCTGTATGTAAAAGCGTCTGTGTGTAAAAGCGTCTGTGTGTCAAAGCGTCTGTGTGTAAAAGCGTCTGTGTGTAAAAGTGTTTGTGTGTAAAAGTGTTTGTGTAAAAGTGTTTGTGTGTAAAAGCCTCTGTGTGTAAATGTGTTTGTGTGTCAAATGTGTCTGTGTGTAAAAAGCGTCTGTGTGTAAAAAGCGTCTGTGTGTAAAAGTGTCTGTGTGTAAAAGCGTCTGTGTGTAAAAGTCTCTGTGTGTAAAAGTCTCTGTGTGTAAAAGTCTCTGTGTGTAAAAGCGTCTGTGTGTAAAAGCGTCTGTGTGTAAAAGGCTCTGTGTGTAAAAGCCTCTGTGTGTAAAAGCGTCTGTGTGTAAAAGCGTCTGTGTGTAAAAGCGTCTGTGTGTAAAAGCGTCTGTGTGTAAAAGCGTCTGTGTGTAAAAGCTTCTGTGTGTAAAAGCGTCTGTGTGTAAAAGCGTCTGTGTGTAAAAGGCGTCTGTGTGTAAAAGCGTCTGTGTGTAAAAGCGTCTGTGTGTAAAAGCGTCTGTGTGTAAAAGCGTCTGTGTGTAAAAGCGTCTGTGTGTAAAAGCGTCTGTGTGTAAAAGCTTCTGTGTGTAAAAGCTTCTGTGTGTCAAAGCGTCCGTCTGTAACAGTCTCTGCGTGTGAAAGTGTTTGTGTAAAAGCGTCTGTGTGTAAAAGCGTCTGTGTGTAAAAGCGTCTGTGTGTGTAAAAGTCTCTGTGTGTAAAAGCGTCTGTGTGTAAAAGTCTCTGCGGGTAAAAGCCTCTGTGTGTAAAAGTCTCTGTGTGTAAAAGAGCCTGTGTGTAAAAAGCGTCTGTGTGTAAAAGCGCCTGTGTGTAAAAGAGCCTGTGTGTGAAAAGCGTCTGTGTGTGTAAAAGTGTCTGTGTGTAAAAGCGTCTGTGTGTAAAAGCTTCTGTGTGTAAAAGCGTCTGTGTGTAAAAGCGTCTGTGTGTAAAAGTGTCTGTGTGTAAAAGCGTCTGTGTGTAAAAGCTTCTGTGTGTAAAAGCGTCTCTGTGTGTAAAAAGCGTGTCTCCATACTAACAACAGAAGACTCTGCTCCTCTACGCTCTCGGGCCATCCGTCGTCTAGTTATTTTCCCCAATAGTTGGGATGATGATCCAATCTGACGAACTCATATTTTTCAGGGTAGGTATACCACCAATTAGATTATAAATATTTTAACTTATCCAGATTCATGTTCCAAAACTCATACATGTTACCCTCTGGTAAACTCACATAACTATGGAAAATCACCATTTTCCAGCTGGGAAAATCCACTATTTCTATGGTCATTTTCAATAGCAAACTGTTAAATTACCAGAGGGTTTTATAGAACTGGATCCCAGGGCCCAGCACAGCTGGGATCCTGGTTGACACGCCCAGGTGGGCTGCCGTGGAGGTCGTTTCTGCAACGCCGGACACGGCCACTTTGCCGCCCTCCGCCTTCGTGGCCTTCGTGGCTGCTTCCAAGGCGAAGGCCCATGGAGAGAAAGATGGCTATTGTGATGGGTTTTGGACGACTTTTTGATCTTTTTTTTGTCGATAGCTTTCGGAAGTTTTTTTTTTGAAGGGGTGGGGAGACGTTTTTGGTGGATGGAGCAAGAATGTTTGTAATCTTTTTGGCGGGTTGAAACAGGAAATACATTGTTTTTTTAAAGAGAAACTCGTTGAACAAACCCATTCATGAAGATTCTAGAAACATGGATGGTGGCAGGATGTTGTAGCCGAAAAAATACGTTTGGCCATACTCTCCAGCAGAGCTTTTGGCTGCAGCTTTGCGCGTAAGGTTTTGGCTGTTACATGTACATTGATGGGATTCAACCAACAACTATAACTCCTATCTCCCATAGGATCCATGTATGGTATGATATATGCTAACATTTGGGGTATATTGATGGTAAATGTTACCAGATATAGCAGCACCATGGATCCTATGGGTATTGGATTCAAAGGGCATTCGTGACAATCCATATTCATATTGTCGGAGGTGAGTTTGATTCTGGATCCTGAAGATCTGGGTGGAGCCATGACATGCACCCCGGCACCCCGGCACCCGGCTTTCGCACTGATACTTGGGGATCAACATTGTTAGACTCAGTGGAAGCGCCAAGAAATTGGATGTTTGAAGACCAAAAGTGCGTAAAATGCCCGGTGTCTGAAAGAATGGTTTCCTAAAAACGGACCCAAAACCATGAAAAAAGGAAAAGACAAGGGCACCAGGACACCTTTTGATAGTGGTTTTTGATTATTTTGGGTCCCTTTTTTGGGAGCGCCCACCATGGCTTTGTCCAGGCAGACCTCCCTGTGAAATGCCTGGAAAAGTTCCGGGACAGCTGCGGAGAGTGTGTGGATGTTACAATTTACCATAGCTTTCTCAGCTGCAAATTCCAAAGTTTAAGCCGAAAACTTTGAAAAACCATAGACGTCGGGAGCCTCACGAAACCTTTAAATCGTGACTAGGGATGACAACATTTAAGCGCCTACTGGAGAGATTTTTCTGGGTTGATAATTGATTATAATTTGATTATATAATCATAAGAATATTTTGGAAGGTGGACACTCTTGTTCCTCAGCAGCTGGTTCATCAAACCTTGGACATGTGATTTCCTTCATGTCCACTCTTTTGAACCTCCAGAAAAGTGACACATGGAAACATATGGCATATGATAGCATATTAATTGTCAGGGTTTGCCTACCATCTAGGTGTTCAGTGTTTGTCCCTTGTGATCAGTGAAAATTGATCAGAAATCGACAGGAGTACCTCAAGCGAGAGTACGCTCAATGTGCCTGGGTGGCACGGGTGTCAAGATAAAACTCTGCCTGAAATATCTCGAACATGAAGGTTTTTAAGGATGATGATGTGCAAATTTCCCCAAAGTTGGGTGGATGAACATTCCAAGAGACTATATCTCAGCTGTTCAGACTTGGGTTTTTAGTCAGCATGGTGACTCATGGCACATGACTCATCCCCAAGCTTCAAAGGTTTTGCCGGTGGCACTGGTGCCACCAAACATGGTTTTGTCTGCTGGGCATGTTCAAACTTTATCACCATGATCCCAAATATTCCAAGACTTTTGTCGACGAAAATGTTGGGAACCCCCCAAAAATTTGTCGATCATCCTCATCCTCATTAAACATGTTTTCCCAGAGGCTCTAATCCCCAGTTGTTCCTGGTTGAACCCACCATTGAAGTGGCCATTGAATTTGGGGGGGTCACCGGAAAACAGCGGAGGTTTTGGCTTGGCCATGGACTACCACGAGGAGCAAATCCATGAGGTGGTGCTGAAGTTGCCTCAGGCGGCCGTGAAGAGGAGCAAGTAATAGAGATTTAATTGGATTCGATGGTTAATAATGGTTGACAATGACTATACTGGCGATGATCTGCTATTAAATTTACCATACCCAATGTATGAACATTTTAAGGGATTTAATGGGATTGTCCATTGGATTTAAGGGATTTTTAATGGGCTAGACCCTCCGGTAACGTAGCGAACTGATACATCACCATTTTTTTGAAATAAACCATATGGTCTATATGGTAAAATCCTCATGTTTATCATCCAAAAATGGGCCATGGCTTCCATAGGGTGAAAGAGCTGGGGCGGCGAAATTCCAGAAATGAACATGAAGATTGAAATCAAGAGATTCAGCAGTCGTGATTTGATATGTGTCTTAATATGTTTTGGAACTTTTTTTCGAACAACTTTTATTGAGTTCAATCAAAACGGCTTTCCTATTGTTTTCCTATGGAGTTCAGGGGAAAACAATAGGAAAGCCGTTTTGTTCATCTCCAGCTCAGGGCGACAAGAATCCAACGATGGCGCTCTTGGAGTCAACTTCCCAGGGATGTGGGATCCAGGCATCGATTTTTGGGGCTGAAATGAACAACCCATAAGCATATGATCATGAAATACTCCAGTGATATTATCTAGTGATATTATCAATATTATCTAGTGATATGATCTAGTGATATTAGCTAGTGATATGATCTAGTGATATTATCTATTGATATTATCTAGTGATATGATCTAGTGATATTAGCTAGTGATATTATCTAGTGATAATAGCTAGTGATATGGGGAATGACTATGACTATCATTGAATATTGTGGAATATGGGAAATTCTTGAATGTTATGGAATGTTATGTATGGAATATCCCAGTTACATTAATGGTCTATAAACCAGGGGGTTCTTAGCCTGCCTTTATATATTGGGGATTATCATGGATGATCTGAATCCATGAACAGGAGAACTCTATAAGTTACCCTCTGGCGAACTAACATAGCTATTGAAAATGGCCATTTATAGTGGATTTTCCCATTAAAAATGGTGATTTTCCATTGCTATGTTAGTTCACCAGAGGGTACATTGGAAACTTTGGGATTTTTCGCTATCCCGTTACAAGCCGATGAAATTTTTCGCGTTACATCCCAAGTTGTGCCAGTTGAATCCCCTCTGCTTGGTAGTAAATCACCATTTTTTTTCTGAGTTAAATCACCATTTTTCCTAGTTAAAGTAAATGACACTTTTCTTACTTAAGTCATGGTTAATCACAATTGTTCCTACTTAAATCGTGGTTCCTACTTAAATCACCATTATGTCCAGCTTAATTGGACATGGTGACTAGCCTCTGGTTATTGAACTTTGCTGTGAAAAATGACGTCAATTTTCAATAGGTAAATCATCCATGTTTAAGATGTAAATCATCATGTCATCTATAAATGGGCTATTAAAGTAGTTATTTATGATCTATATGGAAACTGGACATAGTTATTTAACGTAGCGATTTAATAGGCAAATCGTCATTTTATTTTCATCATTTGTAAGTGCGCCATTGTCCTTAGCCATGTTAAGTAATCAGAGAGTAACAACTGGAGGAAATGGGGTAGTCTATTTTCATTGAAGCTCGGTGTGTATGTGCAAAATCTTAAATGATCCGATTTTTACTTGATCCGTTTTGATACAGTGATTACGTTAGCAACCCTGAAAAGCAACGGTTGAAAGTAGTTTAAAGACAAGCCGATGAAGATCATGTTAGGTGATCATCAACCGAAGCCAACCCAACCACAGCTTGAATGCCTCCCTTGAGTTGAACCCAGGCACAAGCTGATCATTGATGCCTTGGAAGTGAAAGACTCCCATCATTTTTTTCAAAATTTCATGGGTCATGAATGACTTAAGGGGTATAGAATGGGGGTTGTCTTAAACTGAACATACTAGAACATTCAATGGTTGAAGCCCCTCATCATCCAAACATGACCACTTTAAGGGGTATACCAGATTTTCAGATACATCCATATCCCCTTAAAGTGGTTGGTGATAAATCCCCAAATTTTCTCGGTCAAATCCCCAATCGTTATCATACTTTACTGGGGCAGTCACAAAATGTTGACTCCCATACATCCCATAGCAATATGTGATATATGGATTATATATGGATTATAGTAGCACCCAAAAAAGATAGAACAGTACAACCCTACAAACATATAGATTATATGTAGATTATATATGGATTATATATGGATTATATATGGATTATATATGGATTATATATAGTAACAACCCTACAAACATAGTAGTGAATTACGAAATTCCATCCTTTTGGGTGTTGCTATCATCATTTCATCATTCATTATAATGTGGGTAAAACAATGTCGTAAACCATCCCCCAGTCATCACCGTTTTGATAGGTGGTATGGTTACCATTCCCAGTCATGGGTGGTAAAAATGGCATTGTTTTACCCCAGATTAATCACTATTAAAGTTGATTAAGATGAACATGTTCACCTAGGATTCACCCCTTGTGTCACCAACTCTGGTTTTTTTGTTCATGATATGCCATCCATCATCCATGAATTTTGTAGAACGCCATGACATTCGCATGTTTCCAGGGCAAAGATAAGCCGTTCCCTAAGGCTTGCCCATCGCTTGTTGGATCCCGGCACTCTGGATCATCTCTGCAGCGAGCAGGCGCAGCATTCCTATGGTAAATCATGGAAAACTCACCAGAAACTATGGTTTCATAGAGTTCACAACATGGCTTACAATATTTATAAATATCATAAGTTTGCAATATGTCAAAAAATATGGTCTAAGCTGTGGTAAATCATGGAAATATATGGAAATTGTTTATTCCATCCCCCGGATTTACACCAGCATTTTATGGGATCATGGCCATGGTCGATCCCGCGGATGACTTTCCGGTGGCCTTTTTCGATGAAGTTTTTGAGGGACCTGGGACCCGAAAATGGCATCGTTGATATTATACCTCAAAATGGCAGCTAGATGGGGAAACATTTTAGGTTCTAAAGATTCTTCTAAAGATGTCGCATCAAATGTGAGGATCCAGGCCACAGGATTTGGATGACATCTAGTGATCCCATGTGATCCCCCCCCGAAAAATGATGGCCAGGGCTAAGGTTTAGCATCCAAAATATGTCTATCCTTTTCGGGACCACGATGTGATCTTTTGGCTGTGCATCTTCACTTGGTAAACCTCACCCTGTCATGAGTTGGGTTCAGAGTCTATGTCAACTTGGGGCATGGTATGTTTTTTTGGGTTCATACTACTAGGAAACATGATATACGACTATATATATATATAAGTACTGTACATATATAATATATATATAATATAATATTACATTATATTTAATATTAATATTAATATTAATATTTATATAAATTTATATAATATGATATAATATAATATAATATTATATTATAATAATTATTATTATATATTATTATTTAATATTATATAAATTTATAAAATTATATATATATATTATATACAATATATATATATATATTATACAATATATATATATTATATACAATATATATATATATTATATCCTATGTGTTTCTACTGTTTTTTATGCAAGAACATTTCATCCATGACTCTGGAAAAACCCGCCAGCCCGCTGCCTGCCCACCGTGCATCCGAAACACCAGGAGCCCTCAGGATCTCTGTCGGCACCGCTTCAGCTGCAGGAGATGAAGCCCGCAGATTTGCTGCTGCCGGAGTGAGGTGCGCCGCGCCTTACATTGTAACCGGGGACCTGGGAGGTGCCAGACAGGCGTAGTTTCGCCAGCAAATATGAAGCAAATATGAAGCAAATATCAATCATGAGGTTCCTGTAGATGATTTTTCTGCCAGATTAGGGTGGATCATTCCTCATATCATTTTTTTGAAGACATGATGGAAGAATGGACCATGTCTCCGTCGAGGATCGGGCGGTGCTTTAGCCCATCATTCAGTGCATGGCCGCCACAGCTGGGCTCAAGAAGTCATGCTGAAAGATTGTGTTTTCGCCATGGAAAAACTGATGGAAATGCACCATAATGCACCAGTGTTTGGATGTAATTAATTTTCTCCAAGTTGTGTCGATTTCCTGTCGAAATCCAATTGTAAAGTTCACTGTTCAGACTAGAGGTTTCGTATTGTCCGCCATTGCAGGCATTGCCAAACTATGCGTTTGGCACGGGACATTCGAACATCACAACTATTTGCAGGGGAATGTTTGCTTACGGGACCGGAAAGGCATGAATGGCAAAGTCATTTGATCCAAAATCACCAAAGCAAATTGCCATGAGGTGAATCATCCACATTCATCCAAAGATGAGGCAGTGTCCCTGCAAGATCTGTGCAAGGTGAGGTTTAAACCCCCCAGTGATGTTTAGTTTATAAACCCATGAATTACGTCGTTATATCCCCCCATAAACCATCATAAACCTGCGCGTGAACTGCCTCACTGCCGGTCATACCCTCTAGTAATTTAACATAGCTATTGAAAATGACCATTTATAGTGGATTTTCCCATGAAAAGTGTTGATTTTCCATAGCTATGTAAACGTTTACCAGAGGGTAGCTATTGCAAAATGGGGGCCAACCACCGGTGCCAACGGCCCTCAACGCCATGCTGATGTCCAAGCGACCTGCTGGTTTTGTTGGCTTCACCGGTGATAACTGAGGCGATGGAGGAGCCCTGGGGGCTGCGAGACACCTCTGTTGGTTGATGATTTTTGTTGGGTTAGTTGGTGAATGGGTGCTTAACCATGACAAATATGGATATTATCCTAACTATATAGTTTATAAATGATAGTTGATGATTTTAAATTTAACTATATGGTGTTATCCTATTATTGTTCTACTACCTTTCTATATTGGGGATGATCGCACTCAATGAGTTCGGGGAATTTCGTCCTTAACCAGGCGGTGGAATACGGGACGACTTGTATCAAGGTCCAGGGAGCTGACTTTGAGAAACTTTCGGTGTCTATGTCTGAGAATGGTAGATATCCACCATTCATGGCAGGTTTTTAGAGGGAAACAATTGGAAAATATGGGGAGATGATGATGATGATGATGAAGAAGTTGACTGGTCATGTCTTTTTTTCTTTAAGCGTCGAAGTCCAGCAATGGATTCCATTGGTGAAACGTGCTGAAGGTTCTGGGTATTCTACAAGTACTTTACTCCTTGGGGTTGCATTCCGGGAATCGTTTTAGTGGACAATAATCATATAACAATCATATCATACCCCAGATATATGATATATATATATATAATAGTATCGAATATCCCCAATTCTATTACGATGCCTGTGTCCTGCGCCTCCACTGAGCAGGGCAGCTCAATGGAAGTGGACGATGGATCAGGGAGCATTGTGGTCTTGGCGATGGGGAACAATTCAGATGGACAACTGGGATGTGGGGTCTTCTGGCTGCCAAACAGCTACCCAGTAGCTACCCGGTTACCCCCTGGAAACATCTGGAAAGCCGCAAGTTTTTGTTTTTCAAGGATCTATGGAAATGAAGTGAGGTCCCAAACATTGGGGGTATTGCATTAGCGTGTGGTATAGGGAGGGAAGCCAATAGTGTCGCAGGGGGGTGCCCCAGTACTTGTAGTGGGTATGAAACCACAATGAGAGACATGTTTGGTGGTTTGACTTGGGATACCCTAGTGGATTTCCAATTGCATCCAATTGCCAGGTTTGATTACCGGAGGGTAAATCCAAGGTCAAAGGTTTCCTATCAATTTTTCCTTCACCCATCCATTGAAGGTGCTGGATGATGATGACGACAAGGTCTTTGAACCTACTTCACTGGGCACCTTCGAAAGCATCGTGGTGCGCAACTGTGCGATGTCTTTGAAGCACTCCATGTGGCATTGGCTGAGCAAAAGACTGTACGATTGATTTGGCAATGGATCAATACCTATTATATACCCTCTGGTAAACGTTTACATAACTATGGAAAATCACCATTTTTAATGGGAAAACTCACTATAAATGGCCATGTTCAATAGCTATGTTAAATTACCAGAGGGTATATTAGATTAAACATATGTACATTTTTGGGTGGCATGGAGATCCATAAATCCATCAGCTATTTTGCCCATTTTGTTTCCCTCTTTTGGTGGACGTTTGAGTCAAACTTCTGTCATAGTGTCGAGAGAGATGACAGTTGAATTAAGGCTTACACTTGGAAGGACCACATTTTGATACATTCGAATCCCCTTAAAACTGGATCTATATATTCTATATCAATGCTTATATATATACACATAATCAGAAATGTTATATAAATTCTTCATTCTACATGAATAAACGATCATATGAATGATTCTATGATAGATAAGTCCCAAGTGACTATACCGTCAGGTGGTTGACCGCTGATGGTATCGTCTACAGTGCAGGGGACAACGACTCGGGTCAGTTGGGACGGTCTGGAAAGAGGACGAAACCATTCAAGATCGAATCCATTGAGCATCTGCCGGTGGAAAGCGTGGCGGCTGGGAATGGCTTTACAGCAACTCAAAGAGAAAATGGCTTTGGGCATATGCATCTTTTTGCATTTTTTTTTACATGTCTTTTTTTTTCTCGCAGCTGTTTACGTACATAATTTTACTTCTAACCCCATGAATAAATGATAATCAATAGAACCATGTTGATCATGGGTTAATCTATGGTCAAACCCTCATAAATTCCATGAAATTCCATGAAATCCCACGAATTCAATGATAATTCCCATAATTTCCCATAAATCCCCAATAAACACCATAAATCCCCATAATTTCCAATAAATTCCCATAACTTTCCATAAATCCCCATAATTTCTCATAGATTCAGCCATATAAATGCTAGCTTTCATAGCCCAAACGCTCCCCCGCTCCAACGTGAAAAGTTCAGGTCCTGGCGGGCAAATTGGACGGTCGTCTGATGGGCGTGGGCCGCGGAGACCGCGGACAGCTGGGAATGGGCGGTGCGGATCGAGACGACAAGGAGCGGTGCAGTGAGCAGTTCGCTCTTGAAAATGGACAGTGATTAACAATTATTGACTATAGCTATAGCTATTGATACTATAGCTATTGGTAATGAATAACATTTATAGTTGACTATTGACTAACATTTATAGTTGACTATAGCTATTGGTAATGACTAACATTTATAGTTGACTATTGACTAACATTTATAGTTGACTATAGCTATTGGTAATGACTAACATTTATAGTGGACTATTTACTAACATTTATAGTTGACTATAGCTATTGGTAATGACTAACATTTATAGTTGACTATTGACTAACATTTATAGTTGACTATAGCTATTGGTAATGACTAACATTTATATTTGACTATTGACTAACATTAATAGTTGACTATAGCTATTGGTAATGACTAACATTTATAGTTGACTATTGACTAACATTTATAGTTGACTATAGCTATTGGTAATGACTAACATTTATAGTTGACTATTGACTAACATTTATAGTTGACTATAGCTATTGGTAATGACCAGCATTTATAGTTGACTATTGACTAACATTTATAGTTGACTATAGCTATTGGTAATGACTAACATTTATAGTTGACTATTGACTAACATTTATAGTTGACTATAGCTATTGGTAATGACTAACATTTATAGTTGACTATTGACTAACATTTATAGTTGACTATAGCTACTGGTAATGACCAACATTTATAGTTGACTATTGACTAACATTTATAGTTGACTATAGCTATTGGTAATGACTAACATTTGTAGTTGACTATTGACTAACATTTATAGTTGACTATAGCTATTGGTAATGACTAACATTTATAGTTGACTATTGACTAACATTTATAGTTGACTATAGCTAACATTTATAGTTGACTATTGACTAACATTTATAGTTGACTATAGCTATTGGTAATGACTAACATTTATAGTTGACTATTGGTAATGACTAACATTTATAGTTGACTATTGACTAACATTTATAGTTGACTATAGCTATTGGTAATGACTAACATTTATATTTGACTATTGACTAACATTAATAGTTGACTATAGCTATTGGTAATGACTAACATTTATAGTTGACTATTGACTAACATTTATAGTTGACTATAGCTATTGGTAATGACTAACATTTATAGTTGACTATTGACTAACATTTATAGTTGACTATAGCTATTGGTAATGACTAACATTTATAGTTCACTATTGACTAACATTTATAGTTGACTATAGCTATTGGTAATGACTAACATTTATAGTTGACTATTGACTAACATTTATAGTTGACTATTGACTAACATTTATAGTTGACTATAGCTATTGGTAATGACTAACATTTATAGTTGACTATTGACTAACATTTATAGTTGACTATAGCTATTGGTAATGACTAACATTTATAGTTGACTATTGACTAACATTTATAGTTGACTATAGCTATTCGTAATGACTAACAATTTATAGTTGACTATTGACTAACATTTATAGTTGACTATAGCTATTGGTAATGACCAACATTTATAGTTGACTATTGACTAACATTTATAGTTGACTATAGCTATTGGTAATGACCAACATTTATAGTTGACTATTGACTAACATTGACTATTGACTAACATTTATAGTTGACTATAGCTATTGGTAATGACTAACATTTATAGTTGACTATTGACTAACATTTATAGTTGACTATAGCTATTGTAATGACTAACATTTATAGTTGACTATTGACTAACATTTATAGTTGACTATAGCTATTGGTAATGACCAACATTTATAGTTGACTATTGACTAACATTTATAGTTGACTATAGCTATTGGTAATGACTAACATTTATAGTTGACTATTGACTAACATTTATAGTTGACTATAGCTATTGGTAATGACTAACATTTATAGTTGACTATTGACTAACATTTATAGTTGACTATAGCTATTGGTAATGACTAACATTTATAGTTGACTATTGACTAACATTTATAGTTGACTATAGCTATTGGTAATGACTAACATTTATAGTTGACTATTGACTAACATTTATAGTTGACTATAGCTATTGGTAATGACTAACATTTATAGTTGACTATTGACTAACATTTATAGTTGACTATAGCTATTGGTAATGACTAACAGTTCGTTATTGAAAATTGACCATCTATAGATGATTTATGATGATTTACTTGTAAAAAATGGTGATTTTCCATAGCCATACAAATAATTGATTTACCCATTAAAGTGATGAAATGAAGTGATGAAGTGATGGGGGAAAGGTGGGAAAGGTGCGGAATTGGAATGGCCATGGTTTACTGTTAGAAATTAACTAGTACTTAAACTGTCCAGGGATTGAATAGTAGTGAGTAGTGGTTTACGAATTATTAAACATAACGAATATTGATTAGTTTAATTAATCATACTGTACTTTAGATATAGTTTGTGGTTTACTAGGTCAACCATATCCCTATGATTCTTATTGACTAACGAAGATATATGATTTACTATGGTCAACTAATAGTAATCAATATGGTTAAGTAAACACATATTACTTAGTTGGTTAACGGTTAACCAATATCAGTTAATTGGGTTTATTAACCAACAGAACTATATAGATAGTTTGGATGGGTCAAGTTTGGATGGGTATCTAAGATTGGCCATGGTATTTACGACATCCGGATGGAGGGTGTTCAACATTGTTTTTAATGATTTTGACATATGGTTTAGAGATATCGTAGTAGGGTAAATTACTATAGGGGTTTACATATTTACATCATATATCATACCTATATGGGGAATAGGGAGATAATATGGTGACGTATTCCCTATTTTTGGATCATAGTGTATTATTATTGTATAATGGATCGTCTAATTGACAACGTCGTGTAAATCACTATATCACATTAAGTAAGTAGTATATCCCTATGGATCCAAGTACCTTCTTAGGAAGTGTTTGTGGTATAATTTACTATGATTTGGAGGCTTAAGTACCTTCTCAGACAGTGTTTGGATCCATAGGGTATATATATACGTATATTATAGTTGATGGATCTTATTGGATCTAGTGAGGTAAGTTACCAAAAAGGGGGCAACGGTTGCATGTTGGGGAACCATGTCATGGGGAAGCAACGGTTGCATGTTTTTTGAGGTGACCATGGTGGAACAGTGGGAAAAAAACCCATGGATTTGACCAATAGCTATTGAAAATGGTGATTTATAGTGGATTTTCCCATTGAACATAGTGATTTTCCATAGTTATGTTAGTTTACCAGAGGGTAGAACATTGGAGACTTGATGGGTTTCAACATCAGAAAATTTGGAAAGTAGGAGCCGCTGGAATTTGACCAACATCGGGAGTTTCGCATAACCCATTCGCCGGTTTGGCGATCACGTTTTTTTTTTGTGCCGGCAATCCATGGGGATGCACATCCGGATTAACCATAATCGTCATGAAACATGGGATATGAGTCACCCCATATCAATATTTGGGGATGGGTTTCTCTGAGAGTGGCATGGTCCTCTGGTTTTTCAAATCATTGTTCCTATCAGAATCGCCATGACTGGGGGGTAAGATATAGTAAGATCCAATCCTGGAAAAAGATGGAAAATGATCTTCCACATTTAGATGTGTTTTTTCTACTTTCTCTCTAGTTACTTCGTTTTGATTTTTACATTCAAAACTCCGTTGGAAATCGTTCGTCTCCAACTGCTACGATTTCTCGCCAGGAGAAAGTGAAGTTTTCCCGCGAAGAGAACCAACTGCTGCAGCTGAGTGCTGGGGAATCCCACTGCATTGCCTTGAGTAGATCTGGAAAAGTGTCCTGGCGAGAACCACAAAGAGCTAGCAACTGCATCTGGGGAAGGTGCAACAGAAACACATATCGGATGTGTAACATATTATTATATTTAAGTATATATTTAAATATTATGCATATTATGTTGTCATATTGTATTTTCAAACAGAAATATGAATTTATTTTCACTCAGACTCAGGTACTTGAGTTACCAACATCTTTAAATTGGGACGATTTTTCCACATCGAAGGTTTTGGTGAATTTCATGCTCTGAGGTTTTGGCTTTTGGTGAAGCTCAGCTGCAAAATACTTTTTGAACCTCATGGGATAATCTGCTGCAACTATTCCCATGGAAGATTGACCAACATTGACCCGAAGAAAATCGCCCTAGATTTTCTATCGCATACATTTTTTGGAGATTTACCAACAAAATCACCCCATTTTGGTAGGTTTTTTACCCTCTGGTAATTTGTTGCATAGCTATGGAAAATCACCATTTTTCATGGGAAAACTCATGAAAACTCACTATAAAATGGCCATTTTCAATAGCTATGTTAAATTACCAGAGGGTATATACCAGCACCGAAGGCTTCGCGAATCTGGGATTTTTCAAACCGCCATTCCCTGTTGGCCTCAAGGCATCCAAAGTTTTGAGAAGCCAATCCGTCAAAGAGACGCTAACAATGTAATATGGCCAATATAATCCTATGTATCTCTATATATATAATATACAATTCTACATATATATATATATATATATTATGTATATTATATGTATATTATTATATTATAAAACTCCAATTTTGGATGGTTTATACTAGCTACTTTTGGCAAAACCTGGGGATGATTATCATTAGGTTTAGCACATTGGGTGAGTGTCCTGAAGTTGGACCTGGTGGACCTGGTGGACGGAAATCCCTTTTGGGCTCGCCTGCAGCACCGGGAGGTCGATCCCACGCAAAGTTGTGAGTTGTGAGACTTGAGCTTCCTGACATGTAAACTGGCACTTGCTTGGTTATCTCAAGTTTCACAGTGACTACTGTGACTACTAGTGAAGAATCATGAAGTTCACCGATACTTCACCACTTCATGGCTTCTTGGATCCGCCAGAATGCGAAGACATTTCAGTTCACCCAAAAGGCGACGCGGTGTCGGCAAATCACAGCAGAGTATGTTTTTTTGTGACCAGCAAATGGCATCAAATGGCCGGAAGCCCGATTAAACCCCATTGATAGCAATTTACTCATAGTAAGACCCCAACACAATCACAATTTGAATGTATAAGGGGTCTAAATGTCCCATGAAAATCCCATGAAAATCCAAGCAAATTTCACTGGACCAAGCCTCTACCCTTATCCCATCCCATTATACTGGTTGGTTCATGTCGGTTCAATGTATTCCCACAATGGGTTCTAATTGTGAAAATTATATAAAATTATGATAGTCTCTTTTCAACCAGGTAGTACAACCCACTATAGCAACTGAGCAGCAGAGGTCTATGTTTAGTAGCTCATCTTGGGTTGAGCTCCCCTTTTTCCATATTTTTCTGGTTATTTAGACACTTAAAGCCACCAGTAAAAAATATAGCAATCCCCCAAATAGAATGGGCAACAACAAATGGAAACTTGGAAAATATGGCAAAGCATGGCAAAGCTATGATTTATAACATCATGGGTTTCCACTTTTCTGCATCTTTTTCGGGCTTGCTAAGATGACATAACAATTTTCAAACGGGGGAAAGCCCTATTTTTGAACTCACCCAGGAGAACAGACATGGACAACTGGGATTGGGCGACTTTGTGAGCAGCGCAACGCCGAAGCCCATCGCTTCACTTCACAGCCGGCCGGTGGTGCGTGTCCTGGTTCGAAAGATGTGGAAGGAATATGGGATGTATGGATATCTATGGATATCTATGGCTATAATATATAATATGGCTATAATATATGGCTATAATATATAATATATATATGGAATAATTATATGGCTATAATATATGGGAGTTTCCATGAATATGGAATATCCTATTAAATGGCTATAATATATGGGAGTTTCCACAAATGGAGGACCCCAATAGCTGGATGGTTTAGTTCATGTAAAATCCGAACATATAAATGGATGATGACTGGGGGTACCCCCATGGATTGGAAACTTCCATATTGGATTTGAGAGGGTTTAGTAGGGTTCATATAATTGATAGTAATTTTCATTATCTATCTAGGATTTAAGAAGGTTTAGTAATGTTTCTATAATTACTAGGGTTTACTGTAATGGGGTTTGATGGATCTGCTGAGTTTGTCTGAAGGGGGACACTTAAATGGTTATTTTTTGAATGGGGAACATGATGATCAAATGATCAGATTTGAGGATGCCCTGGTTCTCAACCTTTGGATTTTTGGCGGCTATGAGTTATCATTGCTTGCTGGTTGAGCGGTGATTCACACCCATTCGCGACCACATGCCTCAAGATTGGTTATCTCAAAATTGGTGAACTTACTGTTCCCAATTCGCTTTGTTTGCAGCAATCTGGGATGACAAGAGCTCGAAGGCCTCTGAAAGTGAAACATGGAAAGCCGGTCCATTGAGTGTAGCACTGTAGCAAGATGTACTTGCGCTCGATTTGCACCCTTAAACAAACCGCGCCATTGGATACTTGGGTTCTTTCCAAGTCTGGTTCTGATTCCCAAGAAATTCGATAGGCAAGGGACAATTACACATTTATTCTACGGTATATACAATATATATATATATAATATATATATATATATATTATATTATATATATTATATATATATTATACACCTTTCACATATTTCACTGTAGTGTCCGTTTTCAGGCATTGTTGGGTCCAGTTTCCTTTGATTTAGTCACCTTTCATACCTTTTTTTGTTTTCTTTTGCCCGGGTTTTTGGACCAAAAACCGAGGTGTTTGTTGTGGTGCGAGTCATTCCTTAGCCCGGACAGCCAGCGGTTTGCTTTGGGCCTGGGGCTGCAACGAACATGGCCAGCTTGGCTTGGGAGACACCAAGCCTCGATTTCACCCTGAGCAGGTGGCGATCTACCGGTGATCATTAGTTCGGGGATGATCGCTATCCAAAAAACCATACGGGGATTACCCTCTGCTAAACATACAAAAAACTATGGAAAATCACCATCTTTAATAGATAAATCAACTATAAATGGGCCATTTTCAATAGCTAACTGTTAAATTACCAGAGGGTATCACTATCCATGAACTGGGATGATTGGTTTGACTTAGCGTCCATGAAACATATGAAACTCCCAAAGTCAGTCAGTGGACGACTTGGAATATACGAGTTGATTGATTCCATGAAATCATTCCATAGTGCTTGGTGAAACATTCCCAGCAAATCCCCGGAGTGGCTCGTCGTGGCTTCCGCGTCAATCCATTGACATCCCAAAAGCATCCAACCCAACATGATTCATTTTCACGAACCTATGAAAATGAACACGAAAACCTTCATCAAATTTCATGATTGATGGTATTGGTCAATGCAATGCCTAATTTTAAATCCATTAACATCCATTAACTATATGACTATATGATCAATCATTCATTATCAATACATTAACCTTATTGATGATGGATAAACATGCCCAATACGACACCCAATCACCCCAACAGTAGGAGCTCTCTAAAAACGCCGCAGGTGAAAGCTATGCGCGTGTCGCGCTGTGTGGATGTGGCGGCGGGCAGCCGACATACCTTGGCCATCACAGAGAGGTCATTCGTCGAGGGGAACTGGTGGGGATTGGTGGATAGAGAAACAGTGACAAAAGTGGGGGGGAATCCACTAAGAGTTGTTACCCTCTGGTAAACATACAAAAAGCTATGGAAGCCATGGCCCATAGAAATAGATGGTTTACCATGGTTTACCTATTAAAAATGGTTATATCTTAGTTTACCAGTGGGTAAGAGTTGTTATGAGTTCTTATCTTGTTCAATGAACCATGGTTCTGAATGATCTAACTAATCAACAAAGATGGAGGATCTCTTTACGAAGATTTTATGAATGAGAATGGAATTCACTCAAGCAGAACATGGATCAATCAAGAGGCAGGAAAGTTGGGCGTTTAGCCAACTGTCATGACAAGGTCGGTTTGACCTGAAAAAGATCGACATTCCCAACAGCAATTGGAATGTATGTTTTGTCGGATTAGGATTCATGTTGGAATTTTTCAGCAACAATGAGTCGGGCACACAGACAAACACAGAATGAAAAAACCAGGGAAACAACCTGCCTTACTTGCTTGTGGAATGACCAGATACCCATTTCAGCACGTTTTTCTCATTCATCTTCTCGTGGTGGTGCCCCCAGTGAAATGTGTGTTGCTTTATGTTGTTCATAAAACCCATGCATCATTCACCAGTTCGGTATATCTACCATGACCATAACATACCATAAGCAAGCCCAATCGTATTCACCTAGTGAAACCAACTCTGATATCACAATTCAACTATAAATCCATAATCACCAACAATTTGGTGGTTAAATCCCCCCGTCGTGGTCTCTGAGGGGTTTGGTCTTCGCTTTCGGAGCTGGTGGAAGTGGACAACTGGGCAGTGGAGGAATTGCTGAGACCGAGCCATATCCCAAAGTGGTGGAGAGCCTTAAGGAGATTGGCGCCTTGGAAGATCATGAAAACCCATCGGTCATCGTTTTTTAACTACTTGGGCTTGCAGTTTGGATTCTTTGTATATTGGATGTTTTGTAGGTATAACAGATGGTATAACTATAGTACTATAGTATACTATAGTACTAAGCCACATTAGTTGGGGCATAAAGCCTACAGATATGGTTCTATGTCCAGTTTTTTTTGTGGAACTGCACCCCTGTGGCAGATGAGTTTGTTAGTTCAGATGCCATCTTTTCCGGGGAATACAATATAATGATTACTGCATTGTATTATTTTATTTTATATTTTATTATATTATACAGTATTATATATATATTATATTATATTATAATGTAATACATAACTTAAAAACATATACCATACACGGTTTAAAATTGACAAAACTCGGCAAACCAGTGGTGGTACTGGCGGCTATCTTGGCGTCAATTCGCCCCTAGTTTTTGATCCTTCAGGATTTGCTTCCAGCAAAGTTGCAGAAAACTGAGGCTAGTGCACTGGATATTTTTTTGGCAAAAAACAATCGACTGAAGTTGATTGCAAGATGTTACAAGACAAGAATCAAGCGTTGGTAAGAATAATTGAGAATCAACTCTCCAAAAAGGCTGGGTTTGCCCATGTTTTCCCTGTTCCCTATGTTGAACCATGGAATCTGATGACGAGTGGCAACCCAGGAAACTGTCTACAGGTGGCTTGTGGCCACAGCCATAGCCTGGCGTTGGTGCAAAATGAAGAGTCCTTGAAAGAGAACGTCTACGCCTGGGGCCTAGGCTCCTCTGGTCAGTTGGGGATCCCCAAGGAGCAGTTGCAGGATGGGGTTGCTGCCAGGCGGTGTGGGCGCGGGCGCGAGGATGTTTGAGGCTAATTTCTTTGGGTGGATGTATGCATAAATTTGGGTCGTGTTTTTTTTTTTGACGTTTTGAATGGAACAATCAGGTACAAGAGCTTTGTTTTTCTCGCTCACACTGGAGGACCGGAAACTGTCGCCCCTGCCGCAGAAAGTCCGCTTGGATCCTGCCCTGCGGGTGGTGAGCATCACCAGTGGACCTTTGGCGCATCACAGCTTCCTGGTGATGCAGCGGCTCGCAGCCAACGGCTACCCCACGTCGAATGGCGCGGGACCACGAGACTTGAGCCCTCGGATGGAAGGCGTCGCAGCGGAAGTTTGAAGCCTCTTTTTGGGAAAGTCCCATGATGTCCCATGAAAGGAAGTCAAGATGTTGAATAGATTGCTACCCTCTGAATAAATAAAACATTTCTATGGAACATGTCCCATTTAATACCGTTTAAAGATTTTTGTTTTTTCTGATGATGTTTTTCAATGACAACGGTGGTTTTCCATAGGGATGTTAACCAGAGGGTAAATGTTTTGCATCCACCAAGCCCCATTGAACCTGGACATGCTCGAAAGTTTCTGGCCTGGCTGGCTGGCAAATGCTTTTCGTAGGTGTGGAATCACCATTTCCTTAAATCTTACTTCAACCCCCAAAGTTCTGCTTGTGAAATCTCCATTTCTGCTGACTAAGTCATGGCAAATCTGATCCAATCTCCAGTTGTAGTACATCATGCGCTATTTATTTTGCTTCTCAACCACCCCATTTCCATCCGTTTCCGCAGATTAATCATGATTAATCCCTTGCCCCGCATATTAGATACCCATAAATACCCCCCATATGGTCCCCCAAAAATGAATAGAACTAGTACTAAACAGGGGATTCCTTTGGGGGGGTGATTAGTCTTATGGAGGAAGTGATCACATAATAACTTATAATTACTGTCTTATACTAACTAGTCGTTTGCTAATACTAATACTAACTACTGTATTACTATCAGATACTGTATCTATAATCTAGAATATATTAGCTGTTAATCATACACATTAGTTTGCTAACACCATCTAATACTAACTAATGTTTGAAACCCAATAGGGACGATTTATACCTCGCATTTGTGTTTTTTCCCCACCTGCCAGGTGAGGGTTGTTAGATTTTATGTCAGTTGCCTCCTCCTTCTCCTCCGCCTCCTGCCTCCTCCTCTCCTCCTCTCCTCCTCCTCCTCGTCCTCCTCGTCGTCCTCGTCGTCCTCGTCGTCCTCGTCGTCCTTGCTCAACTGCGACCCGCGATCCACAGTGTTCTCTGCCGGACCTCAACCACGACCATCCACGCCCAGTGTTCCCTGCCGGACCTCAACCACGACCATCCACGCCCAATGTTCCCTGCCGGACCTCAACCACGACCATCCGCGCCCAGTGTTCCCTGCCGGACCTCAACCACGACCATCCACGCCCAGTGTTCCCTGCCGGACCTCAACCGCGAGTATCCGCGCCAAGTGTTCCCTGCCGGACCTCATGTAGGAAGATATGGGACAAAGAATGTGCAGAAGAAAGTTAGAAAAAGATAGAATGTCAGAAAGAATGTCCAGAAGATCTATGCCAGAAGATAGATAGAATGCCAGAAGATATGCCAGATAGCAGATATGCCAGAGAATGCCAGAAGATATGCCAGATAGAATGCCAGAAGATATGCCAGATATATATGCCAGAAGATATGCCAGATAGAATGCCAGAAGATATGTCAGATAGAGTGCCAGAAGATATGAGATAGAATGCCAGAAGATTTGCCAGATAGAATGCCAGAAGATGCCAGAAGATATGCCAGATCATGCCAGAAGATATGCCAGATAGAATGCCAAATAGAATGTCAGAAGATATGTCAGATAGAATGCCAGAAGATTTGCCAGTAAGAAAATGTATAAATGTCATGGTGGGGATCACACGAAGTAAAGTAATTTGGATGGTTTATTATTGGGTTTATCACATTAATACTATCTATTACCAACTAACTAGTACTCAACTATAATACTAACTATTAGAAACTTATAATACTATCTAACTAACACTAACAGGTCTCTTCCCAGTACTCTAATACTAAAAAACATATCCCACCACCCGGCAGCTTCCAGGTGTCCGTTTGATGCGGCATTCCCTGCAGACCGCCATCGACGCGGACGACTTGCTGCGACTTCTGCGGACCCTGCGACCGGGCGAAGCGGGCGATGCCTCGCAGCAAAGCCAGGCACTGGTGTCGCTTGGTGCAGCCGTTGAGGGGAGCTTCATCAGTTCAAACGTGGTTTTAATATGTTTTCATGGGGTTTCATACCCAAAATGGATAGAATCATAGGGTTGAATGGGATTTTTATTGGGATTTGATGTGATTTCATAGGGTTAAGAAGGTTTTTCATGAACCTGCTGGATTTGTCCGACAACCATCGCGGCCGAGGAAGGCGGTGGGTGCTGCTTTCAGCTCCGTCAGCGTGCTGAATGCCTCGTTCCGGCGCTCTGGAAAGGGGATCCCACTGGGAAGCAGCGCTGAGTCCAGTGGGGTAGATCTGCTGAAGGTCACTTTGAGACCAGAAGATGGGGAGAACATGGGCTTAACTGTGGTTCAAAATGTTCATGAAATGTCAATGATTTTGTGTTGAAACACACCAAATTTGGATGACATTCTGTGGTGATTTCTCCCCACTTCAGTTTTTTTTTGGTTTCTCACCAGGTGAGAAAAGCTTACAACACCTTGGTCTTTGAGTTGAACAACGCAGAGTTGGTGAACACCTTGGGTCGCGCCACGGTCTCCATTTGCGATGAGCTCATGAAACACAAGATTCCAACAGATGATCCGGAAACTTTGTGCGTTTTCCTGGTGGTTTTTGGGATGCACAAATGGATAGGACATCTGAAAAATCCCGGTTTACGATGTCTGGAGGTTAAAAATAGCTGGGAACATCATCGAACTATTGATGGGTGATTTTCCATGGCCAGGTTTGATTGCCAAAGGGTGAGTTTATTTTTTTCATATGTTTTCCAGGAAAAAAGAACAAAATTATTACAAAATTGGTGAATTTGCCACTAGACAATTGCTCTGACATTGACTTCCGGGTCAAAACTTCAACACACTAGCCGAGTAGATCGGCATCCCAAATCTGGGGATATTTTTGAGTCCCAAACTCGTCTCATTTTGATGCAAACATCAGGGTACCAGTATGTAAACCTTAAGCCATCAGGCACTGGTTGCGTGCTGGATGTAAAACTCGAAAAAACTCGAAGAATTCCGCTCGAGTGTCCTGGAAGATGTCGTGTTATCCAACACCTTGCAATTCATTTGCCAGTGAATCTAGACATCAACATCAAACAGTTCATTTCCCCATCAAATCACTGGCAAATTGTTAGGAAATCAATAATTCATAATAATTCAATTCACTGTAATCCAACAACTTGTTATCCCCCGCGGGACCCGCTTGGTGTCATGTGTTTTTCTTCAACAGCTGGAGGTTTTTGAACATCCACTTCTGTTGGCGGAGCATCGGACCTCTTTGTTCGCAGGGTTTCATGTTGCCCTGCTCCTCGGCTAGAGATGTGTGATGCAGGTAGATGTACCATCGAGCTAACTTGAAGAAGATGCTTAGAGCCGAGAGCAGCAATGAACCTGGGTTGTCCCAGATTGGTTTATTTCCTTTTGGTTCTCTTGTTGGTGATATGGTAATTCGATCTTTATTTTACGGCTCCAGATTTGCCAATTTAGGGGGTTAGATCCAACATATGTTTTGGACATGTCGGAACCAACAGATCCGGTTGGTGGTTTGGAACATGAATTTTATTTTTCCATTCACTTGGGAATGTCATCATCCCAACTGTTACTCACTCATATATTAAGGAAGGGGTACATAGGTCAACCAATGTCAACCACCAAGCAGATCTCGTCGCTTATTGGTTGTGGTTGTGGATGGTTATGGTGCCAGGAATCCCAAGGGAACGATGCCCATACACCGTGTTTGGACGGCACATATCTACCAGGTGCCCCGCTTTGTCGATTTTTGTCCATTTGTTTAAATGTATCATGATGTATCTACCCGTAAAGCCAGTCATATTTACCTGGTGAAATAACCAACTTGGATAATTATAGCAAATCAGCTACAATCCCATTCCTGTTTACTAAACCATGTTCACCCCCGCATTTTTCATGGTGCATCCATCCTGATTCCCATATGTTTGATGGTTAAACATGGTTAAACCAGCATTTTTCAATGGCTTAAACCACCATTCCCCCCATTTTAACGTAACATTCACATCCCATGCCCCCCATCCAACAGCGTCACCAAGGCAGCGCCTCACCGCGGCGGTGTTATCGCTGCCGAAGGAATCGCAGAAGCTGTTGTTTGGAGCCTTGGGATTTGGTCATGGTTATTAATAATGGTTATTAATTGACCCAATAATCATGGTTGTTAATCAACATTAATAATGGTTAATGTTAATAATTTGATGGTTAATAATAATCACCTATAGTTGATAATAATGGTTATTAATTGACCCAATAATCATGGTTATTAATCAACATTAATAATGGTTAATGTTAATAATTTGATGGTTAATAATAATCACCTATAGTTGATAATAATGGTTATTAATTGACCCAATAATCATGGTTATTAATCAACATTTTCATAATGGTTAATGTTAATAACTTAATGGTTAATAATAATCACCTATAGTGGATAATAATGGTTATCAATTGACCCAATAACTGGTTATTAAATTACCTTATTCCAGGTTAGTGAATGATTACTGGTTGGTGGTTAACCATTATTAACCATGATTTTTAATAATGGTCCATTATTGGGTTGATGGTAAATTAATTATTGTCTATGAATAATGGTTAATGTTGACCAAATAGTGGTTAATAGACCATTAATAAACCCAATAATAGTGATTAATTATAGACTCAATAATAATAGTTATCAATAATTGACCCAATAATGGTTATTAATTGACCCAATAACCATGGTTGTTAATCAACATGAAAAATTGTTATCAATTATGGTTGACCCAATAGTGGTTATTCATAATTGACCCAATAATAATAGTGGTTAATATTAATATTAATATGTATATATATATATATTAATCATGTTTACCATTATTGATAATGGATGGTTAACAATGGTTAATACTGGGTAATAAACACTAACCCAATAATGGTTAATAGACCATTAATTATTGGGATAATAATGGATATAAATAGTTGGACAATAATAGTGGTTAATAGATGTTAATAGTTGGATACTCATCAATAACTATTGACCATGAATCGTTATTAATAATAGTTATTGATAGTTATTAATAGAAAATAGTGGTTAACAATCGTTATTAACAATAGTTATTGATAGTTATCATTATTAAGCACTATTGTTAATAACTATTGTTAATAACTATTGTTAATATATGGCTTAATAATGGTTGTCAATCGCTATTAACGGTTATTGATAATGGTTACTCTTGGACCACTAGGACGGCTTTTTCTTTGTTGGACAACGTTTGACCGTGTTTACACGGGTGGGGCAAGCCATGGGGATGGCAGATACCCTCTGGTAACTGTCAAAATAGCTATGGAACATTGCCCATTTAGAGTGATTTTTCCATTAAACATGGTGGTTTTCCATAGTTATGTTAGTTTACCAGAGGATATGTGTAAAAATGGGATGACAGAAAAACATTTTCATATCCCCATTTTTGACATATATGGGGATCTTATGGGGAGAAAAATCTTGACGTTTCACATCGCCAATGGAAAAACTGTGGAATCCGTGATGGGTCAAGCCGCTGGCGCATGATGACGATGGTGATTAAAATAACCCTCCATCCCTATGATTTCTGTGGATGGGCCAGCGAAATCCCAAGCACCACTTGATAGATGGTTTTTACATCCCAGTATTTTGTTGGGGTTTCAACCATCCTGGTGACGTGGTGCAGGAGTTCGCACCCATCAGTATGATAAGATATGATGATATAACAATAAGGTTTTCTGGAGTTTGATGAACTTCACGAGTTTGATGAACTTGATGAAGTTGATGAACTTTGGAATTGCTCAATTTTGGAGGGAATTCCCTGGTGTCTTTTGTCATTTGGAGATGTTTTCTTTCGCCACTAAGCGTAACAGCTGAGCCATTCTTCTCCCCCGCACCCAGTGGGGCCCAGGATGGCTGAAGCACCTTCCCAGCGAATACTTTGGCACCTTGGTTTGGATCTGTCAAAACACCAGGATTTTGGTGGTAAACCATTTGGGCAGCCTGAAAGTTTGATGGTGGCTGGGAAAAACATGAAAACAACTGGATCATGGTGAGGTATCATCAAAAGTTTACATGATGATCATCTGGTTGGTGGTTTGGAACATGTGTTTTTTTTTTACCATAGATTGGGAATAATCATCCCAACTGACTAATATTTTTCAGAGGGGCTGAAACCACCAACCAGTCATTGTCTCATGTTGTCTTATGCTTAAGTGACTTTCAGCGCATCAATATCAAGAGCCAGGAGCCATAGCTGTACTGAGCCAGCCCACCTCTAGCAAGTGGTGACATCTTCCGCAGCAAGTTATAACGACCTCAAAGACCTCTCGATACATGATGGGTAAGAAAGAGGAAGATGAGGAAGGATCCCTATTTCTGATGATTCTGATGGAAATCATCTATTTACTCTTTCTGCTAAGCTGCTTGTTTCTGCTGTGGCAGTATGTGGCAGTGGGTTTCTGGTGTCTGGTGTTGGCCAAGTTCCAGATCCTCAGCATGACGCCATGGCTGCTGGGTCCACTATGGTCCACAGGTACCTCAAAAATTGGCTCGCCATAAAATCCACATTTACCCTCTGGTAATTTAACATAGCTATTGAAAATTGCCATTTATAGTGGATTTTCCCATTAAAAATGGTGATTTTCCATAGTTATGTTAGTTTACCAGAGGGTATCAACTTGGACATTCTCCAAACATCTCCAAAATTCTATATCTGAGGAGTAAGAACCCTGCGCGTGGCGCGTGTTTAAACATATTAAACCATTCCATTTGAATCCTCATGATTGGTTTCCCATTATAGTCCACTTATAATCCCCAAAAAACAATCCACCCAAAAAACAATCCAGATAGCCCAGATATCTTCTCCCCCAGGCCGGGTGGTAGACGTTATGCAGCAGTACGTCACCTACGTCTTGACACAGCCCGGGCAGAATCAGGGAGACGTCTCCGCGGCTGTGATGATGCTGAAGACGCTGTGGGAGACTCTGTCCCGATGATTTTTCCCGATTTTTTCCACAAAAAATGGTCGCTTTTCATGGGTTTACTATGGTTTAATATGGTCTTATAAGGATGATAATGGGATAATGATGGGACAATACTGGGATATTGATGGATATACCCTCTGGTAATTTGTTACAGTTTGCTATTGAACATGGCCCATAGAAATAGTGGATTTACCCATTGTTTTAATGGTGGATCTTTCCATAGTTATGTAAACGTTTACCAGAGGGCAATAGGAAAATCATCTTCCACACCTCAGCGTTGAAATTCCTTGTCAAATTTACGGGGTGTCGGGTGTAGATATGTTATATGTTTTGTTTTCTCTTGTGTTCACCGCAACGTGTTTCATGGTGTTCAGTGGCAGCCCAGAAGATACTTGGTCCCTTCAACTATCATTTCACTATTTTTGGGTTTTTTGTGGTTGGCTTTGTTTTTGGGGCCCATTTGAATCCATGTTACTGGCAACTGTTCACTTTTGGAATCGTCCCATTTTTCAGAGTGTTTCAGGTGAACTTTCAAAGTGCTTCGTGTGTCCAAGCATACCTAGAAGGAATGCGAGTGTTTTCTTCGAAACATGTTGTTGCTTCTTGAAATAGAAAACCTCTCTCTGACAACGGAACACTATTATAATATTACGAGGATGTCATGCTGACAGGTATTATTTTTTCAGTGGATTCCCCACATTCTGCCTCAGGACGTCAATGCTGAGATGGTGACTTGGTGACTTTCAGACTGAAGATTTTCTGAAACGTTGGTTCAACCTGCTGAAGCTCCTACGATTTAGTTTTGATCTAGCCTCCCAACACTTTTTATTTGGTGAAATCCCCATTTAGTAGTTGTTTGATGTATCCTCCCTTAAATTCCAGCAAATGTTATGTGTCAATTTGTTCTTGACATCTCCATACTTCCATCCATTTCCAGCCCCAAGTCCTCAACAGTTTCATCGTTTCACCTGGTAATCTTGGAGGATGGCATTCTGCCGGAGTGGTGCTTCCAGAGTTTGGCGATTTCTCAGAGCGATCTGCAGGAACACTACCGTGAGGGGAACCCAGCAATGCCAGCAGGTCAGTCAGTCCCCACTAATAGAGATGATGAAATTGAAAACCATACATATAAACCAATAATATCATCAGAATTATTGTAATATATGATTAAATATTATTCTAATAGTAATCACATTAAATATTATTCTAATAGTAATCACATTGTAATTGTAATGATTTAATATGATTTAATCATATTGTAATTGTATTGATAATGATTGGAATGATTATAATGATATTGTTTTGGCCGTGGTTTTATGGTGGAAGATCGTCAATGAATTCTTCAGATTTCAGGGTGAAGCGTCGTCACAGGATGACAGGGATGTCTTTACTAGCCGTATGAGGTTTTTCAGCCAAAAGTAGTATAATCCATAAATGATTACATTATTATATTACCATCCTGGTTATTTAACATAGCCATGGAAAATCGCCATTTGTAATAGGTAAACCTCTATAAATTGGCCATTTCCCATGGCTATGTTAAATAGCCAGAGGGTATGCTATATTATGGATATACTACTTATTATATGATGGATATCCATAATATGCATATTATAATGATAATATTATGCTTTATTATGGATATTAACTATCATTATATCATGCACAGATAATACATATATATATATATAATCATTATTCTTAGGTGTGTTTTTTCATGGAGCCCCGGTTTTTGGTGAATCCCATGGAGCAATGGAGCTGTACATAGAATTCAGGTCAGTGGCAGCAACAGCAATCCTTGGTCTTCTCCTACTGTGACCTGGCTAGCCGGGCTGCAGCGGCTGGCTGTGAACCACATGGAGTTCTTCATGAACCCTCTGGTTATGTCAAAATAGCTATTAAAAATGACCATTTATAGTGGATTTTCTCATTTGAAATGGTGATTTTCCATAGTTATGTTAGTTTACCAGAGGGTAATGGGATAATGACTGATAGTAAGGAAAAAAAACATATGATAACGCATTGGATTCTGAGGAAAACTATATTTTTTCGGCAAATCCACGCATGTTGAACTATTAATTTCGTATCTTCCCAGGCTGATGTTGAAAGAGTTGGTTTAGATTACCGCGTCCTGCACAATGGATTTGGCGTCAATATAGACTAGCACCATAGAAGATTATACGTGGGTCCAGCCCTCGGTCAATTGCTGGCAAGACTATCACAATTTAGATATGGTCCAAAGACTTTCAGATTTACTTGTGATGTGTTTGTGCGTCCACTAATATATCATATATAGTCATGTATATATATATATATATGTACAATATATATATATATATTAGAGTGATACATATATACAGTGTGTATATATATAATGTAATATATATATATATGAAAACCTGGGAAGAAGGTATACATGTACAGCATACTTGCTGCATTCAAGTCTCTCTTCATCCCCCAAAAACACCGACTCTTTGGGTCCCATGGTGATCGGCCCCTTGATGTATGGCCCCATGGCCCTATGGCCCCATGGCCCTATGGCCCATGGTGTATTAACAGGTACTATAAGTTGTTCATAGCTCATGATCTCCTCATTTTTTGTTGGCTTAATCCCCATTAAATCACGTCTTTGTGTTGGTGACTCAACACTAAACCACAATTTGTCTATATGTTTCCTGGTTAATTACCCATAAATCAACATGTTTCTATATTCGGATTCTTAGTGAATCTCCCTTAAATCACCATTTTTCCATTTTTTTCCATATGTTTGCTGGTTAATTACCCATTAAATCACCATGTTTCTATATTCGGATTCTTAGTGAATCTCCCTTAAATCACCATTTTTCCTCATTTTTCCATATGTTTGCTGGTTAATCACCCATAAATCAACATGTTTCTATATTCGGATTCTTAGTGAATCTCCCTTAAATCACCATTTTACATCATTTTTCCATATGTTTGCTGGTTAATTACCCATTAAATCACCATGTTTCTATATTCGGATTCTTAGTGAATCTCCCTTAAATCACCATTTTTCCTCATTTTTCCATATGTTTGCTGGTTAATCACCCATAAATCAACATGTTTCTATATTCGGATTCTTAGTGAATCTCCCTTAAATCACCATTTTACATCATTTTTCCATATGTTTGCTGGTTAATCACCCATAAATCAACATGTTTCTATATTCGGATTCTTAGTGAATCTCCCTTAAATCACCATTTTACATCATTTTTCCATATGTTTGCTGGTTAATTACCATTAAATCACCATGTTTCCTCATGAACTTCTTGGTGAATGCCCATCTCTGGAGGGCGTTTCCTCGAGGTCGTTATCCGTTTCTCCTGAACGCCTTTGCCAAACGTCGCCTGCTGTCCTTCGATGTGGAGCTGCGGACGCAAGTCACGTCGCAAGAGATTTGGGCCAAGACTCTACGAAGCTTGGTGAAAAGGGTGGATTTAGTGCGGGTAAAATGATTTGTTTTAGATTGTTTTATGGGTTTTAATGGTGTAAATAAGTTTTTAATGGGTTTTGATTGGTGTTGATTGGGATTTCATGGGGACTTTGCATGCGTTTTATAGGTTTTTAATGGGGATTTAACAGGAATATATTATATATACATTTATATAGGGTTTGAAAAAATATCATGGGATATAAGATAAGATTTTACTGTAGTGGGCTTTCATGTGGTTTGATGGTTTTTAATGTGGTTGAAGAATCAACTACTGGGGTTTAAACTGCTGATGGCGAATTTAGTGTTCGAGCTAGTGTTGAGTTTTTTCTTTAAACAAATGGCCTTGCTGAAGTGAAAGGTTGTGGAAAGATGCTGCTCGATTGAGAGGCTGCCGTATTTTGACGACCAGACTAGGGGTGCTTGAAGGTACGGCATTCGAGTGATAGGTTCAGTCAGGATTGGTTGCTATTGTGATCTATTATGGTAACTACAGTCAATACCCTCTGGTAAACTAACATAGCTATGGAAAATCACCATTTTTAATGGGAAAATCCACTATTAATGGCCATTTTCAATAGCTACGTTAAATTACCAGAGGGTAGGTGGTAGTACCACGCAGTACCTTTGATGGTTACTGAATGGTCCTCCAGGATGTTCGGAAGAGCCGAGCCAAGTGGAAGCCAAGTTCCAGCAGCTCTTGATCTACAGAGTGCGAAGAGAGAGCCTGGTCCAATAGCCTGGTTCAGCCAATGGGTAAAGTGTGGCCAACATGGGCGATGCGATGCTTGAGCATGCCATGGGACTTGCATGGAAAATTGAAGGTTGCAGTGCGAAGCAAGCTATCTCAGAGATTTAGGATGATAGCAGGGTCTGTTTGAAAGTAGGGTACCTGAAAATCCCATGGTTGAATACCTCATTTTTCCCAATAAGTTTATGATCAGTTTGGTGCAGAACCTCCAATTTAAGACAAGGCCCATGTCGTCTCGTTCAAAGCAACGCGCTCTGAGGCACGTCTTTTCGGACTTCTGTGGGCAGATCTGGTGGCGCATCCAGAACATGCCTGAGTGTTTCTTGTCAAAGAGCAGAAGTGTCTCCAAATTGGGAAGCGATCCATATAATTACTGTATATACTGTATATATCTGTATATACTGTATCATATTGTTGATATTTTTTCACTGTAAGTTTTTTTTTTCGTGTGAATATCTGTGTGTTGATATTTTTCATCGGAAGACATTTTTTGTGTGTTAAAATCTGTGAAACCAAAAAAATGTTGGTCCTCTCTGGCTCTTTTCAGATCTTAATTGCAATGACCTTGGTTTCAATATGTCTCAGCCAGTCGGCTATGCAACTGGGATCATGATCCCAAATACCAAATGACTTAGATAGATACTTGTATGTATGTGTACGTGTATCATCGTGTATCTATCTATTTATATATATAGGGATAACTATTATAGATAACTATAAACTCTCTCACTCTACATATGTATATATCATTATATATCCATATATATATATATATATTATGATTAATAATATACATGATTATATATACATATGATATATAAACATATATTCATATATACATATATATAGATCTGGTTGGTGGTTCGGAACATGAATTTTATTTTTCCATATATTGGGAATTTCATCACCCCAACTGACTTTAACTCTTATATTTTTCAGAGGGGTAGGTTTTTACCACCCACCAGATATATACATATATATATATATATAACATTATATACATAATATGTGGGATGGGCGGCTCAAGCACAAAATTCGCTGAGGTTTGTGTCTGCCGTTGACGGTGGATTTCCTTGGTGAGCAGGGCATCGATGCGGGTGGTCTGCGATGCTCGGAAAAACATGGGAGAATAGCCGGCCTGGTCAACGTTGACATAAAACGATGGAAAGATCCACCATTTTTCATAGGTAAACTATGGTAAACTATGGTAAACTATGGTACATCATCTATAAAAACTATATAACATAACTATGGACAAATCACCATAGTTTTTTTTTTTTGATGTTAGTTTTTGAATAGTTAACTATGGTACATCATCTATAAAACTCATATTTTTTGGGGTAAATCCCATCTATTTCGACTGGGCCATGTTTACCAGGTCGCAATTTTTGGCCATGTTTACCAGGTCGGGTCTCCGGAATCGTACGGAAAATCACGAAAATCTGTCAATGTGGATATAATGTGGATATCATGGGAATGTCAACCAGGAATCTTGTTCTGAATTTTCTATGTCAGATGACCCGTAAACCATGGAAAGTCAACCAAGCAACTGTTGAACTGTTGGTTCCCAGTCAACTTTCTGATACTTTCTATATATTAATGTTGTCTGACCAATAGTGATATCTTGTCAATAGTAGAAACATTTTTCCGCAACTCCAATTTTTCTCCAATACTAAAAGTCAATTAGCTCTATTTACTTTTAGTATTGCCAAAAGAGTCATGTTCAGACCTTGTCCAGAGGGCATGGCCAATAGTGGACCCAACATGGCAATAGTGGAAACTTTTTTCCCAACTCCAATTTTTTCTCCAATACTAAAAGTCAATTAGCTCCATTTACTTTTAGTATTGCCAAAAGAGTCAAGTAAAGCAAATCCTTTTCAAAGCAGCCTTCACTTTTGATTAGCAAAAGCTTAGATTCCAGAAATCTGATCCAATTACCAAACAGCTGATTTCCTTATAAAACCCTTATTAAAAAAAGCAAGAAAACAGGTCCACAAAGGGTACCCCCTTTGCAAGCCCCAGAATAGCAATAACAAACCTGCACCAGGCATGGCAATAGTGGAAACTTTTTTCCGCAACTCCAATTTTGTTGTCCTCCTTCTCCTTCTCCTTCTCCTTCTTCTCCTCCTCCTCCTCGTCCTCCTCCTTCGCCTCCACCACCTCTGCCCCCACTTCCATGTCCACTTCCGCCTTGCCAACTCTTCGCCAATCTCTCAGAAACCCAACCAAATCCATTCAGAATCTATCAGAAACCCAACAAAACCATGGAGAATCTATCCATATCATGATCCCAGCTATAGATTCCCAAAAATTATTATAGGAAGGTTGACCCCCCCCTTTAAAAAAAAAAAAAATTAGGGGGGGAGGGGGGTAATTACTATTAGGCAGCCAACATTAGTGTACTTTCTAGTTAACTGATGATATAACTTTGGAAGCCATGAAGTATAATCATTTACAATGCCAACATATACAACACACTTACTACCCAGTTAACTAATTCCGTGGCCCATCTAAGTATTGCAGTTGCAGCGCTCTCCCGAATCTGATGGAAACTAGAGAACTTTGTTCTCGAACAGCAGATGTGATGTATTGTGGGGCACGAATTTAGAGAAGCACTTAGTCTTGGAAACATGTGTGAGATTTTAGCGCGGCTATGTCCCGGTCTCTTGCCATTAGACCTCAACAAAGGGATTTGATACACGTTACCATGATTTTGTGGCTCCAATGGTAGCCGATTGTTGACCCAGCTTCCACAGGAAAGGAATGCTTGCATCTGGTCTTGCGGGAACTCTACAGCACTCAGCCTCTTGTCTGAAAGCACTCAGTCAACAAACATGCGATAAAAGGCACCAAGGATTTACCCAAGAAAATAGGGGTATCAAATCATTTAAAATTCTAATCGGAATATAGGAGAAGCACAAAAAGCGGGATATTTTTCTACATTTCTCTGTTGAAAATGACTGCCAGGACTTGAATTCGCATCAAAGAGATTCAACGAGGGCTTTGGGATCAAAATTTTGGGATGTGGCTCCAAATTGTTGACACACCATTTTGGGTGATCCTACCTTCCCATTTTCTGTTTTTGATCATAATTCTACATGTCGCCATTTCTGGGGCTTCCCTGCTTCCCTTGCCTCGCCATTCGCCATGTGGGGATGACCATGGTCCAATGGATGACCGTTTTTCGCCCAGGTTTTTCAGCGAATTGGAGGAGTGTCCTGGACTTCTGTGGTTTCAACCTGGCGGAATGGTGGCCTCCATCCACTCGGAGGCAATCCATGGCGGATTTCTCCGCGGAATGGGCCACGCGGTGTTCGTTCGATGTTTGGCGATGGGCGATTTTATTTTGGTGCTATGAGAGTATCATAAAACTGGGACATCCGAAAAAAAAAGTGGTTTCAATATGTTTCAGTCAGATTTTTGATTTTGGATTGAGGGAATATATCCTGTGGCCAGGCTGACTGTGTGAAGGTCCTATCCCCATCAACAACTTTTCACAAACAAATGAGATATTTGTACTTATACTCGTTACACAACATAAATTTTGAACCACCCAGCGCTTGAGCCGGTCGTTTCCATATTTTAGTTCGTACTGTACTTCTCCCTGTTTGATTGCTTGTGTAGCATGGCTCTGTTTTGATATAGAGGTCGGCTCCCCTGGACTTATCAACAGGCCCCTGAAGCGGCCAATGTGCTCTATGATGGGTTGCTTGGAAATGATTTGGACATGATGGGGGGATTGGGGAAATCATGAAACCTATGCTGGGATTTAATGGTGATTAATGGTGATTAATGGTGATTAATGGTGATTAATGGTGATTAATGGTGATTAATGGTGATTAATGGTGATTAATGGTGATTAATGGGGCTTAATGGGGATCTGGTTGGTGGTTTCAAACATTTTTTTAATCTTTCCATATATTGGGAATGTCATCATCCCCACTGACTTGAACTCCATCATTTTTCAGAGGGGTAGGTCAACCACCAACCAGTATGGAATTTTTAAGCACCAAAGATGGTGGAAGACTAGCCGCATCTGGCCGCAGTCACCGGCACTTCATCATCCCATCCCAAAATGGCAATAATTGCGTAGCTCATGTATAACAACTTCTTACAATGGCACGATATATGACCCTGATGATGATCTTGATTAGATGACCTACTCAAACTTCCTGTCAGTCAATTGGTACTTGTTGATTCTGGGCATCCGGTTGTTGGAGAGAGCCACCTGAATTTGTTGCTTGTACTAATTGTACTCCTGAACAGCTCAAAGCTACAAAACTGTGGATCCGCAAAACTGTGCCCCGTACCTTTTTGGGTCGTACGAGTGACTGGGACAGTCACCAGGGTCTCAAAATCTCAGGGGCTGATGAAATCCATCGGTCCCTTGATATCCCCACAAATAGCGGCGCCATGGTTTAACCAACATTTGATGACCCATCTTGGTCATCAACGCATTTTTTTGGGGATTCATGATTCATTGGGATTTATGTATCCTGGATTGAGGATTCCCATTGGATGCTAACCACACAACATTTTTTCCAGCTGACTTGACCATAGCACATATGATTCCATCATTTGAAAAGCTTTTTATCCCATCTTCAGAGTTTTTTTATCTTTGACCCAAAAAACATGATTTTCCATTCACATCAACCATCATTCTACCCTCTGGTAATTTAACTATAGCTATGCAACATGTCCCATTTAGTTCGTTGATGTACCTATTAAACATGGTGATTTTCCAGCTCGCAAACTGTTAAATTACCAGAGGGTAACCATCATTCTAACCATCACCATATCATCTGGGTAAATTTGATCACGACCTCACTGTGACCTCACTATAATCATGGTTAGGATTCGGGGAATCATCCCCAGATGGCTGAACTATTCAGGTCAGTGAAATATTATAATTTACCCAGATAGTTGGATATATGTGGATATATTTGGATAAGGCATGATATGGCTGATATAGCCAAATGATATAGCCAAATGATATGGCTATTTTGATGTTCACCAGGGGATTCCATGGGTTTTGACACACATCCCCATATCATTCTAACCATGGCCATGGCGATCACAACCCATGGCCTTGGCCGCTTGTCCTCCTGACAGGACTTGGCCGGAGCATCTAGCTGAAGTGGCTGGAGCGATCGTGGGCCTCGCTGTGCCTGGGTGAAGTCACGACGCTTCGACGGTTCGCCCGAGATGTAGAGATGTTATGTGATGTTGATATGAAATGGAAGTCAACATTTACAGTAGTGAATTTTTTAGTGATTCTGAGATCGAGTTTTGGAAGTTCAAGTCAGTTTGAGATTATTTGACTGCGAAAACCCATGGGATTTTGCTGATGGAGGATGGAGGCGATGGGCAGATGGTCAAAAGTAGACTCGCTGCCCCTCCGAGCATGGAGTCACGCTTGAATTGGATGAGCTTAAGATGTCTAATTATGGGAGATCTTACTTGTGCGATTTTTTTGCAAGAGATATTCCATACTATATAAATATAATCAATTATAATGATAATTGCATATACAGTATACATATATATATAATATATAATATTGTATTATAAATATATGGAATTTCAATGGTTCAATGCAACATGTCCCTTCAATTCTGGAACGCGAATGATGAAAAGTGACACTGTACTTAAGTGAGTGTCAACATACAACCGGCCTGGCTTCTTGATGGGTTTCATCATTGGACCCCCAAATGATCTTCTGGAACGGTCCAGCCGCGTCCAAATTCATAACGCCTTGGGGTGGGAGATCTAAAACTGGGCACTGGCGCTCTTTACCCAGCATCCGAAAAGGGTGATTTTTGTAGACCATTCAGGTCTACAATGCGATCTACTTGGATTTCAGGCAGGGTGAAGGGTCCAGGTGAAGTTGAGGTGCACTTAAATTTGATGACTTTATAGCTGATTTACCTAAGAACAAATGTGCTTTTCGGACTTTGAAAGTTATGTTTTTTGGCATCAATGGTCTATGTTCGTTCTATCAACTAAACATTGATCATTTATCCCATATTTTGGGTTATTTATAGTATGGGTTATATATTTCATGACTTTCAGGGGGATTCTGAGAGTTATGCTGTTTGAAATTTAGCAAGTGAAGTGTAATGATTTTTTGCTCCAGACCATAGCGGAAAAACACATAGCGAAGTATTGTTCTGTGAAGTAGATTGGCGGCCCTGAGGTCGAGTTTACATAGTTAGTCCCTATATAATTGTTTTGGGCCTATGCCTCTTTAGCTTTTGGGACAAAAACCTAAACACTCCATGCTTAGTACGTTGGTACTTTGACCGGATGGGTACCAAATATCTCCACCTGAGAGTGGGTGTTCGAGATGTTTACCAGGTGTTTTCCAGGTTTACCCACAGCCGAAAAAATCGCCAGCTGCACTGGTGCAGGGTACATCCACTGATGTACCGATTCCTGGTGCAACGGACCGTGAGCTCCAATCTCGAGGATGGCGGTGGATGAACATCCAATATCCTCTGGAATAGTTGGATATATGTGGATATATTTGGGTATGGATCAATACCTATTAATACCATTTTTAGGGGAATGAACATCCATTTACCAGCTATTTTGATGTTCACCAGGGGGATAGGGTTTTGACCCATCCCCATTTGGATAAGGCATGATATAGCTGATATAGCCAAATGATATGATATTCTGGTGGTTTCAAACATGAATGGATTTTATTTTCCATTTCATCTATGGGATGGAATAATCCTTCCCATTGACGAACTCATATTTTTCATGGTTATTGCACCACCAACCAGTATTGATAGTCAATGATAATTATAAATAGCTAATTATTGATAATCAAACATGATATCATGATATAAGAAACATTTGATGAACAAATCATGATGATAATCCACAACGATCTGCTCTGAAAGTACTGAAAGTCTCAGAGGAATGGAACCCAGGAATTTGATCCATGCCATGGCCAGTACTGTACAAGATCTCTACGAGGTGGCCCCCAGTAAAAAGGTTGGTAAAGTTTCGATATATCATAAACTTGCTCGTTTCCCTAGATACCAACTTGAAATCTGCCTCCAAAAAATGGACCCTACTTATAAAATCTTATAAAACACTTGGAGCCAAGTTATAAAATCTGGTTGGTGGTTTATAAAATTCCATATATTGGGAATGTCATCATCCCAACTGACAAACCATAGATAAACCATAGATTAACCATAGATAAACCATAGATTAACCATAGATAAACCATAGATTAACCATAGAAAAACCATAGATTAACCATTATTTTTCAATATGTATCAAACCACCAACCAGAAACCACCTCTGGAGGACCTGCAGAGTCTTCATCCAACTCTGTACAGATCGCTTAGGACTTTGAGTGCCTGGATTTTTCAGCGATGGAAACAATGGCCCTGAAATCGGGGAAACACCAACCATGGACTGGTTGGTTTGGGAAAATCTATGGTTGAATCATGTCGAAACTATGTTTTTTGCTAGAAATTGCAGGGTAAACAACGGATTTGAAACATTGTTTCCCTACTGGAAATGGTCATGGTTTCCTTCTTTGCTCTGGTGAATTCGGATGAATGACAGAGGTTTTACTATTTTTTGCTGGGGGAGTGTTGAGTTGTGTCGTTGTGAGCAGTTCTGGGACCTACCTTGGAGTGCCCCAAAACTCAAAGATGGTCAAGTAACATGATGGGGACCAATCGGCTTCTGAATGTTTGCAGTGCTTTCAACATTGGTTAGCCTTTACATATGTAGAACATAATTGCTTTACTTACTTCAAAGCTCATATTCCACGTGAAGATATGAAAGGCCTTCTGCTTGGCAGTGACAACCTTTTTGTGAAGCTTTGCTGCCTGAGGAAAGCATGATGTCCGGTACCTTGCTGGCAAGAAGCAACCTGTCCATTGCAAAGAAGCGGTATCTACCCTGACGCATGAATTCTACACCTACGTTATGTTGCACGATCTGGATGCTTCACATGAACTGTAGAAATTTATGATAGTACAACTGCCTTATTATATAGCTGAATGATCTAACTATATCTAAGTACTTCCAGGGGAGCTCTACCTTACCCAGCTTCTTCTGGCTTTGCCACAGTGAAACTCCTCCCTTCCTCCCCAGCGATCTAGCGGAGTTTGTTCCAGCAATCTAAGCTGGGGCCGAAAAAACCACCATTTCAAACAATTCGTAGATTCATCAGGATGTAACATCTTTTACACAGGGTGAGTCAGTACATGCTGTTGACAGGGTATGGCCCATGTCACCTGTAATGCACGTTCTGCTCACACCTGAGATCTTTGTGCCTAAGCTGGTCAGTCCGTTTGCCGGGTGCCGCGGAGGTTCCGTTGGGAACAGGGCGGTTTCAGGCACCAGACGCATTTAGTAATCTAAGCCTGAAAAGGAAAAATCCGATGTTCAAGGAAACAAGACATGATTATTTTCTATGATTACCTGATAATCTATGATAGTCATAATCATAGTCATCCATAATCTATGATTAGCTGACGTTCAATTGCCTGCTTCCATGAGGGTATCATTACCGCAAAATCCCAGGGACTCTGTTTACCCTGGGGTGAATGGTGGATTATCATTGGATATCATTTTATACTGGGATTTATACTGGGATACTATGGTAAGATGAGTCATATTTCTCCCAGGAATTCCCTTGGAAATGCCTCAGGGATTTGGAAACGTCCACCTCGAGGTTTTGCATCAATGCCCAATCACTCCCCCTGCAAACCCTCGTTTACGACGATACTTTACATTCCGATACATTCTGTATGTTGCTTGGTCAAGACATTCTGAACTCTAATCTACCCTCTGGTAAATTAACATAGACCCTGAAAATCACCATTTGTTAATCGAAACTAATCTTCCAACCCCTATTTGCCAGGGTCTATGTTAATTTAACAGAGGGTAACTCATACTAACCCACCACATCTGCTTGGAAATCCCTTGAAGTCCCATGGGTCGGCCCCTTGGAGGACACCGCCCTGGCGGGCAGATCCGGCGACGTGGAGCCCGAAGATCTGGAGCTCTTCATCCAGCAGCCACTGTGCGGATTCTTGCGACATTTGAAATAAAAATAGTAATTAAATGATAATATGGGGATGGGTCAAAACCTATTAGTATCAATTTTAATGGGATGAACATCCATTTACCAGCTGTTTTGTGGTTCACTAGGTACCAGGGTTATGACTCATAGCCATATCACACATAACTGATTAATTATGATATCATCATATAAGAAACACCATAAGTAGTATATCCATAATATAGCATACCCTCTGGTTATGACTAACATAGCCATGGTATAGATGGCCCATAGAAATAGAGGTTTACCTATTAAAAATGGTGATGTTCCATGGCTATGTTAATTAACCAGATGGTAATTAAATGATAGTCAAATATTATTAAATAACACACAGAACTAATTGATAATCACACATGATATCATCATACAAGAAACATTTGATGAACAAATCATGATAATAATCTGAATGAGAACAATATTCAATACTAATAGTCAATATGTTTAGTCAATGATCAGTATAATTTTAGTATAGTCTTAACATTGATTACGTTAATAATAATGAGAATTGTGATAATCATAGTGACTAGTATTTGATCATCATAGTCAATGATCATGATAATCATGAATGAAGATAATCATGGTGATTGCAGTCAAATAATACTAGTCAAATACTTAGTTAATGATAATTATTTAAATAATTGGTCTTAGTCAATAATAATGACATACATAGTCAAGTAATGGTGCTTTTTCTACATAATCCTAGTAATATTGAATAATCAACAATAGTGACAATAATAGTGAATAAGAAGAACAATAACACTATTATGTCTATATGATATATGTCAATAATGGTGATCATCGTGATAATAATATTCACAGTGAATAAATGTCAATCAGTTTTTTAAAGATAATGACAGGAATTAACAATAATCATTAATCATTGTCAATAATGTCAAATAATATGCATAGTCAAAAATAACAATTAACAATAACACCGAACCCAATGATGAAAGTAATAAACTATTAAAAAATAATGGCCATAGATAGTCAAATGACAAACATAATATAATTATGTAGTCAAGAATAACTAGTAATGATAGTAATAATTGCCATTATGATCATCACATAAGTATCATGTTCATTAGAATTCAGTATCTTCATCCTGAATTGTTGCGTCCCTTTTGCACAACAGCGCGCTGATACGAGGTATGCGCAGGCTGCGCTGCATGGTGGCAGCGAAGATCGGATCTCGGCCTTCGTGAAATCAGCGTTGCTCTGCTCCTTGGTGAGGTGAAGAGGTGGAGGGAACGGGGGGGGAACCATGGGTATATCTGGCACTCAATAGGGAGCATTGGGGGAGTTGCCAGGAGTTTCTCAACCACATGATAGTTATATAATTATATATATAAATACATATATATATATATACAGATATGTATACATCATCATTTGGCCATGTTAGAAGTGTGTTTGGAGGTCTAATTCACCAATACTAGGTCCCCTTTTACCACTGGTGAAGCATCCATTGGAACTCCCTTGGCCGCAGAACCAGCAGAATCACCAGAGGTATGGCCGTGGGTCCAGCCTTTTCCCTGTGCACCGCGAACGATTTGGAACTCTTGATCTGTGGCCTACCTGGGCTAGCAGCAAACTTTCGGGACTGGAACTCGCTGAAGGTGGATGAATTTGGTGCTATAGATCTGGTAATGACTAAGAGGTTGCGAACTGGAAGCCCACTACGAAATTCATAGGTAAATCATTGTATAATTAATCGAACTAAATGGTCCATCTAACAATAATTAGCTATTTGTTAAATTACCGAGGGTATAATTAGATGGAAGGATATGGTGATTACTTAGCAGATCTTAGTAGGATATTTGAGATTGGCCATGAAGGAATGGGGGGATTGCATTTCTTGTGGCTCTGAAAACCTCAACCTTGATGCATGTGATGCAACCTGTATTTGGCATGGATTATCCCCAATTCTCTAATATGTTGAGACGATCAAAACTTTTGTAAAACCCTGAAAATAGGGTACCCATACCCTAGTTCCACTGAAGCATCATGTTCACATCTTTTCACCCAACCAAAGCTTTGCCTCCCAGCGTGAGCGCAGGAGCTTGAACAGAGCAGTGTCTATGCCAATGGCTCCTCAGCTGTGATCATCCAAACCTCGGTGTTTCATGGTGATTGGGGGGTCAAAATCTGACTTACCCCGTGAACGATCATGAAGGGTTCAACGGCTTACCAACAATCAGTTGTGATTGAACGGTTCAACGGCAACTGACCTCATCCAGCCGCAGATTTCCTCACCTGAGGTTACCACGCGGATCATCCTGTGGTGAGGGTCTTCTGGCGTGTGGTTCATGCCATGCCTGAGATCTGGCGCCGAAAGTTGCTGCTCTTCTGTACGGGTTGCGATCGAGTGCCCATCCTGGGCTTGAAAGCATTGAGCCTGGGCAAAAGGGGGAATTCTTGTGATGATGGTTATGACGGTTATGAGTTGGCTATGACAATGAGAAGTTGCTTCGAGGTGATGGGTTGGAGGTTATGAGGAATGCTTATGATAGATTTTGGAGTGGTGTAGTTGGAGATTTGATCATGATACCCTCTGGTAAATAAACATAGACCCTGAAAATGACCAATTTTTAATGGAAACTAGTCTTCCAACCCCTATCTGCCAGGGTCTATGTTAATTTACCAGAGGGTAATGGTGATGATATTACCGGCGTCCAAGAATGTGGGATACCCGAACTGACAATTGTGATGGGTTCACAGGTGGCAACGATTTGAGCAAAAACCGCCAGCCATTTGTGGGGCCATAATGGCACCCCAACATGTTGACCACTCACGAAGTTGGGGAAACACTACTGGACGTCTTTTGGGGATTAAAGAAATGCTGGGATTTGACTGCACATTCGAACGCCGACTCATTGACTTCATAGCCTCCTGCTTAAATGGACACAGATTCTAGTAAAACCCCAGCATTTCTGATTTTCGGAGAGAAATCCATGGGTTTTCATGGTTTTTCCACATGCTAAAGGTTGAGCTCACCTGCTCCATCCAGATATTGACTTAAGTCAGGTTTTTTGGGGTGGTGCATGTGCATACATAATATATTAATATTAAGGATTGAATATCCCAACAATGTAATGTATACTATTGTGGAACATTATGTAGGATATTATCATATACCATGAATATCCCGCGTAATTATAATTATAATTGTATATATATATATGGTATCACAGTTCATATCAGGTGTAATTATATATCATGTATATATATATATTATTGTGGTTGATATTCCATTAATTGTTTGTTGATTATTCCATATATTGCTGTTATTTGTCTTATTTTCCCCACTGCATCATAAATAGCTTGTATATGTTTTTTTTCCATCCCCAAATGGTAGGTCCATGATTAAGTTGCCCACATTTATAACTTTTCCTGGTTGGTGGTTTGGAACATTTGGATTATTTTTCCATTCAGTTGGGAATGTCATCATCCCAACTGACTTTAACTCCATCATTTTTCAGAGGGGTATGTTTTTCCCACCAACCAGATAGATTAACCACAGATAAACCACAGATAAACCATAGATAAACCATAGATAAACCATGAAAGCATGTTCTTTTCTAAAAGGATGCTGAAGCGCCCGCGTTTTTTTTTTCCTCCAGCCGGAGATCTCCAGGAACTTCGTGGTCTCCAGAAGTTCAGTGGAGTTGGATCATCTACCAACGGCGGGACACGAAGATCTGGGGGCACGGCTCAGACCATAAATAAATTGATTAGATCTATAAATGATCCATAAATTGATTAGATGATCTATAAATTGATTAGATGATCTATAAATGATCCATGTAAATCATCCATAAATGATCTATAAATTGATTAGATGATCTATAAATGATCCATGTAAATCATCCATAAATGATCTATAAATTGATTAGATGATCTATAAATGATCCATGTAAATCATCTATAAATGATCTATATATAAATTGACTAGATGATCTATAAATGATCCATAATTTATTAGATGGTCTATAAATTGATTAGACGATCTATAAATGATCCATGCAAATCATCCATAAATGATCTATAAATTGATTAGATGATCTATAAATGATCTATGTAAATCATCTATAAATGATCTATAAATTGATTAGATGATCTATAAATGATCCATAAATTGATTAGATGATCCATAAATTGATTCGACGATCCATAAATTGTTTAGATGATCCATAAATTGATTAGATGATCCATAAATTGATTAGATGATCCATAAATTGATTAGATGATCCATAAATTGATTAGATGATCCATAAATTGATTAGATGATCCATAAATTGATTAGATGATCCATAAATTGATTAGATGATCTATAAATGATCCATGTAAATCATCCATAAATGATCCATAAATTGATTAGATGATCTATAAATGATCCATGTAAATCATCCATAAATGATCTATAAATTGATTAGATGATCTCAAATAGAAGATTAGATGTGTAGACCAACCATTTGTTTCTAATCATCCAGAAAATTAAACGGGCCACTTTCCATAGCTATTGGCAATAGCTATGGAAAATGGTCCATTTAATTTTATAGGCTATCAGCTATGTTAAGGTTACTCGGGTAGATCAAGTTGGTCCTCGAGCCAGCTCTTTTTTTGGTTGGGGGGATTTTTTTCGGGTATCCCCATGAGCCAGTTCTTGTCACACCCGAAAAGTGGATGGTTTCTTCCACGCCGTCTCAAAGAAGTCTCAAAGAACTAAGTCGCAAAGTCGCAGGCTCAAGAGATCTGATGAATCTGATCTTTCAGCTCTCTTTCAACCCCAAAAAACTATGGAGAAGAGTCCCTAAGAGATCTAAGAGTCCCAGCTTTTCAGTCGAGACCCACCAGCGGAGCGGAGGCCAACACCTGCATCAACCAGCTGAACCTCCCGGAATACCCCACGGAGGACGGTACCCTGGGACCCTGGGAGGTGTCTCATGGGATTTATCAGTGCCTGCTCCATGTGTCCAATATTTACCTACATTTACCTACATTTTACCCTCTGGTAAACTAACATAACTATAGAAAATCACCATTTTTGATGGCTAAATCAACTATAAATGGCCATTTTCAATAGCTAATGTTAGTTTACCAGAGGGTACATTTTACCCCAAACAGGATCCACAAAATGGCTTAATTCATGGTAAATATTAGGTAAATATGGAGCATATGGGATGCTGTATCCCAATTTGGATTGGAGAAATTCCATGTCTCATTTCACAAATTGGCTCAAACCCCATTGATAGATCAGATCAGATAACTGCTTCTAGCTGATATGTGGCCATCTCATATTATGTGCGTGCAATGATTGGACATCTACCCATACAGGGATGTGACCGTACATGCACAATTGCACATCTACGCATACAGGAAGTATGTGAGTGTTCATGCACATAGACATGTGATGCCATGCGATGAATTATTGTGACATATTTAGATCTGTTTACATACATCTGGATAAATTATATGAAATTATAATGACCTCCCTGCAACATCACTGCAATGATGGTTACAATAGTAGTGACTACTGCAGCTATCCCCAAAGACCGAACTTTTTCGGTTGGTGAATCGGTACAATTTATCCAGATACACAAATAGATATTAGAATATTGCTGTATAGCACATACACATAGATTAATAGCACGCATGATTGTACACGTAGATGTACTGTATATTACAATATATTACAATTATTTTCTATTAAATCATAGTATACATAGATTAACATAGACCCGGGCAAGCCGGCGGCGGAAGTTTCCCAAACATAAATGACCTATAGTTCAAAGACAACCTGTCCCGACCGTGTCCTTCCCTCGACACTCCACACCTCACACCTCACACTGCACACTGCACTCTTCGCACTCCAAACTTCAAACTTCACACTCCACACTTCACACTGCGCTCTTCGCACTCCAAACTAAAACTTCACACTCCACACTTCACACTTCACAGTCCACACTTCACACTTCTCACTTCCCACTGCTTCCTTCACACTCCAAATCTCACACTTCACACTTCACACTGCGCGCTTCGCACTCCAAACTTCACACTCCACACTTCACACTTCTCACTTCCCACTGCTTCCTTCACACTTCACACTTCACACTGCACTCTTTACGCCCCACACTTCCCACTGCTCTAAACCTACGTGCAACAAAAAACACTAGTCCCAAAATGGAGAAAATCTGCTGACAAATCACTGTCGCAGCCTTCATGCAGCCACTCCAAGACGATTTACGAGATCCAGCTGCAAAAGACAATAGTATTACGAATGCAGCCACAGCACGAAGCAACCTTGACGCAGCCATTACAATGCGATCTGCAGAGACTGAGTTGCAAAACACAATAGAACTACGCGCAACGGCGTCAGAAATTGTAGCTCCAAAACCGGATCTCGACGCCAGAGCGAAAAAAAGACGATTTTGAAGCACTTTTTAAAAGGATTTTTAGAAGGAAAATCACTAGCGCCAAAATGGAGAAAATCTGCTGACAAATCACTGTCGCAGCCTTCATGCAGCCACTCCAAGACGATTTCCGAGATCCAGCTGCAAAAGTTACGAATGCAGCCACAGCACGAAGCAACCTTGACGCAGCCATTACAATGCGATCTGCAGAGACTGAGTTGCAAAGCACAATAGAACTACGCGCAACGGCGTCAGAAATTGTAGCTCCAAAACCGGATCTCGACGCCAGAGCGAAAACAAGACGATTTTGAAGCACTTTTTAAAATTATTTTTAGAAGGAAAATCACTAGCGCCAAAATGGAGAAAATCTGCTGACAAATCATTGTCGCAGCCTTCATGCAGCCACTCCAATACGATTTACGAAGCCCAGCTGCAAAAGACAATAGTATTACCAATGCAGCCACAGCACGAAGCAACCTTGACACAGCCATTTACACTGCGGGAACGATCCTACAGTCGCAAAGCACAATGGAATTCCATCGGCAACTCATCCACCAGCAACACTTGCAATCCCATTTACATTGCGGGAACTGGAACGATCCTAGAGTTGCAAATAACAATGGAATTCCATCGGCAACTCATCCACCAGCACCACTTGCAATCCCATTTACAATGCGGGAACGATCCTACAGTTGCAAATCACAATGGAATTCTGTCGACTGCACATGCACGAAAAACAGGTGAAACCCCATTTACAATGCGGAACCGATCCGAGAATGATCCGCCCATGATCCGACCACACACGAGACCGTCTCGCAACCGTCGCACCGCAGAGGTAGATCATCGAGGTTCGGGGACGGACTCTGTATGGAAAAACATAGGGTTTCGTGCATCTGCTATCTCTCAAAAACGCATTTCGTGCGAGACTTCCTTCAAAACTCCATCGGCAACTCCTCCACCAGCACCACCTGCAATCCCATTTACAGTGAGGGAACGATCCTTGAGTTGCAAATCACCATGGAATTCCATCGGCAACTCATCCACCAGCACCACTTGCAATCCCATTTGCATTGCAGGAACGACCCTACAGTTACAAATCACAATGGAATTCTGTCGACCGCAAATGCACGAAACACAGGTGAAAACCCATTTACAATGCGGAACCGATCCGAGAATGATCCGCCCATGATCCGCCCATGATCCGACCACACACGAGACCGTCTCGCAACCGTCGCACCGCAGAGGTAGATCATCGAGGTTCGGGGACGGACTTTGTATGGAAAAACATAGGGTTTCGTGCATCTGCTATCTCTCAAAAACGCATTTCGTGCGAGACTTCCTTCAAAACTCCATCGGCAACTCCTCCACCAGCACCACTTGCAATGCCATTCTAACTCTTTCTTTGACTAACTCTTTCCCTGACATTCTAAAAGTTACAATTAACTCTGTCCCTAACTAACTCTTTCCCTCACTAACTCTTCCTTTGACTAACTCTTTCCTGACAGTCTAACTCTTTCTTTGACTAAATCTTTCCCTGATGAACTCTGTCCCTAACTAACTCTTTCCCTCACTAACTCTTTCTTTGACTAACTCTTTCCCTGATGAACTCTTTCCCTAACTAACTTTTTCCCTCACTAACTCTTTCTTTGACTATCTCTTTCCCTGATGAACTCTTTCCCTAACTAACCTTTCCCTGACTAACTCTTTCTTTGACTAACTCTTTCCCTGACATTCTAAAAGTCCGTAATACGGAAGTTTCTCCCCCTAAACTTCCTTTGAATAGTACACATACCCTTTGGTTATTTAACATAGCTATGGAAAATGGCCCATTTACAGATGATTTTCCCAGCTAGAAACCTCCATTTATAATGGATTTTCCATAGCTATGTTAAATAACCAGATGGTAGATTTTTACTATTGTACACACCCATAGGATCCATGTATGATATATATGGTAACATTTACCATCAATATACCCCCAATGTTAGCATATATATACCATACATGGATCCTATGGGACATGGAAGACATTATTTTTCCCACACATTTTCCATGTGTCTTTGCCCGTGGCCGCCGCAGGAAATGATGCTGATCCGTCTGCGGGCGGCACTGGAGCACTACACCGGCTTTGGCTTCGCGTAGGACGCGAAGCGCCAAGTGACAGGGCATTTGTCTAAGAAAACGATGGGAAATATGGAATATCATGGAATATCATGGGAATATATGAGAAAATGATGGGAATAGCTATGAGAAAATATCTTTGAACACACACACACATATATATATAATATATATATATATAGATATAGTTTGTCGAGTTTCATGGATGTTTTTTTTCGCAAGTTTTTTGGAGTGTCCCAGTCTTGGACAAAGCCTGATTTGTCTTCTCCAGAAGTGTGGCAGCGGCCCCAAACAAATGGGCCTTGAGTGAATCGAAAAGTAGTTTTACCCTCTGGTAAACTAACATAACTATGGAAAATCACCATTTTTTATGGGAAAATCCACTATAAATGGTCATTTTCAATAGCTACGTTAAATTACCAGAGGGTAGTAGCTTTGTCTAGCTTTCAGGATGAACGTTCACCGTTCGAATTGTTCGAATTGTTTGTGCACTGTGTGCTGCCATGCAGCATGCAAGCCTCACATGGGTTTGTCTGAAAATGGAGAGTTTATTTTTGGGCTCAAAATCATCTTGTCGCCTGTCGAAGTGTCGTTTGCATTGGGTATCCAACCATATCCAACCCATTTTCAGACGTCATGTGAAAGGCGCACTTGTGCGACCACAAACCTTTAAGTGCGACCGCCAAAGATCGCCGGGACAGTTGGCTCTTTAAACCTTGGATGGCCAGGGCAGTATAGACACCATGTGGATATAAACGATTTTTTTTAGCCGGAAAAATCATGGATTTTCCTGGTGTTTTAGCCATTGCTGTAAGCAAAATACATAGAGGGTTACCAGTGCTAGCTTACTTAAACCTTTTTGCCAGAAATGGGGATATGTCAACCTAACCAGCTCAAAGGATGTTGTTGGTATCGCATGGCCTGCGGCGCTGCTCGTGACTTTTTTCCATGTTGTTTTCATGTGGATGAATGAGAACAGCCAATACCGGGATGGATCAAAACCTAAGAAATACCATATTTTTGGGAAGTAAGCATCCACAAATCTCAGCTATTTTGGGTTTCACCAGGGTACAGTACCAGGGTTTTGACCCAAAGCCATATATTAAATCAATCAGTAGTCCATAATTACCATTCAGCCCGCACGTATAGTAATTAAGAACTATAACTAATAGCCAACACATTATGTCAATTAGCATAATATAGCCCGAATTAGATGATCATGATGATCACATATAAGAACTGTAAGTTATGGTAACTATATGTAACTATATAGTATACTTAGTATAATGCATTATAGTACCTAATAAGATCTAAGAAGTCAACCAGATTCGTGGCAACCGGTGAGGCAATGCCTCCGATCAGGACGGAGGCAGGTCCTGCTGGAAACAAATATGAAATTTTGCTCAAGACGACACATCTTACCCTCTGGTAAACATACAAAAAACTATGGAAAATCACCATGCTATTAATGGGAAAATCAACTATTTCGACTGGGCCATTTTCAATAGCTATGTAACAAATTACCAGAGGGTAACATCTGATTTTTCCCATTGGCTAAACCAGCATTTAACATCATCATCAACAACATTATAATACATGGTAATACATGACGTTTTTGCAAGATTATTTTTTCCATGAATCATCAAGATCTAAGATGTCTCATTTGGATCATAAGATGTTGGATTCCTGTTGAAAAAACATCAAAAATTTGTCCCGTTGGCGAATCCAGCATCTGGATGTATGGAGGTTTCCATAAATGGAGGTACCCCAATAGCTGGATGGTTTTTTTCATGGAAAATCCCAATCTAAAACGGATGATAAATGGGGTACCCCCGTGACTTAGGAAACATCCATATATAATCATATACATATATAATCATATACATATACAATCATATACATATATAATCATATACATATATAATCATATACATATATAATCATATACATATATAATCATATACATATATAATCATATACATATACAATCATATACATATACAATCATATACATATACAATCATATACATATATCATATATATATATAATGGTGAATCCAAGATCGTGTTCTGCCACTTGGCTTCGGTTTGACAAGAGTGTGGTAGCTGATGCTACAATCCGTTCCAGGAGACAACAGGACTCTCTCTCTCTCTCTGCATGGTGTGTATATATATATATATGTATTCTACTCTCTGTATAGTCTATATACACAATACAATACTATGTAATGATATACATCTATGAATTCATACATTGTCGTATCGTGTATGTGTATATGTAAGAATATATAAGTACATATACATACATTCTCATGTATCACATCAAAATTCCGAGAATGGTCCTTCAGGTGCTGCTCGTTGCTCGCTGAGCTGTGCCTTCTGATCGTCTGCATAGAACTGAATCAACAGACGAATTCGACGACTGCATAGATTATGACCCAAGGGACCCAGGGACCCAAGTTCTGGCGTTTCTTTTTTGTTCTCCTTTTCACATCTTTTGTTCATCATCATCATCATCATCATCATCATCCACATTATCATACATTATCCTCCCACTCCCCCACACTGTTTGGGTCTCTTGCCTAATGTCTTGGGCAATTGTGACACAACAGTCATGGTCAAGAGTTGGATTCTCTAACCAAAAAACATGGGGGATTGTCACCAATCATGCGCAATGATGATATATCATGATGACCAGCTGCAGTATAAGGATTCCCTTGTGATATATATATATGATATGATATGATATATGTCTTATGAAAATACTATAATATATGACATCATACTGTTGTTTATGATATAAGGAAGCCCCAATAACAAAAACTACTTAAACTAACATGCCAACAATAACATCTGCTGGTCTCAATAACATCTTGGGATGACCGCAACAGCTGTCATCAAAAACTGCAGATTCGCCAGCCCGAAGTCCCGTGAAAAGGAAAGAGTTGAGAGCAGAGTCACCGTGGGTGGCCACGCAGTCTGCAGTCGAGTGCAGTGTAGGTTGGACACGTTGAAATGTCTGGCTTCAAAAAAGGGAAATGTGTGAGGAATCATCAACCGCAGTCACCATGAACAGCTGATCTTTTGCCATGCGTTGGAGCCAAGTGAGCGTTCAGAAACCCCTGTTGGTTGATGATTACGGAGGGGTTCTGTTATCCAATATATTGGGAATGATCAGAATCCATTTATGGGAATCCCGTTCTTAGCCAACCATCGGAAATTGAGGATGCTTGATTTGAGGGGAATCCCATTAAAATCATATTTGAATCACATCTGTATCCCCACTAAACACAGAGGGTTTTTGAACACTGCTCAAGTAGTGCTGAGTAGCTGTGGGTTTCAGACCCTTTTTTTGGCGGCAGCTGTGCGCAAAAGAGCCGCTGGGTGCTAGAAATGAAGGAAATTCATGGGCTGCACAACCTCGACGTCAGAGTTGAAATGCGTCTGAAAATGGGGGATCCATACCGCGATACCGGACTACCCAAAAAATATCATAGAATGGCAATTTGAATAGGGAAGTTGCAGATTATCACGAGAATTATTGAGGCAATCCCCGTATCCGTATCGGGGTCAACAGTATCAATGTAAGGATTTCGTGAAAGTGCAAACAAAGTATTGATCGACAGTAAGCATGTGAGCATGACTCCTGCACGAGTCTGATTGGTTGTTTCCAATCTTGGGATGGGTCTGTGAGGCTATGATTCCATATCAATGATGGGCTTGAACATGCGGACCCACCAGTTAATTTGATCTGAAAGCCAACTTGCCGGGCTTTTGGTTAATTTTGAACATTTTGATATATAATGTCAACCGGGACTAAATCACATTCAAGGAGCCCATGGACTGTTTTTGATTCGCAGAGTAGCGTTTTTGTAGCAGATGATCATCACAAAGTCCCATAGAGATGGACGTTATCATGGCAAGATGGCATCCTCCAAAGTCATGGAACAGCAAACGCATCAAGATCCGCCCATTGTTTGTAATCCATTCAATCAACCAACAAAACATAAGTTTCGAAACACGGACACATATCTGGTTGGTGGTTTGGAACATTTTTTATTTTTCCATATATTGGGAATGTCATCATCCCAACTGACTTTCATACTTTTCAGAGGGGTTGGTCAACCACCAACTAGAATATGGCCCATTTATAGATGGTTTACCTGGCCTATTAATAGCATGGTGATTTTTCATGGCTATGTTAAATAACCAGATTGTAAGATTTTATAAGCCACAAAAAATCAAACAGTCACGCAAACAGCGCCGATGCGGTGCCTGTGGTGCCGCTGGAGTCATGGCTGAAGTCCCAAAGCCCTGGCCACCACGATGTCCACAACCTTTGGAGGTGCGGCTTCGCCCAGCTGGTTCCTGGAAAATCATAGTAACATCCTTGAAAACCATAGGAAAATCCCGGAAAACCATAGGAATATCTTGGAAAATCTTGGAACATCTTGGAACATCATCGAAAATCATATGGAAGATCCATAAAGATCATTGGTGTTGGAGGACTCATCCCTTCCCCTGGGTTGGCCTGGGCGCGTCAGGCCGTGCAGGAGCTGTTGATCGACTATTTGTCATCCGGTCAAGGCTAGGGGTGTGGTGGTGGGTTGGGGATGGAACGGCCAGATTTGGAGAACATCTATGGTAAGGACATGGCAGTTTCTGAGTGTTTTCGGGGGCATTTGGTTTCATAGGTTTTACTTGTTGAACTTAGTGAAGCCCAGTGAGGCCCCAGGCAATCCATAAACCTCCAGTTGATCTAGTTGATCTCTGTGGGGGGAAGCCATTTTTCTCGGGAAGTATGGCTATTTTTTGGGAGTCCCGAATTGATGCACCAGGGCCTGTGAATCCAGTGGGTCACATCGACCAGGTTACGACGACGAAAGTGTCGCCGCGGCGGTGTCCGAGGGGAATGAGTTCTTTCAACGAAAGGACTTTAGTCGAGCCCTCAGAAGGGAACTGGGGGTGGGGAAATGGCCCGTTGAACTTGGTGGAATGGGGTTCATTATGCCAGGTTGTGCCCAGTCTTTTTTGTTGAACATGTATACTAATACCCTCCCATAAGCAAACCTGGCAATGGAAAATTCATGAAAATTCCCTATTTGTAGATTTACAGGGGATTTTCCGTTGCCATGTTTGATTACCAGAAGGTAAACCAATGATTTTCCAATAGTTACAGTATCCATTATCCTTTTGGTTTTATACCCATTATAAACCACCTTAATAGCAATACAGTTAACGATTCTCCTGTGATTATCATTATCCTTCTGAAGATTAGCCATTACATAAACATACATAAACCACTAAGTCTTAGCCATTGATATTGATATATAGACATTATGTAACATAGTGGCTATACTGACTATATTAATCAATATCAATACTGGCTATACTATATGGATATGTTAATGGATTGATATGTATAACATACTTAACATATCTTAACATATAGTTAATGGCTATACTGGCTATCATCCAATGCCGCCGACATGAACCTCAACGGAACGGCCGGAACGGATTCCCGAGGTCGTGCATGTGCTTCCTTCGGCATTGCCTACGAGATTGGCCATCTGCCTCAGAGTCGTTGTGGCAGATTTTGTCCCCGTTGTCGTTGTCGTTGCCGTTGTGGTGGTGGTGGTGGTTGTTGTTGCTGCCGCTGCTGCTGTGTTGTTGTTGTTGTTGTTGTTGTTCCATTTTATTGTAACGGATTGGTTCTTATGGCTTGTTGTTCATGGTTCTTCCATGCTGAATTCCAAATTTGATCTGGATCTGGGTCCATGGTCGATGCCTTACTCCAAGTAATTAGACATACCCTCTGGTTTTTTAACATAGCCATGGAACATGGTCCATATATACTGTAGATGGTTTACCTATTAAAAGTGGTGATTTTCCATGGCTATGTTAAATAACCAGATGGTATTATTGATGATCATGAACATCATCGTTAAATTCCCATGGCGTACCAAATTTTACTTGCAGAGTCGGTCAGTTCCTGGATGGGAACATCTGAAACCGACAATCACTAAATGAAATTCGAAACTGAAGATCCCCCAGAAAGAAAGTTTCACATCTTCGATGGGATATGATGGGATAATATCATATAATATCTAGTTATATACATATATATATATACCATCTGGTTCTTTAACATAGCCATGGAAAGATCCACCATGCTATTAATAGATAAACCATCTATAAAACTATAAAGCCATCTATATCTATGGGCCATCTATACCATGGCTATGTTATAACATGGACCCGGAGGTCGGCATCACTACGTCTACCGGCCCTTGCTACATGTGCCGGACTCAAAGATCGGTCCAATGGCTTCGTGGTGTTTCCCGTGTTTCCCCAAAGAGATCCAAACAGATCGACGACAGGATGACATGGCGTTGATTAATACATATTAATACATGGTTATGATATATGGATAATTTGGGATATATATATACACCATTATCTGGGTAATTATATAAATATATTTATATATATACCTTTAGCTTCGATATCCTGGAAAAAAGTAGGATATGATGTGAAAACCTGACTATTGGCATAGTGGTGCTTGAAAACCTGACTATTTAATCAAAAAGTTGGATATCCTTGTTTTAAGATGTTTTACGTGATTTTAAGTGCATTTACATGATCTAAGTTGATCTATATCAAAAAAATATGACCTATATCCAATTCATATGATATATATCCAATTCAAATGACATATATTCCAATTCTTCCCTGACCACCCTTCGCCATCCAACGGATCTCAAGATTTTTTTGGGCTGAGCGGATGATCGCCAATGCCCCGTCGGATGCTCAGAACTCCTGGTGGGCAAAGGATTGGCAATGTTGAATCAGGCAAGTATAACATATCACAAGTATTTTTATTGGCTGGAAAGCCATTTGGCTCCAAAAATCCAAGCCCCCTGTTTGCCCCTTGGTTACCTCAGACCATAGGTAGCGTTTCATTGGTTGGAACAGCAATGGGGGATTCCTTTGAGCTGGGGGAGCTAGCCGCGGCATGGGATGAGTCAGATTCCATTAGGGAGAGGCTCCGAGCTGGGCAGAATTTACTAGATTCAAAGCCTGGCAATGTTGACTCTTCCATAGCGGAGTGCAAGGCCAACCAGGACGTCTTGGTCCCTATGCTTCATAGGTTCTTTGCTGCTCGATTAAAATTGCCTGAGATTGGAGGGCTCAGGTATGAGATCGAAACGCTCTACAAAAAGAACATGCAAACACCAGATGAAACAAGGGTGGATGACAATGGCTGGGACTTGCGGAAAATGTTGAGATTCATCAAGCGCAAAGCCAATCGTGATGACCCTTCAACTGACCCTTGCAAGCACTCAGCGTTCACTATGGTTCACCACAATAGGGATCATATAATTTAACCAAATTCTGTATATTCATATTTGACTTGATCAATTAAAAATTTAAAACAAAACAGCTAACAAAACAAACACATGCCCAAAAACATCTTTTCTGCACAACGCTCAGGAGTTCGATTTCCAAGAGATGATCTTGATTGTCAAACCGGAGCTTGAGGCCGGGATTCGATGTCATCAGGGGTTGGTGAAGGGTTTGCTGATACAAAATGAGATGAAAATCCCTTTTCCCTGCCTCACTCAACATGTCCCTCTTTGACCCTACCCCCTTTCTCCTTGCAGGCGGCCGTCAACGAAATCAGGGCCAAGCAGAAAGCGAAGAACCTGTCCGACGAGGAGGAAACGGAGAACACTGGGTGATGGGGAAACCCTTGAAACTATTTTTTTGGGTGATGGTCATGGTTGTAATTTAAAAAACCCATGGAAAATGAGATGCCTGGAACCTTTGGGGTTTAAAAAGATTGGGGCCCTATCTATACGCGAGTTAATAGGTGCCAGCCTGTTAATAGATATCATGTGTATATGCTGAAAGATCTCAAAATTGAAAATTTATTGATGGATCAATTTACTGTTTGATTTATGCTGACATATGTTCCTTGTCAAGGACGAAGAAGATGATGACAATGCTTCTATGGCATCTACTGAGCCAGGGGATCCCGAAAATGTTGACCCCCTTCCGAGTGAAGATCCACCAGCTCCTCCTGCTGAAGCCCCCTCGGCGCCTTCACCTGAGCAAGCTGCGCCAGCTTTGCCAGCCACAGCGCCAAGTACGGAGCCTGCGGGATCAAAAGCGGGGACGGATTCTGCGAAGGATAGTGCCCCGGTGAGTTGTTTGATGGGTTCTAAGTTGGACTACATTTTTTTTGACATGAAATATGTGTATGTACCTTTCATAATCTCGATCACACATAAATATATACTCTCATGGTAACATTTGACAACCCTATTGTATTTTGTTTTTGCATTCCCTTTACATCATGTTTCTGACCACCACTTATTTAGGTGTTGCAAAACAAGCACTCCTTCGCAAGCTTCTCTTGGATGAGATGGCAGCATTGAAGGCAAAAATGGAAGAGCTTCTTTGCTGACTTTCTACTTCAACTTTAGTTACCCAACATTTTTAACTACCCATGACCCAAGGATGAGAAAATAATCTTTCATTTTTCGTCAATGCAGTCATCTCATCCCAGGCTTCAGCGGTTGAAGGCTGTCAAACCAGACGTGCAGAAGAACCTTGCTCCTTCCTTTGATCGTGCAGTCAAAGCCGGCAAAGCAGGACCAGTCTCATTTGGTTTGCATTCCCAAAAAGTCTTATATAACCACGGGGTTGAATGGGATTGTTCAAACATCTTTTTACATCTTTTTACCCTGAAACGCCAGGATCCCCACAGGTTCCAATGGACAATGTTGACACACAGCCCATTGATGTCATGGAGATGCCTGCCCCAGAACCTACTCCGCCACGCCCGAAGTCTTTTGATGACATTCCAACCAAGAGAAGAAAATATCAAAGGGGTAAGAATCCTTCGGGTTCAGAGACCAAAGTCTTGGGTGAATACAGAAGTCCTTCATCCAGCACACGTGCCCCAACATCTACGGGAACCCCATCCTCAGAGAACATGTCTCCACCAGAAGTGGCTACTTCTGATGTTGCCCCTGATTCTGAGCCTAAGCCTTCTAAGTCAAAGAGGCGCCGTACTAAGAAACGATCTACCAGCATTGCCAACAGCAAGTCGACCATCGACTTCTCAGAGCCCATGGCCACGCCTTCGCAGTCTCCGGATGAAGTCGTTGATGTCAAGGCCCTGGCAAGCCGGGCTGGTGTCCATTAGATTTCAACACATGTTGAAGTGCATATATAGTGTCCACCATGTGGTTACCTAAGTCGAAATCATTACAAGTACAGGTGAACATGTTTTTGCTGTTTCGACAGTGTGACTGGGGTAACTTACATTCCATTCCAGGGTTAAATCATGCTCTCCATATCCACTGACACTTTTGCTAGGAGGTGGTGACCAGAAGGAACTAGCTCGCCATCAAGCGCGCACCACCCAAAGCACGCAGTGGAAAGGGCCGTGGCAGAGGCCGTGGCAGAAAGCCTGGCAATGGTAGTGTCGCCCCGAAGGTAGCCCCCAAGGCCAAGGCAAAGGCCAAATCTAGAAGCAGCAGCAGCAGCAGCAAACAAAAAGCGGTTTGCAAACACGATGTTGAGGATGAAGAAGTTTCGGAGGCTGACCCTGTAGAAGAGGAAGAACACGTGACCAAGACAACAAGAGGCAAGTCAAAAGGTAAATCAGAGGCTCAGTCTAGCAAGGCACCCAAGGAGCCCAAGGCACCCAAGGAACCCAGCAAGGCAGCCAAGAAGCCCAGCAAGGCACCCAAGGAGCCCAAGGCACCCAAGGAGCCCAAGGCAAAGAAGGCATCCAAAGCAAACAAGGCAGGCAATGAAGAGGAAACGACCAAACCGAAGAAGCGAAAGGCCAAACAAAACAATGAGGATGCTGAGGCTGAGGCTGACACAGCTGTTCCGACGGTAGCCAAGAAACCCAGGAAGTCACGCAGTGCAGCCCACCCCCCACCCAGCTCCAAGCATGAGTTTGTGGGAGATTCCCGTGTTCACATGGTGAATTTCATCAAGAAGGTGGACTTGGGACTGGAGCTGGACGGGTTCAAGGAGAATGTCCGCATGATTTGTGGTGATATGGGGAGGGCCAGTTTGAACTCCTATTGGACTAGATACTCGTGTGTTCTCCGGTGGCGCACTGGAAGGAATGTCAAGGACGTTGCATTCTTTTCTTTCCTCGGGAAGAGCATCCCCGGATCTCGTGAGATGAAAAGGTTGGTTGCTATTTCATGCGCTGTTGAACTGGTGACTTGTCGATACTATTTGAAGTAAACAGTTTTGACACTCTTATAATCTTTAACTAAGAAAACTCCCGCAACTTGCTTTTCACCATCTCCCGGGTCCACTATCGAACTGCCCTGCTGCAAAGGCGAGACTGCTCAACAGCCAGCTTGCCAACAACGTGACAGAGGACCAGATCAACATGATGGAGGAACAGCTCAAGGTTATCGGAGTAGATATTCTCCAGAATATCACCCCCGATGTGGACTGAAGGGGTTGCCAACCAAACGGATGGCAATTTTCTAGGGGTTTTGCCAATGTGAATCAAATGATTCACGGGACATGGCATTAGTGAAATCTCAATCTCATGCAGCTTCATTAGGATTCGTCAGTTGGAGCTCATGGACAATTATGAACCTCAAGTGAACCATGGCTGGTCACAATCCTTCAGCACAATTTCAACGATGAATTTATCCTTATTTATTTTCTATATTGCATATACATTTTATTCTCATAAGTGGCCACCGTGAAAGGATCTTGGGGATGGATAAATCTTGTGGCGATACAGCTGTTTTCACAGCTCGATGATACCATCTATGTGCTTGGCAAAGCTTGTCAATTTACTTTGACCCTGTGGCCATGACAGCGCGAAAAAATGCAATCAAGTTTCTGCAACCTTAAGTCTTAAAAGAAAGTCGAACAGTGTTGAACACAACGCTCTTGAAAGAATTCCCTTCACCCCTTACCCTAACACAACTTTCAATAGATTGAACTACCGCCGGCTGGTAAGGCCTGCGGCATGGATCGCGGCATCGACGCGTGAGGAAAGAGGTCTGCAAGAAGCACCGCCATCCTTGCACGTTTGGGATATGGAATGGGTCTGGAAGATGCACAATCAACACATTTGAGCTTAACTAGGGCTCTGAAGCTACATAAGAACACCATAAATCACGCAGTCTGGCTCAACTAGGAAAAGTGTTGGGATTGAAGCCCACCATTCCGAAAGGATGGAACACCATAAAGATCTAGATGGCGTGCTGTACGTCCTCAGCAAGTTGGGAATGTGTAGAGAATCTTACCTGCATTGGTGAAAATCATTGAATGGTAACCTAGCTCCGGAATAATTCACTGATGGTCCAGCAATCCAGTTGGAACTTGAGGATTTCCTGATAATTGTGGTGCTCATCTACTTCACCAATGGCCTGTACAACCTTGAAGAGGCAATGCCTACATCCCACATAGATGATCATAGATTATCATAGATGTGAATTTGATATTGATTTCATCAAATTCTATTCAAATAATAAAAAATGTATTTCCCATCTTCTGGCAGGACTATCAGTGGATTGAGTACTACGCTGGAAAAGCGGCCTGTACATATGCCATGCTGAGGGCAGGGTACTGTGCTGCAAGGTTCGATAAGCTCTACTTTGATCCCCAATGCCAAAGGCGTCGTAGGAACAATTTCTATGATCTCAATACCCCCTGTGGTTTTGCGTTCCTTGGTTTCTGAATTATGCAATCACAAACTTTAGTCTCACTGACAAATTGTTTCACTTGTCCAATCTCTGATCCGACCACATTCCCAGATCCCTCTTCCAAGATCCTCTGCTTTGAGCGGCCCCAGGTTGGCAGTGGTATTCATCCTGAAGGGGCGGATGGCTGATTTGCTCACTTGGTTCGGGATTAAATGTTCAAGTTGGGTGGCCGTGAATGTCGGAACGAGTTGGCGTAGTGCTTGTGCCAGTACCGGAGATGTTCTGAAGACTTCAGTACGTGAAAGTAACTGCATGCTGGAAAGGACCAGGTTTTCCAAATGTAGATTGAAAGATACTTATTTTCAGACATGTTGTTTATAAAATATACTACACTTAGTTTGCATACATCAGGGATGTTCATCTCTTTGGCCCTGCAAAGGACTATTTGCCTTCTGGCATTGGTTTGTGCCAAAGACGGCGTGTGGTGTCTGGAGCAACCAGGATCATCGGTCCTGGAGTTTTATCCAACCTGGTTGCATTTCCTCAATGCGTGCTACCAGTACTATGGGATAAATTCAGTGCCATGGTTAACACAAAGCTTGAGATTACATCAAAAAATCAAAACATGTTCTTTCCACTGCAGTGCTGATTCCAACATTCTTCACTGGGGTAGCTGTGCCTCTGAGGTTTTCCGATGCGGCTGGTGGATGTCACGGTATGGTGCCGGCAGCCCCAAAAGACAGTACGCATGGTCGAATGGATCGGCGATCAAACACTTAGATGTTGGATGGAAGAAAATGAAAAACAAGGTTCAAACTGTTCGCCATTACATTGACAAGCAGGGCAAAAAGCGGTACCACGGGACCAAAGCTTTGTCCTACACGGAGAGTCTTAGCTATTATATCAAAGGAATTTGTCTTGGAATATACTGGAATCAATTTATTTCTTGGCAGCTTGTTAGCCAAGGATTTATCCACGAAAATTTGCTGATGCTATCGTGAAGCTCCGGGAACCACTTCTGAATACAAGGGTCAACCGTTTGATCCCTCTTACCCTGCCATCGGGTCCTGAGATAGTCCGTTCAGCGGGTGATGCGCAAGGCCTGTTTGACACGGCAGATTTGAAATCTGTCTTCCACTACTTGAGGTGTGGAAAGGGGCTAAACTTGCCCAAGCACTGGCAAGAGGTGATTCCAAAGCCAGATCCTTTCATGCCTTGATCCCCCAAAATCTAGAACATCCAGGGATAGTAGATTTTAAATCTATCATAATCTATCATAATATAATTTATCTGGGTTACGTTGGTTTGGCCGAGTGGGTGAAGGTGCTGGGATACTTCAAATTCTTTTACCTGATTATGTGGGAACTAGATGTAAAGAATTCAGAGTACATGATACAAAATAGAGAGTCGATGTCGATTTTTTGAGAGAAATGCTCGACCCTTCTCGGTCCCAAATCGTTTTTTTTGGTTTTAGATCGGTTCGATATAATTTTATGTTACCAAAAACAGGGATATCCCATATTCTTCCCATAAAATCCCATATTCATGTCGGAATATCCCAACTTCTTCCCATCCAAAACCCATCCAAATCCCATATTTTGGGGATAACCTGACAATCGACAACCCGTAAACAACCCGTAAATATCCCATAAAAACCCGTAAATATCCCATAAAAACCCGTAATCAAAAGTTGGGATATTGCCTATGATTCCTGGAATGGTTTTAGCGGGATGGAAGGCACTCTTTTCGGCTTTTGGCCGTACATGAGGTTGTTTCAATTAGCTTTGAATTCAACTCGACAAATTGTGGTTTAACCACATGTGCACTGTGCGCTGACCGGATTGGGGAAGCAAACGTCACGGAGAAAAGTTCAGCAATTCCGAGGCTGTTGCTTGTTATGGCTTGTATTTCTGAATTTTATTTTGCAATCACTCCTTACCTGTATGGTTGGATTCTTTTCTATGGGTTGTGAATTCCTCACAGCTAAATCATTTTTATGATTTTGAATGCGCAATCAAATTTGCAGAGAATGGGTTTAAGTTTTATGTATTTCTTTTGCTCAAGGCTCTTTTTTTCTGAGCGGTGTCCATACACACCACTCGTTTGTGTGGTATGTCGAAGCGCTGGTCCTGCGGTTCACTTATGGATGGCTTTGACCATGTTACACATGATGCCACTGCAGAAGTAGAATCGCAGCTGATAAAACGCATGGAGGAGCATGGGGATCCCACTATTGTAGTACTCTCTGAATGGTTATTGTTTACAAATTGCTACTGCTACTTGATACATGGCCCTATGCCCATACCCGTTCAGGAGTTACAGCTTCAGATTGACGCCTTGGAAAACCCAGCACGGTGGAGACTCCAGAGGTTTCCAACAACCTTCCTGATCCACCTTCGAACCCACCCCAGGTTGGAACTGATTTTTTCTCTTGCACTAAGAAGGATTGAACCATATCACACACAAACGATCCGATTTAAGTGGTACCAAAAAAAATGGTTGCCCACCACCCTGAGGCGCCTCCTGCTGATTCTGGCGAAGATGTTGTGGATGCCCCAGCATCACCTGAGCCGTCCACAACAACCCCAGCCTCAACTTCCAGGGATTCTGAGCCCACACCGACTCCTGAAGAACCGGAGGCTACCTATCCTGTTTGTGGTCCAACATGTATACCAGTTACTGTTTTGAATTGGGGGGAAAATTGCACATCAATCACTGGGGTAGCATCTTTTCCTTTGACAAAACAATGCAGGCCATGGCCAAAGATGACGAATGCATGGGGCCAATTGGAGCGGATGGCTACATGGACATGGGGGATGATGCAACTCAGTGTTACACAGCCTTCAAGATTAGCACTAGCATTAGATGATGTCAAATTCACCCAACAAAGTTTCAGATCTGCAACTTGATCTTAAGGTATCAGTGAATGACCTGTCAGCCTCACTGGCGTTGGCTCTTGGTCCAGAGATCAAGGAGGAACCCGACGAGGATGACACTGACGAAAACATGGAAGATAAGAACCCACCCCATGGTGAGAACACTTCCAGTGACCGTTCACGACGAACAATCCATGGGAAGAAACGAATTCTGACCCGTCGGGAACCTTTGTTTGCATATAGAACATTATTATATATCATATTAGAATCATATATAGTAGCCACATAGGTGAATTTCTTAAACCCCTTTATGCCAAGAGTTTCTGATACTCCTTCCATCTTGTTCAGCCTAGGAATTGTTGCGGAATGCGGCAAAGGCACGCATTCGCCGCATGATTTCCACGAAGAAGAAGAGAACAGACCTGTCAGTCCCATCTTGGATTGGGGATGAGTGGAACAAGGGTACCAAGGAAAGGGAACAAATGGCCCTGTGCCTACAAGAGGTGAACTGGAACAAGGTGGGGTTTGAACATTCATTTTATTTACACTTGCAGGGCCTTCAACAAAGTTTGGGATTGCAACCGCTAGAGGCTATGGATATAAATCTTTCAAATCCCCAGGACAAGTTTGTGGACGAGATGCAGCGCATCATAACTTCTCGCAAGAGAGTCAGCATCAAGAAGGACCAAGGTTGGTACTCAGAAGCGGAGATGAAGTCAGATTTGAAGTGGTCCCAGCATCTGGGATTGAATTGAAAAAACAAAAGTGAATACAATAATACACAAACAATTGCCCTTCAGCTGTGGATTCCAGTTTTGAAATTGCATGGTCCAGTTTATATACTATACACTTCTCCCCCATTTGATCACCCAGGGGCCGCATTGCTGCAGCGAAAGCTTATTGCGGTGCCAAAGAACGAGCTGACAATCACGTGAGGCCTCTTATGGGTATTTGAATGTTTTTGATTGCCGAATCAAAACTATGATAAAGTAACCTCATTCCCTTTAGCCCTGCTTGCCAGGAAGAACATGTACGACGGGGTGACTGAGTTTTGGATCACCACTCGTGAGACAGGGTCCTACGAGGAGGAGCATGAACTGCAAGAGACGAAGAAGTCAACCAGTAAGGCGCTAGTCTTGATCATGCACCGACATGAGAATTAATGATTTCAAAACTTATCTCCTATCAGCCTATTCTCCTTTAGTTGTGGTTTCTCTCTTGTAAGTTTCATTTGATCAGGCTGATGGTCCAGTGGAAATCGCTGCTGGTACCTTTGACGGAATCCAGAACATGATGACCAATGGTGGTGGGGGCCCGGCTACTGCTCCATCCAGTTCTGACACTGACAAGGGCAATGGAAACAACCAGACACCCCATACGGCGGACCAGGACTGATCGATCATTTTGTTGTAAATATCTTGAGTAGATGCAGTCTTTCAGCAACATATCCCAGTGGAAAAGTGGTATATTATATCTGATAAAGAATCTTATGACTTATACCGATGCCACACAAATCATTTTCGATTGTGTGTTTCCTCTTGCTAGTAGACATGTTGCCCCTGCCGCAGAACAAGCAGCACCTCAAGAGGTTCATGGAGTCCATACTTCGCCTGTGCACGAAATTGCAATCCCTGCGGAGGGATTTGAAAGACAACTACGTGCCAACTTCCACGCAAGAGCCATAATCTTAGAGACTTGATTACCACAATAGTAAATAGTAGCATTGTTCAACCACCCATCGAATCTATCTTACCGAGCCTATTTCAGTGAGTGGCCTAGGTCTATGAAGATTTTGCAGGACCATGTTGCGAAGTTGGAGGCCCAATATGACATCCTCAACGAGGAGCTGGCCCGTGGTGAAAACGCAGGTTTCAGTGCCGAGTCGGAGTCTCAGGTCAATCAACTCAGCACCATCTGTACATCTAGTTAGAGACGGTTGGAGATACAAAGATTGCTTCACATGTTGAGGATTTTGTATTGATAACATGTGAAACCATGACTGTTGACGACCCAGTCACACGATGCTGCGTGATTTTACCTACGCCGAGTTGGTGGAATGCTGCCCACCAGAAGATGAATGCAGCCACTTTCGTGCCCAAAACTCAGAAGAATTGGTTGTTCTTAAGTCTTAAGTCTTAAGTTCCATTTGATCCTTTCATAGGTCAGTGCATGAGAATCTCAAGATCTTTCCCGCTTTACACTATATTATATACCCTTCAACGACTTGTGCCTATAAGGTCCAGCCGCGCAACAGCTGCTGAGCAGAAGGTGAAGCCTTGACCTCAGTCAGCAGATTGGGGTCACATCCAAAGCCATATCGGCACTTGATCCCAACCAATCTTGTAACAATCTATTGATTGAATGAGGAAGTCCAAGCAGTTCTTTGACAAAGTGCAGTCGTCAGATTCCAAGAAGCCGACACCCCCAGTGAACAATGGGAACAACAATTCTGAACCGGGTGCCAGCCGCAAGACCAAAAAGCCAAAAGTAACAAAAAGTAAGAAGAAGTAGATCTATAGTTTTTGTGTGCTTCATTGCTGTCTCACCACAGCGGTCGAATAACGATGCCACTTAGTAAATCACAAAAAATCAATCTTGGAATTTCTCATGTGTTCATTCAGCTACAGTGTTGAATCATTAGTTGATCATATTATATCATATTCTTGGCATGCCTGTGGATGGATAGCAATGCTTCGGCGGCTACTCAGCCCGAGACCTCTTGAGCAGACCAGGCGCTGGATTCCACCAGTGAACCTGCCCGGTTGCAGTTGTGGCTTCATGTCCACACGTCGTGGCAACTGTGGTTTAACCACGGTTCATTTCGTCAATTACATATGGACATGTTTGCAAAGCTGATGAGATCCTATGGGGAAGATGGGGATCAGCAAAGGAAAAAAAACTGCCAACCGTGGGTCTGAATCAGAATGATTACAAGTATGTTGAATCAGAATGAGTACAAGATATTACAAGTATGTCAAAGAGATCAACCCTGTTCCCCAGGGTTTGCACTTGCAACCTGGCGACCTCTTGCCAATCTCGCCCATGCCAGGTTCTGGGAAAGGCCTTCGTCGCTTTGTCGAAGAAATTGGCCATGGCGTTTCGGCCTCAGGGCCCGTGGGAGCATTTGAGATAGGTTACTAATGAGTTTCGATAACAAGACAATTCCGATACTAATCACATCAAATCGCCATCCATCAAATAAATGATCTACTGGTAGCAATACACTTGATATAAACACCTATCAAACTATCAAATTAGAACCCGGCAGCTCCAGCAACATATGCCATCAGAACCCTTTGTCTTGTCTAAGGTTCCGTGTCGCGTTGCTATTCGGTCTGCTGATGCGGTGATTCAAGAAGTTCCGGAAGCGAAGAAAACTAGCTTGGGGAATTTGGCCAGGATACCAGAAAAGAATTCTGAGCGTGATGTTCACAGGTTAAGCTCCAAGTTCGACCTTGCAATCCCAATCCCATTGTCTCAGTTTACAGTTGGAAGGGAAACCTTTCACTATTTGAAGATGTCGGACTGGGTACGTTTTCTTCTAGAGAGGAACCTATGGCACCACCTTGCTGGCCTAGAGGAACCAAATGCTGAAAAGTGTCGCGAGTCATGGCTAGGCTTTTGGCAGCGTTTCAGAAAGATTAGACCCAAACATGAAGTCTTTGAGTTTCCAGAAAAGGATCTCAGTAGATGTTGTGGGCTTCTTCTTCATGGGGATGAAGGGCGATCTGCCCGGAAATCAGCAATTCTGGTGCTTGCAGCCCACAGCATTCTTGGCTACGGTATTCGTTCCAGCAGTCACCAATGCAAAAGTGAACTACACAAGTTGAACTACAAAATGAACACATGGGTCACACGTTACCTTTTGGGGGTGCTGCCAAAAGGAAAGTATTCAAGCGTTGAAGGCGATGAATGTGAGACAGAGGTTGGGACTTCAAATGTCTACGATGCCTTGCTCAAGGCAGTTGCTGACGACTTGAGGTCCTTGTTTGATACTGGTGTGATCAGTCCCTTAGACGGCCATCGTTACTACTTTTGCATCATCAACGTGATGGGAGACTGGCCATTCCTACAAAAGTGTGGAAATCTCCAACGATCGTTTTTCAATGCTGCAAAGCATGCCAACAGTACTGCTGCTGCAAAGGGAATTTGTCACCGCTGCTTAGCCGACAAATATGACATACCTTGGGAAGATTTGGAGTCTGACACACCTCAGTGGGTTGGTACAATGAACACAGAACTACCCTTCAGTAGGCCTCCAGTTCTCCTTTGTGTACCTCACATTCGAGAAGACCCTGCAGAACTATTTGCTTGGGATCTCTTTCACACATGGCACCTTGGGGTTGGCAAACCATTTTTGGGAACTGCTGTGGTTGCTCTGGCGATGAGTAGTGCCTTCACAGGTTCAATCCCCGATCGTCTTGAGGCTGTGAGTGATTGTTTTCAGGCTTGGTGTGCTGAGCATCGCTTTACACCACATTTGCGCAAGTTGTCCAAGGAAAATCTTAGTTGGCTGACCACCACTACTTACCCATCTGGCACCTGGTCCAAAGGTCATACGACTAGGGTTTTGAACAAATGGTTTATTTCAGAATGTCGGGCTCATCCAGAAGCAGTGGCTGAGGACAGAATCCTGAAGATCGCTTACACTTGTGCTGTCAACATTGAAAACTTCTTGAAAGGCTTGTATGGTCATGAACTGTGGATTCACCAATCCAAAGCTCGGGTGATTGCTTCTTACGGGGAGTTATTTCTCAAGTGGTACGGACGTGGTGTGGCTTTGGCTTACCGCAACCACCAAAGGCTGTTTTTGCTCCAACCCAATCTGCACAGGTTTCACCACATAGTTTATGATTTCAAAATTCAATCACAAAACTGTGAATGGATAATTAATCCCTTAGCGTTCTCTACGCAGCCAGAAGAGGATTACATAGGGAGGCCCAGCCGGGTCTCCCGCAGGGTCAGTGCCCGTATGGTTATTCAACGGACACTCCAGCGTTCTTTGATTGCTGCCCATGCATCCTACCGAAATGCTGGTTTCTTTGTTGGGGAAAATTGAAAGTAACTCAACTGGCATTGACCAGATTTTAACTTACATTACATTATTATACTTTGGTAAACCCATAAAAGGTAAACCCATAAAAGGTAAACCCATAAAAGGTAAACCCATAAAAGGTAAACCCATAAAAGCAATCAATTTGTTTTATGTTACCCCAGTAGAAACCAGATGGCTAAGCACCAGACATGAGATTGCGACCAGCTCGAAGATGAAAGGCAGGGGCCGCAGGTGTAGACTGAAGGGATCTGAATGAAAGTTTTTTTCCCCAATAGATTGATTATTACTGGGATGACTTGAGGTTAAGGTAATATGATGGATGTTACTTCATGTTATGGGGATATGTTCCTTTTCACTCAAGATCCTTGGGCCCAAAATCATCAAAACCTGACTTTGCCCCCAAAAGTTGGGATATTTTCCATATCCTCCTTTTTGTTGGGAGATGGAGGCTTAAGGTATATATACACCATTATCTGGGTAAATTTGATCACGACCTCACTGTTCGACCGAACCCTGGAATCATGGTTAATAAGAGGAATCATCCCAAAATGGCCGAAGTATTCAGGTGAGTGAGACATTATCATTTACCCAGACAGTATGACATGGCATTGATGAATATGTCCGAAATGATCACAATCACAATCAATGAGAATCAATGAGAGTTGGATTTCACATGACATGAGCTTGCCGCGGCTTCAGCATTTTTTTCTGGTGGGGAAAAAACACCCAGTGAACCAGATCCATCGCCCGTCCCGGTCGTCCCGTCGCCCTCGAAACGGCCCAGGATCTACTTCTTCGTCGCATTTTGTGCCACTCGCTGCTGGGGCACTTCGATGCTGCCCTGCAGGACCGAAATCAGATGCATCATCATTTTTTTTTATGATTACAATGGATGATAGCCAGATATTATCCATGATAATTATCATCAATATGTTTAAACATATATAAATAATCAATTTAATATGATAACAATGATAACTATCATCAATGCTTAAACATATATAATAACCCGTGATTCTCCCCCAGTATCGCTTGCATCACGATTGTTTCTTTGGGGAGGCAGGCCATAGCTGTCGCTGTCGCTGGGCAGGAGATTGAAAAGGCCTTTTGGCTCATCCCGCACCAGGTGCTGGGCTTTTTGGGCGGCGATGGGCGTGTCAGTTGGGGCGTTAGCCAGAAAAGTTGTCACTTTAAAAGGGGAAAGTTATGGAACATGGATGGAACATGGATGGAACATGGATGGAAGATGATGGAACATGATGGACAATGGATGGACAATGGATGGACAATGATGGAAAATGGATGGAACATGATGGAAAATTATGGAACATTATGGAAAATGCTGGAAAATGACGGAAAATGAAGGAAAATGGGTGGAACATGGATGGAAAACGATGAGAATCCATTGGTTTGTTTGGATGTTTTTGGGTATATTTGGACAAACCCAGAGAGCCAATTTTTTGTGGCAAATTTCAGGGCAAATGATGGTGAACCATCAACTGCCGGTGCTTTCAATTTTCCATATCTTTTTTATTGGGATGATGATCCCCAATGCCGGTAGACGATTGCTTTTTGTTCGAACTGTTATTTTTTTCACAGGCTTTGAGCCTATATTTGGTAGGAAGACAATGGTTTCCTCATCCACTTGATGGTTAAATCCCAGACTCTCATGGTTGAAACCACAACCCATCCAAGGTTGACTGAGAATTATTGGTGATATCATGTTATATCATGTTATATCCAATCATTGGAGCATATCGGAACCCAGAGTAGTAATGCCTATAGTTGAATCCCGTATTTTTATGGCTAAATCCTAGTTCAATTCATTTAAACCTACGTGTTTTGCATCGTTTTAGGTCCCATTTCGCTATCGTGAAATCTCCGAGGCCACTGCACATGTGATCGCTGGCGTGGTCTACTCGAAGCTGGGTGCTAGCCTCGGGACCTTGGCACGGTACAAAATCTGATTCCTAAGGTCCTTTAGGTGGTGAAGGACCAAAACCTTTAGGTGAATCATGGTGAATCGGAGTTTCACCAGACCAAAACCTTTGAAACTCCGATTCCGAACCATACCAGAAACCATCCTCCATTTCACCAGACCCAACGGTCCTGGAAGGTGGTGAAAGATGTGAAAGTCGTCCAAAAAAAGAAGGGTTTACTGGCCCGGTTTTTGAGCAAGTCCTGAGGTATGGTGACAGAAGCCAACGCGGCATTCCAGCAGGTCCGTTTGGTACTTGATAGGTTCATTGGCTGATTGATAGGTTGGGTAGTTGGTTGATATGTTGATTTATTGATTGATTTATTGATTGCTATATATATAATGTATATATATAATGTATATATATAATGTATATATATATTATATAGATTGATATTTTGATAGATTATATATATATATCTAAATATGTGCAAATTGATATGTACAGAATCGTCCATCGTCCATCCCATTGACCGGGGCCAGGCCGTGGCCATCCAGCGAGACTTGAAGGATTTCGTTCGTGTCCCAGGGGATTTACCCTCCATGGCCATAGATTAAGCGATTGAAAAACTTGTTGTCGATCCAAAACCAAATGTCAACTCCAGATTTTCACATCAATTTTTAGACAGTAGCTGGTTACCGTTGTAGATGTAAATAATTACACCCTGGTAAATAAACATAGACCCTGAAAATAGCCAATTGTTAATGGAAACTAGTCTTCCAACCCCGATGACTGCCAGGGTCGAACTGTTAATTTACCAGAGGGTAATTGAAATTGAAAGGAAAGTTTATGTGAAAATTTATTTCCTGTAATTTTTGTCAGTCCGATTGAAAGTCTATATTGAAATTGAAGGATCGGATAAGCAATTGGAACATGTTTGATGAACATGGGAATTACCCTCCTGTAAACATTAGATGTGGAAAAGGCACCAGAAACGCAGATCATAACTTTTTCAGGAAACCATGGATTTTCCACATCTTTGTTAGTTTACCCCAAGGTAACCATCTACTGTAATGATAGTACAGTGGGGATGTAAGGGGTACATCATCAATGATGTTCTGTGTCAAATACCTGTTTTTTTTGCTTCTGATTGGGAGGCTGATCCCAACTGACGAGCAGACTTTTCAGCCTGATGCCACCAAAAAAGTATGTATATAAATACAATATGTATACATATATATATACAGTACACAACATATATATATACATGCGGTCTATCTATACATTGTAACAAGAGACCTCGTCCAGGATTTCATCTCGGCTCGATACGGCTGAGCCCAAGTCAGTTGTTCCGGTGCAGCGAACAAAGCCCATGGCTGGCTGGAGATCGGAGCCAACTTCGTGCCTACAACAGGTCACTTACGCCTTTGCGGATTGCTTGGCTGGACCATGGACACCGGTACCGTGGTGGATGCTTCTGATCGTTTACCTCTTGGGCATCGTAACCTCTGGCATTTGCAAGAGGCGATTGCAAAGGGTTGCGGTGGCTCAGATGGCCAAGCTCCAGGCAGTCGACCAGAGAAGACGATCGCCTGGAAGACCCATGATTGAAGCCAAAAAGAAGGTGGAAATGGCTGCATCTGCACTGGATTTCCATGATGGACCTGGTGCAAAGAAATTTCTTTATGAAGCCCTCAGCCTCATTGACAGCTGATGCAACTTGTACAGTTAGGGCGTTTCCCCCGACTGGCCGTGCTTGCCACCTTGTGCAGTTGGTGTGCAAGCAGTTCCTAGTAGGAAAATGCCAAGAGCATTGAGATTTGCAAGGCTAAAAGGCCTTGCAAGAAAAAACATATCCAGGATTCTATTTTGAAAAGGAGAAATCATTTGATCTCGCTGCCCATTGATTTTCCGCATAGAGCAGGCCGCATAGCACATAATTGAAACAATGGATGAAACAATTCCCAGCTAAAGGTATAGCTTAGCGCCAGTCACTAGTCTCAAGAGAAACATGTCGATCAAAGCTCAAATATGTAGAACACATCTGGACATAAATACCTGGTGATTTCCACGGTAATTTCCAGGGTGATTTCCAGGGTTCCAACATATTCCAACCAGGGATTCTTCACATTTAGAAGCTGCCCAGGTGGACTCTATGGTGGCCTTCTTTTGGCTTCAACATTCGCATGCAGATCGCGCCATCCGAATCTGCAGCCAGGCGCTGTGGCCTCCCGTGGCCGGGAGAAACACTTTGGGAGCGAAGGAAGCTGCATCCTCCGGTTTTCATGGAATTAGACCCTGAAAATAAGCCAAGTTTGTTCGTGGAAACCAATCTTCCAAGCCCTGGTAGAGATGATGTGGCAAATGTGGACCACAAACAGCTACCGATGGATGAACATTCCAACGTGTCATTCAGGTTCTTCAACGGAGCCCAAAGTCGTCGCCTCAACACCGGGGCGGGGCAGAAGGCAGAAAACCTGTGATATTGAAGAGCAAAACTATAACTATACATCTGACGATGTAGCTATGTCTGCAATTGTTTGCATATAAGTGTATATAGTATATCATGTGTGTGTGTAATTATATATTAAGTAAACGCATTATGAGTTACAGTAATGAATATACAATATCAAATTCATGTTCAATTGTTTATGAACATATACATGTATGTATATATATATATACACATACATGTATCAAAAAGTCACTATATAGTCCAGAGTGTGTTTTATCTATGCATATCAGCCACCTTTGATGAGGGACGGCCGAAGTTATGGCCAGGTGCCCGTTTGCCTTGCTGATACGTGGAGATGCCTACAAGTCTGGACCGTAGTGTTGAGAGCCCCCTGGAATCCAATGGTCCCAAAATATGTCGTTTTGATCCCCAAAATACCATGTTTTTTGGGAGGGTCTTTTAATATTGGGACTGGGATCAGTATCTGATAATATGTGATACCCATGTTCCATGGCATTGTGGAATTCTCATCATCCATGTTCTGGGACCCCATGGGACCCCCTGCGGACTCGGACCCTCGGACCTTCAGGTTTGGCCTTGCAAACACGCAAGCCAGCCGTCGCAACGCAGCAGCCGACTATGCGGATTTGCTGGACCATTCGCCAGATTCGTTGGGGGATGCCTTTTTTTAACCACGAATCTTGGGGAATGAACAAACAACATGGTTTTTTTTAACAGGGTTAATAATGATGGTAACCATATAGTTAATATTTTCACACATGTTAAACTACCATGAGTTAATGATACTTGTTCTGATCTTAATGTTTTTGTTTGGTGGGTCAATCATGGATTAATATCCATAGATCCCAGCGATTTCTCCAAGCCCAGGGACCTGGCGTATCCCAAAATATGATGCCTGGGATTATAGGAGATACGTCTAGCATCATACAGTCCAGTGGAATAATATGGGATAATATGGGATAATATGGGAGAAAGAGATATTTTTTTCAGTATATCAATGATAATAGAGATGAAAAAAGGGATATATCTACGCGGGTTGTCTGAAATGTTGATGCTTAAGTATATATTTGTCCTATTAACATAGCGATAAAATTGGGCATACCCAATTTTCAGACATCCATGTTCTATCATGTTCTCATATTGTTGGCCGAACATATTCAATTATATCCCAAACCGTCCCAAATATATCCTTGTTACACATGCATATGCATTACATTGTATTACTATTTTAGGCCCCAACATATTATTATTATCATCATTATTGTTATTATATATATAATTCTATATATAAACAATGTTATGATCCATGATCCACGGTGGATTGATATTCACATGATCCAATTTATACTGTACCATATTCCCAATTATATAATAAAAAATGAATGACAGCAAAGAATTCCCTCACTCAAACATGGCTTGCTGGAAAAATATGCCCTTATATACAAATGGATGTTTTTTCCCATCTATAAACTTCCATTTATATATATTTTTCCAGCTTGTCATGTTTGAAGACACCGGAGGATATCTCATTGGATATATTTACATATTCCATTAAGTATCCCATTATCCATTGACTTCATTATTATATAATTAACCATCATTCACCCATCATGAACCAATGACTACCCGGTCAACCCATGATTCACCCATTAAAAAAAATCACCCAGTATGTAATTATCCCTTTAGTCACCCATTATGAAAAGCCATTAATTGTTACCCTCTGGTTATTTAACATAGCCATGGTATAGATGGCCCATAGAATTTTGCATGATTTCCCAGCTAGAAACCTCCATTTAGTTCAGGGATTTTCCATGGCGATGTTAGTCATAACCAGAGGGTACATATAGATAATCACTATAGTTAATTATCTATAGTTAATTATAGATAAATCACTATTAATTATAGATAAATCACTATTAATTATAGGTAATCACTATTAATTATAGATAAATCACTATTAATTATAGATAATCACTATTAATTATAGATAAATCACTATTAATTAGAGATAAATCACTATTAATTATAGATAATCACTATTAATTATAGATAAATCACTATTAATTATAGATAAATCACTATTAATTATAGATAATCACTATTAATTATAGATAAATCACTATTAATTATAGATAAATCACTATTAATTATAGAGATAAACTATTAATTATAGATAAATCACTATTAATTATGGATAATCACTATTAATTGATAGATAAATCACTATTAATTATAGATAAATCACTATTAATTATAGATAAATCACTATTAATTATAGATAAATCACTATTAATTATAGATAATCACTATTAATTATAGATAAATCACTATTAATTATAGATAAATCACTATTAATTATGGATAACCACTATTAATTATGGATAAATCACTATTAATTATAGATAAATCACTATTAATTATAGATAAATCACTATTAATTATAGATAAATCACTATGAATTATAGATAAATCACTATTAATTATAGATAATCACTATTTATTATAGATAACCACTATTAATTATAGATAAATCACTATTAATTAGAGATAAATCACTATTAATTAGAGATAAATCACTATTAATTATAGATAAATCACTATTAATTATAGATAAATCACTATTAATTATAGATAAATCACTATTAATTATAGATAAATCACTATTAATTATAGATAAATCACTATTAATTATAGATAAATCACTATTAATTATAGATAAATCACTATTAATTATAGATAAATCACTATTAATTATAGATAAATCACTATTAATTATAGATAATCACTATTAATTATAGATAAATCACTATTAATTATAGATAAATCACTATTAATTATGGATAATCACTATTAATTATAGATAACCACTATTAATTATAGATAAATCACTATTAATTATAGATAAATCACTATTAATTATAGATAAATCACTATTAATTATAGATAATCACTATTAATTATAGATAAATCACTATTAATAGATAATTGGTGCTCCATGGATTATCCCATTAGTCACCCACTATGAAAAGCCATGAAAAGTCCTAGGAGCTGGACCTGGGCTATCAGGTGCTCATTGGAAGGCCACCGGCGGATCATGGGATAAGCATGGGATAATGTTAGGTTTTAGCAATGTCAGAAAGCCATGTTGATATATATATATACATATATATATAGATATTGATGAGTTGAATCATGTTAAATCGCCATCCAAGTTTGCTTTACTAGCAAGTTTTGGGGGTTTTAGCATGAACATCTACGGATAGTTTTGTGGATATAACTGATAAATGATGGTCGGTTGATGATTAGTTTGGTGATGATACTAAGCTTTATGTAATGGGGAATATCACAATCCATGAACGGGGCATCCCGTTCTCATCTAACCAGGATCAAAAGGGAGGACGAACGTCGGGTTTTGAACACTTCTGTCATATGGACACGTTGTGAACCGTTTGATACGGGCCCCATAGTAAACGATCATTTTCCGGATAATCTGGGAAACAGCATTTTGACAATCTGCCATATGTATGTTCTTATATACAGGAGGGGAACATGACATTTTTTTTTTTACATCTGAAGCTCTACCAATTCCAACAGCCACATCTCTGGAATGTTGGGATCCCAACTCTGACGGTTTTGTTCCAGGAAAAACCATCGATCCAGCAACAAAACAACGATTTTTTCAGCACAAACCTCTGATACCTCCATTTTCCAGCTATCAAAACATCCGTCCAAGTGATATCATCTAATGATGGTTGAAACATATGGAAAAATCATCTAAAACCATCTCAAACCGAGGTTTTCCAATCTAAAAACATTTTTTTTCAGTGGAAGTCGCTCAGATTTGTGTCACCTTCCGCCACGACTTTCTCCAGCAAAAGCCGTGAACTTTGGCAGGCAGGTGGCAAATCCAAGTCGCCACACCCATGCGGATGAGTTGCAGTGCTGGCGGAAGTTGCTATCGGATGGCAGAATTGATGATGATGATGGTTATTTATATACCACCCAGCGGCTGTCCTTTTCACCCAATGCTGGAAACTAGTACATTGGGTACATCAGCGACTTTGCATTATATACCATGAATAATTACCATCACCGACAACCATCATATTTACCATGAATGACCATCATTATAACCATAAGTTATTGATTATCAGAAAAATGACAATCAACAATTGAATTTACCATCATAGTCAACTGTGTTTACCATGTATGTTTTTGTCAACACTGAATGAACTAACTTTTGTTTTATTTTGTGTTTTACTAGTTAATAATCTAAGTGATCATTTATTCTGATTGGTGATTGTGATTTTTATTACATTAACTGATGCCCTGACCCGAGCGCACGGCCAGGTTATTGAGTTTTCATCCCACGCTGCAGATGCAGGCGCCCAAAGCCTACCATCAATACGCCCTCTGCAGGCGCCCCTGGGACTGTAGGACCCTGGGCTGGGGCTCCCGGGGGGATATGTGATGCGAAAAGGGTGGGTAGTTTTGAGCATGTTTTTAGGGGAAGTGTTATCCCGTGTTATCCATGTTTATCGTTTTTGTGTCGTTTTTGTTATTGATGTGTGCTTGTTTTTCCGTTTTTTGTTGACTTTTTATTGGTGGATACCCGAGATATCCAAAGTTTGAAGCAGATTGATGATCTTTCTCATAAATATTCCATAGTTCCATAGATATCCCATACATTTACCATACATTTACCATAAATCTTTGTGAAGGCGGAAGGATCCCTTCCTGGTGGCCACTTTGGTAGTTCTGGCAGCCGGGGGCCCTGGGGGACCTGGGGGACCTGGAGGGACCTGAACTGAATCAAACTGGGATATCGGATTTTCCCGATATTACAAATATAGTATATATACTATAATATTTGATATATATATATATATACACATGTAAATAGGTTGTGCTTTTCCTTGATATAATCTGAAGTCATCTGAACCAGCTCCCAACCTCGTCATCCCTACCGTGGCTCGGTGAAGGTCTGTAAACTTCGTCTCCTGCTGAGTTCAGGACAGGTGGTCCGAAAGGTTTGGCAACTCAGCAGACCGAGTCCGGTCCGAAGAATGGAACGTTTGAATGGCGATGCCATGATTTAATGCAAGGTGGTGCCCCCCAAGTTATAAGCTGGTTTATAATCCCATTAACTATCGATATATCTACCATAAGTCCTAGTTATTAGAGTTATAAACCAACTTAGCTATCTTGGGGGCACCACCTTGTGGGTTATAATGGGATTGTAATGGGACTATAATGGGAATAGAATGGAAATATACAGTAATGGGTTCATAATGGCTTCATAATGGCTTCATAATGGCTTCATAATGGGTTGATAATGGGATAATGTTTCTATAGTAAAGCAATAATTAATAAACCACCCATATGTTGTTGGTTTATACAACCCATTTATGGTAACTTTTTGGTGATGGTTTTCTTAGTGCTTTACTTACATCACTCAAATAATAACGTTGGATGAATGGGATACTTAATGGGATATGTGAATCTATTTAGTGGGATACCCTCTGTTCACTAAATATATAGGCATTTAAATGGGAAAATCAGATGGCTGAATGATTATGACTTGTGAATTGTCCATTGCTGTGATTGCCAGCGGTCCCAACAATAATACCATCCCAGCCAGCATTTGGGAGTGCTGCATCAACTCAAAGAGTACGAATCGGAATGGCTTGTGGGTTTCGCGTTACGTCACTAGACATCTATGGTGTGGATTTGGCATGGTTACCCCCAAAAAATGCCAAGCTGCTTGAACTTCATCGGCACCTGGGCCAAGCAAAAAGATGCTCCTGGTGAATTGGTGATGAAATGGTGGCTTCTGAAATTGGGGGGGTTCTTTACTTTTCCAATCAGTATTAATCAATGGAATGGGATAGTTATCAATATGGCTTGTCAAATGGGACATACTATTACTATGGGATACTACATTTTTGTAGTACTGAATGATTGTTGAATCATGGGATCACTATTCATCAATATTTCGCGGGATGGTGGTATCTTTGGGAGTCAAATCCCCAAAAAAGCAGCAATCAGAAGTGGCAGCTGAAAATCCCCTATCAATTGAGGTCTAAGTGAGTTTTTTTCGTCATGAAGCTAAGCTATTTTCCAGTGCCACCTTTGATTGCTACAGAAATGAACTATAAATTATAGTTGACTCGTAGAAAAATCCCATGAACACACTATAGGTACTGGGAGTGCCTTTTTGTGGTGGAAAATTGACCCCTTAGGTGCAAGAGGCTTACGAAGAGCTGTTGGAACAACGTGCGGAGCTTCAACGCAAGGCGCACTTCGAGGAATCAGAGGTATGCGACAGGTGGCAGGTGGAGATATCTCTGAGGGTTTCTTAAGTCAGCACCTTAAGTCATGGAGGACCCCAAGATCAGAAAATCCTTCAGAAATTGGTTGTGTTGGAATGTTTTTGATAGAGCAACCATTGGATGGTTTGGGGTAGCCCAAGTTTGAGAAAAAAAAAACCTTTGGCAAAGAGGAATGACGCCATTTTCTGGTAGATGTAGTTCCAGTCTACCTGAGGACGTCTTGGATTCGGGATCATAGACCCCTGCATCTCCTGGTTCACGCTTGCGCAACGCGAAACACTTTCCACCAGGGACTGAAAGCTTTCAGCACCTAGTTTGTGTGTCTTTTTTAAACATCACCAACCATCTTTAAGTGTTTCCCTGAAATTGTTCGATACATATTTTATACATCATAATCTACATAATATATATATATGTATATGTATATACGTGCACAGTACATTCCAATGTATTTGAGATTGATGATCCAACACTCATATTTTTGGTGCTGGTTTCCCACCCGTTGGTGATCCATCGCTCCAGGTGCATTTTCTCTTGCAGTCGCAACGTCAAAGCATCGCCTCTCCGTTAGCCAACCAGGCGGTTTAACTCGGAAGAAACAGGATCAAACACGGGGATTAGAATGAGGGATGCCTCAACTTATGGGCACTAAACGGAAGCAGTGATGATAGATGTTTAAACCATTAAAGTTCTGTGTAGCCTATTGCCCTATTTTCAGACAAATCCAGATGAATTGGTTTCATGACATTTTTTTCAGAAAGTCGTCGACCCAAAGGTGCGTAAGATTTCCGTCGAAGGGTAGCACATGAAGCAACCATCGAATTACCTGGAAAACCCATACAGCTGAAAGGTGAACCGAACTAACTCTGTCAAACCTTTGGTAAAGGTCAATTCTGGCGACCTGCTCCTGAATTTCAGTAGCTTGAGAGAAGTTGAATGACACAAAATAAAATAAATAAAATCATCAGCCTGGTAGATGGTTAGATCATGTTAGATCATGTTAGATCATGTTAGATCATGTTAGATCATGTTAGATCAAGAATCCACTATTCTCCACCATAAACAACCAGCATTTCTGGTGTTTTTTCTCGCTGCCAGGTATACGGACCGATTGATCCAGAAAACCCCCACTGCCGCCGCTACAGGAGAGATGAGGGAATCTGGTGATGTTACTGTACCGTAAGGCAATAGAGGAGCGATTGTTGCGGATTGATCATAGTTTATAATAATGATAATCTTAGACAATCTTAGATAATCTTAGATATCTTAGATAGATCTAAATTTGAATCTTAGATAATCTTAGACTGGTTGGTGGCTTGGAACATGAATGGATTATGACTTTCCATTCAGTTGGGAATGTCATCATCCCAACTGACGAAGTCATATTTTTCAGAGGGGTTGAAACCACCAACCAGTAGATGTATTTGATACCTCGTATGAATAGTACCTCCAATAGATAATTTGAATTGGATGTGGCAATGATGTACATATCCAAATTGGAGGGTTTGCCATTTCCATTTCTTGAGAGTGAATATGCAAGCAGCGGTTAGAGGCAGCTCACAACTGGCTACCATGATTTCTGTCTTTGGCATCCATTGATACAGATTTCTTTGTTTTTCGGGATGGAAACGCTGGTCATCACTGGTCCAAATTGCTGTAGATCCAATGATATTCCTGTGAATCTTTGAAAATAAAGATGCAAAAAGACCCAGCTCAGCTCAATGTCAGTTGTGGTTCCCAATTGGGAAATCTCTGTTTTTTTTTTCCCTGTCATCAGTTGGATCCACTTCCAGGCGATATTGGATGGAGCAGCCACCAAGAACCAAGCCACAGGCCGGCACCCCAACTGGCCATGAAAACTCGCATGATCCCAGAATGGCCCAGACATCGACCCAGTTTTCACACGTCAGAACTCATCATTTTCATGCCTTGGGATGGCAGATGCGCAACCATGAGGCATCAGCTCAGGACCAATCAAGGTGCATAAATCTTCACTTTATTACCCATCATCCCGCTTTCAGAAGTGTCACGTGTTTTCCTGTTTTCCATCCCAACTTGGATCCGTAGACCCAAGCAGACCCAGCAACCCATGGAGACCTCCAGTCCTCCACCGGCTTGTCCCAGGAACCGGTGAAAGATGCCGGGCCTCCCCCTCCTCCTTCCCTGCGGCGCCAGCAAGCGCTGCTTCTGGCACAGCAGGATGCAGAGGCCTCTGCCCAACGAGGGGGGAAAAGACAGTGGTAAATCCAAAGCACAAATATATTTATCAATAATTATCAATATACATATATGGTCCCGTGTCCCGTGTTCCCACCCCCCCCCATGGGATGGGGGGGGGTATGATGCCCCTGTGGTGGTGTATATACATACATACATACCTACATACCTACCTACCTACCTACATACCTACGTACATACATACATACATACATTACATTACATTACCTTACCTTACATTACCTTACCTTACCCTTACCTTACATTCCATACATACATACATACATACATACACATACATACCTACGTACATACATACATACATACATACATACCATTACATTACCTTACCTTACATTACCTTACCTTACCTTACATTCCTTACCTTACCTTACATTACACCTACCTTACATTACCTTACCTTACCTTACGTACATACATACATACATACCCATTACCTTACATTACCTTACCTTACCTTACATTACCTTACCTTACCTTACATTACCTTACCTTACCTTACATTACCATACATACATACATACATACATACATACCTATACCAACATACCAACATACCAACATACCAACATACCAACATACCAACATACCAACATACCAACATACCAACATACCAACATACCCCCCCCATACCAGGCCACGGGGGGGGGGACCAGAAGAACCATACCACCACCACAGGCCACAGGGGGGGGGGGACCAGAAGAACCATACCACCACCACAGGCCACAGGGGGGGGGGGGCCATAAACCAGACGATATACTGTCCACCCATACCCATTGGTGGGGGGGGGAGGGGGGGTGGCCAACGCTGCACCATATATATATATGTATATATATACATAAATATACATACTGACTGCATCTAGCTACATCTAGTTATTCATCTAATTCCGAAACCATTTGAAGATGTCAAAAATGGCGAAGTTTGATCCCCAGCGTCAGGCGGAGTATCCCAGACCTCAGCAGCAGCGGCCGCAAGTGGGGCTCAGAGTTGACAGATACTTGGTTTCATGTGTTTCCTGCAGGAAAACCCCTGGGGCCCTGGGGTTTCTCCAGAAATAGCTATAAAAACTGATGGGATGAATGGGATTATCTAGCCATGACATATCTAGCCATGACATATGGATTCTTTTATGGGACTTTATATTATATATATATTATACATATATGGGATTATATGGGATTAATCGGGTTTGTCCTCAAATGGCCAGTGTGAGCAGGAAAACTCGAGGGATTCAACCATCCCAAAAATTGGGGATTAGAACAGGGATACCCCAACTTGTGGCATTCTTTTTGATGGGGAACATGAGAATCAACCATGGGGATTTTGAGATATCCTATATTCAGACAAACCCGAATCTGTCTTGGCGCAGCGGTGATGATGATGGTGATGGTGGTGGTGGTGATGGTGATGGTGATGGTGATGATGATGATGATGATGATGATGATTATGGCGATTGTGGTGGTGATTGTGGTGGTGGTTGTGGTGGTGATGGTGATGATGATGATGATTATGGTGATGGTGATGGTGATGATGATGATGATGGTGATGATGGTGATGATGATGATTATTATGGTGATGGTGATGGTGATGATGATGATGATGATGATGATGATGGTTATGGTGATGGTGATGTTGATGACGATGATGATGATGATGGTGATGATGATGATGATTATGGTGATGGCGATGGTGATGGTGATGATGATGATCATGATGATGATGATGATGATGATCGCGATGATCGCGATGATCGTGATGATCACCTGTGAAATATTATTTTGTTTCTGAACTGCTGGTGGTGGCCAAAGATCTGAGGTTTCATACCAAGAATGGCGAAACTGCTTTGTTTTCTGTGGCACCCCATTCTGCAGCCATACATGTTGAGGATCATAACATATCATAACTAGGTCAACTATCTTTGACGGTAGATATCTGTATGTGTATATATATACATATAGATAGCTGGTCACTTATGGTCGATAATGGTAGATGTCTCTATAGATAACTGCGTTTATATACCAACAAACATCACTGGGGCACCACCGAGGAAGGCCAGCAGACTTCATCGAACAGTTGGCCTCTTAATGCTGAGTTCACTTGGCGCCAGCGGACGTTCAACCTCTTATATGTGGTTGCAAAGATGTTTGAAGAAAGTATTCCTTTTATCTAAAGTATTTAAAGTTGTTCACATGCTTCAACTTGAAGATGTGATTAATGTGATGATCTACTTTCCCATTTGTAGCATCTAAGAATTGCGTCATTTTTATGTTGAACCATGTGACTATGAGGATGATCCCAACTGCGAAATCGCATAATTTTCAGGGGCTCAACCATCAACCAGGTATAGAATTGACCTAAATCACTAATATCAGTTATGATGTGATCACGCATACAGATACATTCATCATAAGATTCTACATTCATTCTATATTTATTACAGTCACAAACCAACTTATCATGTTTTTGGTCGCTGAAAACAAATACAGCTCACTTTGCACCCCGCAAGGCCTCAGGTTCAACAAGCGCCTCAACCAGCACCAGCCGTAGCTGTAGAAGTCTCAGAAATCTGGAGTTTTCTGGCTTTTGGATGTAATATATCTATATGTAATTTTTAGTAAATATATATATATATTATATATATACAATTATCATCTATAACTATCTATATATCTATAATTATCTATATATTAGTATGCGTATATGGGGTTGTCTGAAAATAGTGATACCCTTTACTATGTGTATTTTCATGGGAAACTGCAACCATAAACCAATGGATTTTGAGGTTCCTGGTGCCTATATCCAATGTTCATCGACTTTCCATATTATGAAACATTGGATATATGGAACCTTGGAAAGTTGATGAACATTGATAGAAAACATTGGTATATAGGTACCAGGAACCAACACATATATATATATATGGAAAATGGATGAAACATGATGTTTTTTATATATATATATATATGCTCAGTATATGAAACGAATATTCCAATGAATATGATACGTGTTTTTTTTGAATATGTATAGTAGATCATAATTAATGAAAAAAATCACAGCAGCCAGCTGATACAATGACCATCTTGGATGGGTTGTGTTGATTCTTAACACGACATATATATATATATATAAGCTACATACATACATATATAATATATATATATATTACTGTAAATGATCCTGAATATGTTGGAATAAAAAACATCAGCAGTGCATCAAGGTGCGTGTGCAAAGACCCGTGGACGAGACGAGGGAAAGCCAGTTCCGGCGCGGCGAGGGTGCCGGTCCAAGTGTCTTCTTCGCAGAAGGATTCCTGGCGACTTTGTCTGGTAGTTTTACCCTCTGGTAAACTAACATAACTATAGAAAATCACCATGCTATTAATGGGAAAATCAATTATTTCTATGGCCATTAACTGTTAAATTACCAGAGGGTAACATTTCTTCTGTTTGAATCTTGCTTGGGATGATCCCAATAGACCTTTTGATTTCAAGTTCTGGTTTGAAACCATCCACTTGTGATTTGCTGTTTTTTGGTGATTTTTCGTAGCGGATCACTAGCATTGCTTTCTGCAAACACATCAGTTGTGCTATGCAGAGGCCAAGAGCTGGTAAAACAATTGTTTGCTCAACATGCGGGGGGGTTCATGGGGGTTCTGGAGGGGGTGAACATTTATTTATACACAGACAGGTTAAATCCCTTTAAGTACCTATAAATCCATGTAAAGCCTTGTAAGTCCCTATCAATCCTTTAAAAAACCCTTAGGCTTTGATCCATCCCTAGAAATCTTTCCGAGGACCTGGGCCGGAGCAGCCGGCTGCGGCTGCGATGGCAGATCACGGTCCATGGCAGGCTGCGATGGCGACACCAAGACTGGCGATGCATGGGAATTAATGGGGATATCATGGTCATATTGATATCATCATCATTGATGGGGATTAACCATATACCCACTTCAGTAAGTATTGATGGAGTTGACTTGACTTTGCCCAAGGCTTTGAAGGCTTCACAATCATTCCTGCGTCATATCAGGGCCTGGTCAAACTTGGGGAAGAAAAAATGGGTTCAGAAATTCTCCAAGCTCTCTTGAGATCTCCCCCCAGGTTTTGGATTACATTCGGGAAGGTTCTTCTGCCCTTCTATGCAGTTTCAAAATCACCAGTTTTTACGCGTAGTTCGCAAATTACACTACACAATATAAGCCGGGGATCCCGATACCAAACATCAACCATCATAAATTGGGGATTCCAATAGCTAGCCCATCTCCATGAAATCCCAGCAACATCTTATGACAATCCCACAATTTTCCCATTTCCCCAGCATTTTTCCAGCATTTTCCAGGCAGCTCAGCCTCCATCTCCCCAGGTGCAAGGCAAGGCTCCAAAGGCTTCCGGCTGGACTCAGTCAGAGAAGGTGGGAGGCTCAGCTGGGAGATCTTCAGCTGGTGTCATGGTAACCCCAAAATCATCTACCCTTTGGATCCCCTTTGTTATTTAACATAGCCATGGAAAATCATCACTTTTGATAGGTACATCATCTATAAATGGGTCATTTTCCATAGCTAAGTTAAATAGCCAGAGGGTAAATTAGACCATTTTCACAAAACCCATGGTCTTTGGGGGTCGCCTAATTTTAGGAGATCTCCATTTGGTAATCAAACATGGCAATTGAAAACCGGATATAAATGGAGCGTTTAATGGGACAATGGAACTAACTGGTGGATTTTACATTCTCATGTTTGATTGCCATGAAAACATGGAGAAAAAAAACGGGTGAATGTGGTACACCCAATGCGATAGTCACTGTCATCATCCCAAAAAAGGGCTTATGAAATTGGGAAATGGGATGATGCTGGTTATAGCAGACCCCAACTAGAAAAGCTGGAACCCGGCAATTGTGGAGGAAACCAAAAAAAGTATCCTGGAAACAGCTTTTTCTCATGTATGTGATGTAATCAGACCATTTATTATCCCTGAATGCGTATTTACGATCCTCATCAAAGAAGAGATAAATAATGGATATGATATACTTGGCGAACTATGAGGATTACAATGATGGAGATAGATGGAGATGTAATGTTGATATAACCGGAATGATGGCATGTTGATTCATGTAATCAACGGGTAAAATCTGCAGGGACATGATCCAAACATAAGTTTTAATGTTGATGATGCGGTTAAAAGTGGGATTAGACTATATTCGAAGGAAGTTTAGAAGTCAAACTTCCGACAATATGGACAGATGAAAAGCACAGCAGGGCAGAGGGAGAGAGAAGAGAAAGATTAGAAGAGAGAAGATCAGAGAAGAGAAAGAGTCAGAAGGAAGAAGATGCAGATGCGCGAAAAGGTAGGAAAGTCGCGAAACACTGGCTCGCTAAAGCAGCGGGTGCGGAGCCAGCTGGCCAGATGAGAGATGAAAAATTGCACGCCATTGTGGCGCGAAGCACATTTCCAAGTCAAAATGTCCAAAACACACCAGGTTCGGGCCACTTTTGGAAGTTGAGATGTCGAAAAAGTGCACGCCGTTGTGGCGCGAAGCACATTTCCAAGTCAAAATGTCCAAAACACACCAGGTTCGGACCACTTTTGGAAGTTGAGATGTCGAAAAAGTGCACGCCGTTGTGGCGCGAAGCACATTTCCAAGTCAAAATGTCCAAAACACCCAGGTTCGGACCACTTTTGGAAGTTGAGATGTCGAAAAAGTGCACGCCGTTGTGGCGCGAAGCACATTTCCAAGTCAAAATGTCCAAAACACCTCAGCTTCGGACCACTTTTGGAAGTTGAGATGTCGAAAAAGTGCACGCCGTTGTGGCGCGAAGCACATTTCCAAGTCAAAATGTACAAAAGCACACCATTGTCGGACCACTTTTGGAAGTTGAGATGTCGAAAAAGTGCACGCCGTTGTGGCGCGAAGCACATTTCCAAGTCAAAATGTACAAAACACCAGGTTCGGACCACTTTTGGAAGTTGAGATGTCGAAAAAGTGCACGCCGTTGTGGCGCGAAGCACATTTCCAAGTCAAAAGTGTAAAAAACTGGCGGTCTCGGACCACTTTTGGAAGTCAAGATGTCGAAAAAGTGCACGCCGTTGTGGCGCGAAGCACATAAGTCAAAATGTACAGGACCACTTTTGGAAGTCAAGATGTCGAAAAAGTGCACGCCGTTGTGGCGCGAAGCACATTCTGAAGTCAAAAGTGTTAAAAACTGGCGGTCTCCGACCACATTTGGAAGCTAGACAGAGAGACAGATGAAAGAGAGAGAGAGAGATAGATCGATAGATAGATAGATAGATACATAGATAGACAGATAGACAGGTAGACAGCTAGACAGAGACAGACAGATGAAAGAGAGAGAGAGAGAGATAGATCGATAGATAGATAGATAGATAGATACATAGATAGATAGATAGATTGGTAGGTAGGTAGCTAGGTGCACCATAGATAGATAGATAGGTAGACAGACAGACAGACAAACAGATAGGTAGATAGATAGATAGATAGACAGGTAGACAGGTAGACAGCTAGACAGATAGACCGATGAAAGAGAGAGAGAGATAGATAGATACATAGATAGACAGGTAGACAGCTAGACAGATAGACAGATGAAAGAGAGAGAGGGAGATAGATAGATAGATAGATAGATCGATAGATGGAAAGATAGATAGATAGATAGATAGATAGAGTAATCAAATGAAAGAGAGAGAGGGAGAGATAGATAGCTAGACGGAGAGATAGATAGATAGATAGATAGATAGATAGATACATAGCTAGATAGATAGGTAGGTAGACAGTCAGAGAAAGAGTGAGAGAGATCAATCGTCTTTCGATCCATCAGTGGCTTCGCTCTGCCATCCCTGATTCACAACAACCAATCTCTCCTATAGGTTTCCTATTTTTGAAACTTCCGCAACCGCCTTGTGCGGTACTACTGGTAATGTTGGTATAATGAGGATATACGCGAACAAGAAATGCGGATAATGACCAACAACTATCCAAGAGGAACAATAAGCCAACAATGCAAGTTTATTTGTTTGCCATAGGGGAGGATATAATACTGTAACCCGAAGAGCTATGAAAACCACTGCAGGTATCTCAGATTAGTGATGGAAGGAAGAACTTAGGTGTTTTGTTTTCCAAGAAACATGGGACGTTCACCAGGATTTGCTTGGGATACACCCCACCAGAGAGGCCAGAGTTTGCATGTCATCATTTTCTGATGGAGCTGAGCAGAGAAACATTGCGCGGCCGGCTTTGTATCCGCAGCCTTCTGTCGAAAGGCGACTAAGTCAGGTCTTGCAGATGTTTAGTGCCTTGGCTTTGGACAATTTTGGACATGAAATGATTTACATATGAACGGAAGGGTCTTAAACGACTTGGCATGTTTTGCGTGCAACCATGCAACGCTGGGGTTGCAGGCCACGGACATAGATTTGGACCGGTTCAAATTTGCAAGACGTCACATGCAACGACAATCTTGTTTGGTTTTTGTTTCACAGAAAAATTGCATCACTTGCAGCAAAAGAGGTCTAGAATCCATGCTTTGTTGAAAACCGAGATTTCCTTTGGGGGTCCAGTACTGGTGGAACTTATACATCAAAATCAATTCTGGAGGGCAAACACATCTGGCTTCTGGTTGCGGGCCCCTCACTCCAAATTCTCATTGGTTTCTTATTTCTTCTGAGCTGTGGTTAGACATACCACCATTGTATCACCCAAGACGTTTTTGTTCCACATCAAATTTCTTTGCCACTATTGTAGTAGCTGATTCTCCAGTTTGCTGACTGTAGTTCATGACATCAATTACATCCTCATGGGTAAGATTTGTTTATAGCTATGGATCACCGTTTCAGTAAAGACACACAAAAGTTGATGGTACAATGTCCAATACCAAGCATACTTCATGTCTGTGCAGCACACTTTGCCAACTTGTACCCATACTATGACCAATATATCATTTAATTAGTAGTATTATATCATAATATACCATTGGTCATCATTTCATATAATTTTGGTGCATATAATATACCATTATATCATAATATGCATGATGCCATGGTGCAATTATAGTATGTATTTGGACACACATACAGGTACCCGATTCCAACAATCCGCGACGCAGTCGGCTGCCATCTGGCAGTAGGTCGCCCACAATTTCGCAGCAGGATGTTGGTCAGGAAGCCAGTGGGCCCAAAATCCTTCAAATGCCTTTTGGTAAACCTTGGTTTTTCGAAGCATTATATATATATATATATACTGGTTGGTGGTTTCAAACATTTTTTAGTTTCCATAATATATGGGGTGTCATCCTTCCCACTGACTTTCATATTTTTCAAGATGGCTAAAACCACCAACCAGTATATATATATATTATATAATGCATATATCCAACTGTTTACATTGTTAGTATATGTTCATCCCCCATGAAAAACCATGGTCCTGGGTTTTCTAAACAGAACTCCTGAGGTACACCGTCTGCGGTCCATGTTCTACCTTTGGGTGGCTCGGTGTCTGGTGATCCATGGTGGCTCGGGAAAGCTGGGATGTCATGGGGGCATCCATGGGCATCCCCATTTCAGAATTCGACAATTTTGAGTATTGAAAGCTATGGTTTTGGATGGTTTTGGGGTGCCCTCATTTTAGGAAACCTCCAGAAATACCGTCCGATCATAGGTGATTTATAAGGGATTGTCCCAGCTATAAACATCCATGTAGTTCAAGGAGTTCCTAGCCAAACATGTTTGAAAGCGAAGGGTAAATATGAGCAATTTAATGGCACCATACTATAAACGTATCCAAAGAACTGGGGATGTTTCCAGTGCCAGGGATTTGATACCATGTGATGGAGTGTGGGCCCAGATTTTGAGACAACCCTGGATTCTCAGAAAACGCGAAAATTTCATGTCAGCTGTAGACGGCGCAAGGGTATTGAGGATCACAATGTTTGGTTGCAGATGGATGGATGTCGGATGTCTATGCTCCTTGATTTGGGTTATGATTGTTTCCCATCAGAGCCAGGATGACTTCAGGGATGCCATTGTCTGAAATCAGACGTACAACAGTATTGCTCGCAGTCTTTGGCCTCCAAGTTTGTTCATGATTTCTGGTCAGAACGATCCCAATTCTCCTGTGGGTCAAGAACTTCCTGTTTGTCCCAGAATTTGATATCTCATGTGGAGCCTGCAAAAATATCTGGGCAAGATCAAAAACTGGAAGGGCTCAAGATGTTAGAATACCAGCCTGGCAGTGCCCCCAAAAAATTATTCCCCAATCGACGAACAATCGACGAACATATCGATGTAATTGGAGCTGTTCTGTTAAGCCTCGTGAGCGTTTTGTGCAGTCTGTCTGGGACTCCAGGACGCTGTGAAAAGCGTTTCGGGCTTTGTGAGAGCCAGAACAAATCCGAAAAAATGCAGTTCCCGGACACATTTCCTGATCAGCACAGCACCAGCATCATCGCCACCGTCACAGTCATTCTCATTTTTACTGTCGGTACCAAACCTAACCCCAGTCATCGAACTTGACACTGTATACCATAGCTATCCATAGCTTATAGTCTCAGCGATCCACGGTAATAAATCTAGAAATCCATTGGGGAACCCGGTAGCTCCAGAATTGCGCCAAGGTATATGTTGCTGTTGTTTCACTGGGGAGGATCCACGCTTATTCTCCGGAGTCTGAATCTTGGATCGGCAACGATCCATGTCGTGAAGTGTTCATCGCAGGTGGATATCCACAGTTTTGTTCTGCGATTGGATAGGAGAGATTGTCTTGAGAAATGGGTTTAATGATGTTCGATGATTAGTAAGATATTGTGTTGACTTTCATATCGACAAGAATCTGTAAAAGGAGAGGTATGAACACTCACCTGATCGAGGAAAGATCTTCGGGTTCCACTTTGGTGGCCGTGGACAGCTCGGGCGGCTCCACACATCTTATGAGATCTCAGACAGGCGGGACTGGTCGTAAGGTGAATGATATGTCAGGGTCAACCCAGCTGAACAACCCCCAGTTCAGTATATAACTGGGTGGCGACACTTTTAGTGGTTATTTATCACTAATTATTTGGGGGAGGGGTAACCCTCTCATTTAAACAATCGGGCTTTATTAACCCGGGGTTGACATTGGTTAGTTCCTATAGGTCCTAGTAATTGATGGCTCATCGTTCAGCGGTAAGTAGGTGACATCATATGATCATATGATCATGTGATCATATGATATATATATATATATGTATATATATGTGCCCTGCAAAGAACAAAATGGTTGAAGGGTATCTACGGTTGAAACGTGTAAGCGATAGATGGCTCTGGCCATGGCTCTATGTTACGCATGTGGCAGCGGTAGAAAGTCAGCCAGTGGGCAGAGCCATTTGCAAATGGCGCTGGAACAAATTGTAAGACCAAGTTGTTTGGAAGACCAGACAGGTTGGAACATCTTGCAACATTATCAGATGGTAAACGGGTCATAATCTACTGTACTAACTCACTGAAATTACCATGGTTCAATATAGATTTAGGGCTATATCATGGCTATATCCAACTCTGATGTCCAAATCGGACATCCAAATATCCCGTGGAAAAAATCATGGTATGATCGTCATGATCTCCCCGAAGGCGAACGAGTGGAAACTGGAAATCCCTATGGCAAGATGGTGAAAATGCTGCACTCCAAAGGTGCGAGATCTCAGGATCCGACCATTTTGAAGGATGGTCACGGGAACTTCAGACACAGGTGGATAGTAAAACTGGTTGGTGGTTTGGAACATTTTTTATTTTCCATAATATATGGGATGTCATCCTTCCCATTGACTAATATTTTTCGGAGGGGTTGAAACCACCAACCAGAAAATCATGTGAAGTCCATTTCTTTCCATTGTATGATTCCATTGAATATCCATGTGCATCAATCCATCTGTATCCATTTGGCGATAAAGGGGCAAGCTCGCAGCCCAGGGGCCGACGAAGATTCAATTGTAGCCACCGCCGCAGATGTGGAGAAGAATCTTGGCCCAGTGGATCCAGTGGCAGTTGCCCTGACCGATCTGTCGGCAATTTGACCTGTTGGCAACCTGAAATAGGACATCCAGAAATTTCACCAACTTTTCTATGTTGGTTTCCTATGGTTTCCTGGACATTAGATGTGATGTGCCAATGTACCGGCCAGCCAACAGTCACCGAGACTCAGTCAGCTCTGTTCAAACAAGTCCAATCAAGGAAGGAAGGTCGCGGGATTCTTGTGTCGCTGCTCTAGCCCACCAGATCTACTAATCGACTCGTACAGATTGATCAGCGATCATATTTCCCGTGAAGAATGGATAGACTGGGGGGAATGACGCAGCATTTTCAGACACACCCAGATCTTTGGCAGTTTCAAACAAGGCCAGCCTTGATGTGATAGCAGATGCAGATTGGTTGGCTGGTTGGCATCAGCTGGTGGGTCATGTACTCTACTCATAGACCCTTCGTTGTTGGTGAATATCCCTGTGTTTGTTGGATGACAGGAATTGTTGCTCAGGAAACCATTGCTTTTCCATCCAAATTCAAGGGGAATTCCTGTAGGTCTTTACTCATTCTTCATGTTGGTGCATGTAAATTGATTAAATCGTGATCATGAACATTTATGAACAACTTCTGGGAATATGCATGAATATGCCTAAGATCATTGATTACATCATGAAAAAGTTGAATAACTTCTGGGAATATGCCTAAAGTCACTGATAGTACCCCCATTACTCGTTTTTATAACACTTGCTCCTTGGTCCATGATCCTTGAGGAACGGAGGACTACCAGCTCCTCTTCAAACCTTGAGGCTCGGAAGCGTGCATCATGTCTATGTACATATATATATAATTATATATATATTTTATATTACATCATTATATACATGTAGTCTTTTTCAAAAAAATATATATATATACTATAAATATGTATTGTGAATTATTGTATCACATAAATATTTTTTGTTTATGCATATCTACATACATGGTAACATATACATATACATATTCATTTACATGTACATATATGTTTATAATACATATTTTTTGATATCACGTTATTTAATCATATATACACTGTACGTGTTGTCATAATATGCATGTTCTCAATATATATATATATATATTATTCATATATTGTGTATTTAATAGGACATGTATGTATCGTGTATATTAAATGCGTTGCGTTTGTTTAGTATTGTTCAAAAATCACTGTGATGACAGTAATAGTGATGACAATATGATATTAAGAATCACCATAATATTGTAAAGTATAGTATTTGAATGTATTCATTAATATTAGTAATGATAATGTTGGTAATGGTATGTAATGGTACTTCCTGAATAAATAAATAATCATATACACTAGTCAAAATGCTAGACGTATTTTCATTCTATTCTATTTTCTTCACATCTAATCTATTCTATTCTATTTTGTTCAAATCTAATCTATTCTAGTTTGTTCAAATTTATATAATCTATTATATTATACTTCATTATATTTTACTATGTTGTCTTATGTTGCATGATATTATATGATATACGGTACACAGAGCGGAACAACAGGTGGGCCATTCCTGCCAGCGGGACGGCCGGGAACTCAGCCCATGGCTCTGATTTAGAAAATGATTTTAAAACAAATTGTCTATGATTTTACATGATAACGTATTTTTCAGAAAATGATTTTACTGTATTTTTTGAAAATTGACTTTAAGACAGTTGAAAAATGTTGAAAACTGACTTGGAAGTTTCATTTTGGACTTTACTCGGGATTCGCAATTGGTACATTGGATATGGTTCAATATTTGTGATTGCAATACCGGACTCACATGTTTGCGCCTTGTCATTGCCATGGATGGGCACCAGTTCCCACTGCTGAGGTAGTTATGGGACTACTTGCAGCAGTGATATACAGGCCGCCATCGAAAACTGGGCGAGTGAAAAAAACGGCATGTTCAGGCAAACATCCCCTCCACTGCTTCGGCAAAATTGCCATGGATTTACCAAAGAACAGGCGCTACGCATTTCTATATGCTGAAACACTTCTTACATGATATACATAGGAACTCTATTTTTTCTGCCATAGGGTTCAATGGATTAGTTTAAAGGAGCACGAACAGAAAGAAAAAATAATCGCACGAAATAGGGGGTTCCCGCCAGCCTTTTATGGTCATTTTTTGTTGCTAATACTATGTTATATTCATACCACCATGTTTCATGGTTATGCGTTTGACCTGATAGGTTCATGATGCGTCAATCCCGACTAAATTACCATGAAATCACCATCATATCCCACTAAATCCCAATAAATCCCATTAAGTCACCATGAAAATCCCATTAAATCTCCATCATCACTGAATCCCTACTAAAGAGTTGGTTAAATCCCATCAAATCACCATGACTAAGTCAGACGCCTTGCTCAAAACCTTATTGACCTCCATGGATTTAGCGGCCTCCCATTGCGCTGGCAGGTGCAAGAAGCGCTGGCCCGAAGTGGAGACGGCGGGAAGTGAAGAGAAGCTGGGCGAAATCATGGTATATGAATGGTAATTATATGAATAATGATAAATGGTAGATATTCTATAGATAATGATAGATCATTGGGTCTATGAAAGTCATGATGATGGTGGTGATGACCCCTCATACTAGATAAATGGTACATGTGAGAATCATATTGGCATATATTGGGATAAGCTTATCCTGAAAAATAATATGGAGATATGATTGGGACAAATTGGGACAATAACGGCATATGAATGGGATATTTAACGGGAATTCACCAACTATAAACGGATTATTTCACCAAGCATAATCCAGGATATGATGTGGATATCATGGGAAAAGGTAGGATAATATACTGATCTCATGGGATACATTGGGATACAGCCCACAACATAAATGATATTCATTTTGCTAAGAACTTGGGGAGTTCCAGTCTCAAAGCCCGGGATCTAAGGTTTTGGCAGGTTGTTTACCCGACCTGGTAAACATACCAAAAACGATGGAAAGATCCACCATTAAAACAATGGGGAAATCCACCATAAATGGTCATGTTCAATAGCTATGTTAAATTACCAGAGGGTAACTTTCACGAAGAGATCTGCTTGTTTTTACCGCAACTAAAATTGAGTTTCGAATGCTCTGACGCTTTTCGTCCCAGCTTTTCATTTTTTTTGCTGACATCCTGGGCTCTAGGTTTTACCTGTTGAGAACTTCCTTAATCTAAAACCAATGCTTATGTCTTATGTAAGACCCCTATGTTCAGCCTTGGTTACATTCACCTTGGTCAGCTGATGGATTCAGCGTTGTGGAACAGCTGGGCCATGATGGAACAAGGTGATGCATAATCCTGAACAACAATAGATAACAAATAACAATAGTAATTGATACTAAAATAGCTATAATGATGAAATTATTGACATTAATAGTTATTAACAGAATAACACTAATTATGTAAAATATTTGGTGTAATATTACTGCTTGTTACGATGTGTGTTATGAATTTGTAGCAATGGTAATAAAATGCAATAATAATAGTCATGATGCTGGTAATGATAATATTGGTAATAATGATAACAACGATAACCAACAATGATGAAGGCGATGGTGCTTATGGTATTATGGGTAATGTTGTTTGCATCACCCACACATGTTCTTCTCTAGGATATTCTATTATTTGATGGCCATTTGGTCAGTAAATCCCTATTTTGAGATACACCCAACTCTTATTGTGTTGATTGTATATTCCCATTATCATCTGGAAATACTTGTAGGGATTATCCCCATTATCATGATATATATATATATATCACATCCCTATATCCCCATGAAAATGGGTATTGTCCCTATTTATATATATATATATATATCCAAACAGATCCCCATTATGATGGCTTATCAATAGCCATTTTTTGTGGCTGACATTCCAAACATATCCGTCCCGGTGCCTCTGAGGCAGTTGAAAGAATGGTCCTCGGGACATTTCGACTGTCTCTCGGAGCCTGCCATTTGTTGTGCCTCCTGTTGCTGTCCCTGCATCCGATGGGCCGAGCCTTGGGTGATTCCTCCAGTCATCTCCAGTCGGGATGTGGGAGCGGGAAGTCGAAATCCCGCCGGAAAACGCCTCAGAAAAGATCTGGTTGGTGGTGACTGGAACCTGGGAATTTTGAATGACTTTCCATTCAGTTGGGAATACTGTAATCATCCCAATTGACTCATATTTTTCAGAGGGGTTGAAACCACCAACCAGACATGCCAGTCAGAGTGTGGGCACTATTTTTTGGCATGTCCAATCATTGCATTCCTTACTGTACTAGCAAATGCATTCAGTGAATGAGGTTCTTGGTCGTGGTTGTTGTCACCAGAACTGTGGAACCCTGCTGACAGACAATTCATACATTAGTGAATCAAGGGTTCCACATTAATAAGAAACATTAAGAAACTCATTCTCCCTAAGTGACATCCATTGGCCTTTAGGACACCATGGATATGGCCAACATCGTTGCATTCTGGCCGGCTGCTTTAGTGTTCCTGTTTCTCATGGTGAAGCTCGGCACAAATAATGGGCATCGATCGATCGTATAGGGCGTTTCTTGCCGAGTTGACAAAAGTAACAACAAATGTGGCGCGAAGAATGGCTGTTCAGAATGAAAAAAAAACATACCATATTATAATATGTATATAGATTCTAGGTACATACTCGTAATTAGTAAAAAATGCAATATTTGGTCGAGATGAAAATCCGACACCAAAAATCCACTCAGCAGCTGATTCCACAGTGCAGAGGTCCAATTTTTGGGTGCCAGCTTTCATGCTCATCAACATTGCGCTGTTGACCTATGGACGGCAGATGCTACGTAAAGGCACCGTCAAGTGCCTCGTGTGATTGACCAACTTATCTAACAATGCAGCGAAGCAAAGGCTGCGTGTGAAGAGAATGTTGAAATCCTGCGTAAGGGACTTCTGAACACACCTGCTCACTTGGTCCTGAAGTCCCATGATTGAGCGCTCAAAAATAGCTCGACGCTAACAAAATGAGGAAGTGTTGTGTTAGCTTCATCTCTGCACATGCTCCAAAAATGTTCATCAACTATCTTGGAGGCTTTGGAATGAAGGAGCAAACAACTGCAAGAAGCTTCTCGGTTGCAAGGATGGTTGGTGCTGAACTGGACGTGCGTTGTCAGGTCTCAAGTTTCAGTGCAGACCTGCAGAAATGAAAAACAGTGAAGAGCCCATCAAAATCCATCAAAATGATCTGAACCTTTTTACGGACCATCAAAATGACTAAACATCCATCTGACTTTGATGATCTGGGTTTATAACTCAAAATCCATCTGGTCCTCATTGGCGATGGCTCAAAGAGATGGCTACCCTGACCCATCCTCGTATCTAGGCTGAAAATCCATGGTTGCCACGTGAAAAATCATCCCACTTATCCGAATTTATGGGGATACATATGATAAATCTACAAAAATCTATAGAAATCCACTTATCCATTGATTATCCATTGATAGATGGGATATATATATATATTATATCTACTTATAGGGGACAGGGCGATGATCCACGACATCCAGGTCTATGCGGCGATTGCCTCTACGTGTCCTTTTGCACTCCCTGCGCCATCACGCAGGCGATGTGTGCGACAAAATTTCGTGGCTGAAATTGGCAAATTTCGATGGATTTCCTTGTGGGATATCTATGGAAAATCTATGGGAAATGGATTTTCTTATTGAAATATGGAATCTTATTGCGATGAACAATGGGAAATCTATGGGAAAACAGATGGAAAATGGATGGGAATTCAGTGGATGGAATGGAGTGTCGTATTTTTAGACGAGCCTTTGTTGTTTTTGCTCAATTTGTTGGAGAGTTTGATGGAAGGATAATCACTGGTTCACCTCTGATCAAGACCGCCCTTGCTGAAAATACACATGATTCTAGTACGAAGATTCTTTGGGGCATCGTGTGAAACCTAGACTTGAGAAAAATCAAAATCCGAATCATTCTGCGATATCATTTTAGGTAGCTGATTCTTCTTGTTTGGAAACATCAAAACTCTGTAGCTCAGGCCATTCCACTGCCGAAAAGTCAAGATTTTCCAATGAGTTACTGTTGAGACTAGAGAGTTTATGAGGGGGTTATAACCCCACTTACCAACCACTTATTAAGTGGGATAGTGGGATGATCCTCCAGTCGCAATACCATACTCCAGTCTCCAGCCTCATCCAATGCCACAGGAGGCGCGGCATGTGGAAAAGGCCGCGAAGGCGCTGGGGTTTGTCTATGGTCACATAGCCCATTTTCAGGTCCACAGCCATAGACTAGATATGACTAGATGATAATGAGGCACAGCCATAAAATTTTATATATTACATAGACTAGATGATAGGATGATAATTATGAGGGAGATCCAAAAGGTCTGCTTTGGTAGCAAACTTCAGGGGAGTTTTCCTGCGATTTCCACTGGTGCCCCGTGCAGGTGGGACATTCTCTGGTAGAGAGCAAGCGCCCGATGGCGTCGCAGGTCACCCGGCCATTCGGGGTCCATCATTGTTAGACACACCATTCGTAGGTCCGTAAAACCACAGCCCAATTGAATTCCATTAACTCCCATTAAGCGCTGTCAACCCAATTTGACTTCTGCGCAAATATCCCAGTCTGAAGATATGAGACCCCAAATTTGGTGGCCAATGATCGTTTTCACCATTTAAACATATCAAAACGACCGTGTCTTTAGGCCTCCTCCATTTTCGGACAGACCCAGTAGGTCCATCATTGAACCCCACTGAATCCCATTAGCCCCCCATTGAGTCCCATTAATAAAATAAGTTCCATTAAGTTCCATTAAATCGCTCATAAATCATGATCTCTATACATCCCCACCATATAAACCCCATTAACCTCCATTTATACATACCATATACTTGGGCTTTACTGTACACCATTAAAAGCACACATAGATGGGGTTAGATGGATTAAACATTTGCTTATACAGCATTAACATAATTTAATGGGGTTTATACTGGGGGTATACCATTCAAACGGGGTGTATCCATTGAACCAGTATAAGGCCCATTACAATAGGTTAATATAGATTATAGTTCCGATTTACCATCCGATCTACCAGTATAATGTATAAATCCATCTAATGTGGCTAAAATTCCCCAGAAAAATCACCATGTTTATAGGTGGTATGGTTACCATTCCCAGGAAGTCATGGGGTGGTTTAAGATATCCCCTAGCATTCACCCCTAGGATTTACCGATCCATCATCCATGATGAATTAGATAGAAAGATACACTTATGTAATTATAATGATCTTGTGTACATATATATATATACATATAATATATATCTTAAATGATATGAAACTGGTATATCATGGTATGGATATATATATATATATATATTATATAGATACATCCGTACCATTATATACCAGTTTCATATTATTTAAGATGTCCAAATCCTGCCATCTCCAAAGGCAGCACCAGCTGAGCCGGCTCCAGCCCCAGCTCCGGCCGCTCCCGTCGCGGCGTCGCCGGCGCCGGCGGCCACCCCTAGCAGCGCCGCGGCCGCGCCGGTGCCGGCGCCACGACAGGCGCGGATGGGGACCACATGGGGACCACTGCCATAGGTGGAACCTTCCCTTTTCGTCATCCGGCTTGGGGATGACAGGTCATTTCATTCACTTCTGTTCAGGTGAAACGCTTTTGGAGATCTTTGGAGTTATTTTGTAGAGGTTGGTAAAGAACACGTGATATATCTACAAAGCAGGTGTGTCCAGATAACATCTCAGCTAACCCCAAGTGAGGTTTTTGGCTCCCCAGGTACCTTGATGAATCTAGAACACAGGCGGCATTCAATGTCATGTATGCCATTGATCCAATATATATATATATATATAATTGATGAATGTTATTTTCCAGTTGATGATTGTTCATCTTAATTGGTCTTAATATTAGTTCATTGGATATTTTGTTGATCCACTCATCCATTGCAGTCCATTGACGCATCGCTCCCTTGGAGACAGGAGGTCATTCAGAGCTCCCGGCCTTCTGCATCTTGCCTGACAGCTGATGCTGGAGATGATCCATCTTTAAAGTTGGAGATAGGTTTAGACGTATTGAATTCTTGAATGCCTACATTGGCCAACAAATCACAGACGCAGAAATTAAAGTAATTATAGTTATGTACATACTGCTAGAAAAGCAAGGCATCATGATTTCAGCGAATCATATTCTGACAAGTACTGAAGTGCACTCTGGAAATCAAACATGGTAATGGAAAAAAAACCTAGTAATAGATGATTTTCCCATTGAAACGCCATTTGCCAGGGGTTTTCAAGGCCGGTAGTTCGGGGATGCTGGTGACAGCTGGTCTTCCCATCTGGGTCTGTCAAACTTAGGCGATTTTCCCAATCTGGTGCAGCTCCAATGTCTCTATGTGTTTTTTAAATATGCATAGCTAAGGTTTTTGGGTTATACCAAGGTTTTTCCCATTTTTCAGAGATGCCTGTGTATGTAACTGGCTTCATGCGGCCACTACCCAGGGTACTATACCCACCTTTCATGTGGTTATCTAAGGCCAAGAAGGAAGCCGCAAAGCCACCACCAGCACCAGCAGCAAAGACAGCTGAATCAGATGAGGAGTGCCCAAGCCTGATATGATATGATATGATTCGATAATGAGTCGATAGTATCTGAGCTATAGTTACATTATGTTACATTTTAAAATACTGCACCTATCCTTTTTCGTGGTCTATTTTTAAATTGCAATGATTTCTCGTGTTCATCATTCATCAACCAGGCTTTTTGTTTCAGGGTTACCCAGTTTTGACACCCATATGTCATGTCGCTCGCCTTGGCTAAGGTTCTGATGGCACGATCGCCTTCGATGTGGCCAGTGCTGTGCTGATGGATCAGAATATCAGGTTATTTTCGATGCGAGAATATCGTGTTGATTTTTACATTTCTTCATATGGGTATGGGTCAATACCTATTAATATCATTTTTAGTGGGATGAACATCCATAAATCCCAGCTATTTTGGGGTTCACTAGGTACCAGGGTTACCCATCCCCATATGATTATTGATGTTTCAGTCAAAGAGAACTGGGTTTGACTATGGTTCGATCCACTTCAGTCGCACTTGCGACTCTGCCTTACGAGCTTTGCATCAGAGCAGTCACAAAGCAAGTTTCGGAGCAAGCTGCGCTTCTGAAATGCCTGCAGTTACAGAGGTGTCAATCCACAAATGGAAAGCATATGATCCAAATTATGTCAAACATGGGCTAAACATCGGGTAAACTATGGTAAGACATGGTAACATATTGGTCAAGTTATTGTAAACTGATATTGACCGATTGGAATCGGCGAGATTTCATGTTTGCGGATGCTGATTCGGGTGATTGATGCCAACATTATACCAACACAATGCCAACAGAATATGTGCCAACACAATGCCAACATCATGCCAACCTACAATTGTACTGTATATTGTACTGTATCTGGTTATGACATTCACAGTTCGCCATGGAAGCCATCACCATGCTATAAAGAACGGTAAACCATCTATTTCGATTAGGGCCATCGAAAAACCATGGCTATGTTAGTCATAACGAGAGGGTAAATCCCATATCATCCCATTATTCACCATTGTTAACCCATTAAATCACCATTAAACAACCATTTTATTGTACTGTATATCATATATGTATTTTATTCACCATTGCTACCCATTAAATCACCATTAAACAACCATTTTATTGTACTGTATATCATATATGTATTTTATTCACCATTGCTACCCATTAAATCACCATTAAACAACCATTTTATTGTACTGTATATCATATATGTATTTTATTCACCATTGCTACCCATTAAATCACCATTAAACAACCATTTTATTGTACTGTATATCATATATGTATTTTATTCACCATTGCTACCCATTAAATCACCATTAAACAACCATTTTATTGTACTGTATATCATATATGTATTTTATTCACCATTGCTACCCATTAAATCACCATTAAACAACCATTTTATTGTACTGTATATCATATATGTATTTTATTCACCATTGCTACCCATTAAATCACCATTAAACAACCATTTTATTGTACTGTATATCATATATGTATTTTATTCACCATTGCTACCCATTAAATCACCATTAAACAACCATTTTATTGTACTGTATATCATATATGTATTTTATTCACCATTGCTACCCATTAAATCACCATTAAACCCATTATTGAGCTGTGATGGGAATGAGCGTTCCGATGATCCGAGGTTGAACCACTGGCGGACCCCTTTGAATCCACGGAGATCTCCATGCGCGGAGCCCAAGGGCCCCGGCTGGGCGGCGCTGGTTTCACCGATTGAGCTGGTCAGGTGTGTGTCGCTGTGGGGTTGTACAGTATGTTGTTCCAGGTGCCGGTGAAATCCACAGCTGTCCTAGTTGAATCATCATGTTTGCTGCTTATATTACTGTATATATCATAGAGATATCCTCAGGTTTCCGAGCTAAACCCCAGGTATTCATATATGTTTTTCTTGGGTATATCCCCATGTTTACAGGTCATATACCCGAGTTTTATGGCCATATCATGGCCAGCCTTCACCAGCTGTGTCGACCCGCCAGGGGGCCCGAGGCGAGGTGGACGGGACAAAAATGGGGTTTGAAAATAGGGTTTCTTAAATGGGTATGGATCAATACCTATAAAAATACCATTTTTAGGGGGATGAACATCCATGTTATCCCAGCTATTTTGATGTGAACAGAAGGGGTACTATTGGTTTTGACACACTGCCAAATGTTAGTGGTTTATCTTCATTTTCCTATTGACTTGAATGACCATTATTAATTAGGATACTGTATATTAGGATATACCTTCCTATTGAATGTCCATAATTAGGATATGCCATATACACCATTTTTAGACAAACCCATATTACAATAAGTATATATTATAATATCATATATATATATATACATTACACATGATAATGTATACAGACAATGTACTATTATATATAGTGCATCATAGTGTATTGATTGTAGTGTATCTAGCGTATGATATTGTATGCATCTGTGTCATATAACAACCATTAAGTACGAACAGCACTTGAGACAGCAAAAATGTTATGTGCACAATATCTGTTGGTACCTATTGTATAATAGTAATGCAATATAATTAATAGGTCCGATATAATGATATAATAACAATATTATAAAATTGTATAATAATTTTATGATATACCATCTGGTAAATTAACATAGACCCTGAAAAGAATCACTGTTTATATACTGTAGTGGAAACTAATCTTCCAACTCCTATCTGGCAGGGTCTATGTTAATTTGCTGGACAGTAGTAAAATAACGGTAATAATAATAATCCTGTCATCCGCATGCCAGGCAGCCTGTCGTGAGCCACCTCTGCTGCCCTCTATGGCTCCCGTGAAGGCGAGACGAATCGAATGAAGATGTGGATTTTGAGCGATTTTAGCAAACATACATTGGATTTACAGTATGTGGATTTCGCGGATTTTATAGGGGCAAAAGCATGCAAAAGCCAACAACATCATGGGATTTATGGGGGAATCAAGCAGAAGTTCAGATCTTTGCGGAGTTGAGTGAATCACAAACGTTGGATCTTCTGGGATTTGTCAATCGTAGATGGTGGGTTTTGAAACAAGTTGGTTTTGAGGATCTGAGCAGCATTTGCACGTCAGATCCGTGTGTCCCATGAGGTCGAAACCATGGATTTTCCCAATTGAGGAAAGCATCACTTCATTTACTCTCAAAATCCAGCTGTATCCTCGCAAATGGTTGGTTCATGTCCTCACAAACAGGTGAAATGTTGAGAATATACCGTTGTGAGGACATGAACCAACCATTTGCACCAAGGTAATGTTGAGAATATACTGGTTGGTGGTTTGAAACCATAGATAAACCATGGATAAACCATAGATTAACCATAGATTAACCAGAGATTAACCAGAGATTAACCAGAGATTACTTAACCATTATTGATTAACCATAGTAATGTTGAGAATATACCGTTGCTATGGATCAAATGTGCACCGAGGGCCCGATTTCCATCGCCAGGCCACAGCAGCCTCTGTGCCTCCACGGCCCAGCCAAATCCAAGGCGCGGATGGCATGGGAGGGGTAGGCTTAGGCAAATCATTGGAAATTCATGGGAAAATCATTGGAAAATGGATTTAAATGGAATGTCAACTCAGTTTGAATCAGCAAAGTTGGGAGTTTTCCTCGATGCAACCAAAAATTGGGGTGTTTGAAGAAACACAGAATTTGAGCATTGACCCAGATTGAATCAACGGGGTGAGGGGATGATACGTTGCAACATGAATTACAATCAATGGTTTGGACATGGCCGAATCTCAATGTGTTTGCAAAAGTTTGACCAATACCAATGCGCTGGCAACGACTAACAGATCACAAAACGCCTCGAATTGTAGAAAGAACACGCAATCCGAAAGCATTTAGCTGGTTGGTGGTTTGGAACATTTTTTATTTTTCCATATATTGGGAATGTCATCATCCCAACTGACGAACTCATATTTTTCAGAGGGGTAGGTCAACCACCAACCAGATAGATTAACCACAGATAAACCACAGATAAACCATAGATTAACCATAGATAAACCATAGATTAACCATAGATTAACCATAGATAAACCATAGATTAACCATAGATTAACCATAGATAAACCGTAGATTAACCATTATTAACCATTATTATCCATAGTCATACCTCCTGATTGCCATCATCAAAGCCATATCTCTCAGAGCCATTTGTGGCTTCATTGGTACCAGCCCTTCAACTTTGACCCAACACTAAGAGTCAGTGACTAAAAAATCTCATGTGTTTCCCATGAAAATGGCAATAAAATGCCAGGCATACCCTATTCAAATACCATTTTTGATGACTACATCACCAATCATCACTTTTTTTTTTGGTTTGATCCACCATTTGTCACGGTACCATTTTGTGCAGGTTGGACCGAAGAGCAATGGCTCATGAAGGCTCAAGAACTGCTCAAGACCTATGGCATTGACACGTACGGAAGCCCTGCTGTCAAACTTTGGGGCCGTTTGGGTTCGTTTGAAAATATAGGGCACTCTAGTTGACTGTGTTCATGAAACATTGCCATTCTTTGGATGTCTCCCATTTAATGTTTTCATATGTGAATGTATTTGAATGGGAGAAATGCTTCGATCGTCCTGTGGAATGGGGGATATCCCCATGTTTACAGTTGACTCCCAAAAAGTGATCATTTGCTGCTGAAATAGCGTCACAGTTCACCGGGCATCCCCCTTTCGAAATCCAAACATCAACAAATTATACCTTAAACAATCCTTGAAAAAACATCTTACAAATTCATAACAACTTATGACTAAAGGATACTAAAGGTATCCCATCTAATATTCCCCTTGTATCCGATCATAGTCCAAAGATATCCTGGTAAAATCCCCATCGGAAAGGGGGCCTTTCTTAGGCGGCAGCCCACGCTTTCTGCGAAGGTGCGGCGGATCAATGATGGACCTGGGTGGAAGAAACAGGGGAAACTCACTGGAAAATCACTGGAACATCAGGAAAAACGCATCGTTTTTTCGGGGGGAAGAGTTCTGAATTGCACTTTTTGAAGATTTTTGAAATCCGATTTGTTTGGGTCGTTCGATTCTCGCGGTTCTCTCCCGTGCCAGGAGGAGTTTCGAAGTACTGAGGTTGGGGATCGGCGGAAACTGATGTTTTTTCGTTGGCTTTACGATATCTTTGGATCTCTAACTTTATCCACTAAAATCACTTGAACGAAAAGATGAAATCCTTGGATCCGTTAACTTTTACCATTCTGAATGACAACTTGTGCAAGGAATCATTGATCATCTTCAAGACTCGTTCAGTTTCGAAGCTTTAGACCGCTCCAAAATAGGGCACATGTTCAACTGGCAGTCAAACCAGACCTGGGAGGCACCAATTCCTCCTCCAAACGCCATTTTCTCCACGGGTCCAGGCGGGTTCACCCATCGAAGGTGACTTGTGACAAAGATTTACTGGCTTGAATTCCGGTAAGATCGGTTGTGAACCATGGCTTTGTCATGAAGGTTGTGGGTGATATCTGACCACCGGGCCCTGGTGAAGGAAGGTCATCCCCAGGGATCATGCCTATGAAACCATGGGTTTATCTGATAGTCAGACCACATCCGATGGTTTAAACATGTTTAAAACATCATTTTCCAGTACAGCTTCCAGTGCATTTCTTGGGGTCAACCCCTGAATTTTTTTCAGGTCTAGGTATCTGGATGTATCTGGTATCTGCCAAGTATCGAAAAAAAAAACAACATAAAAGCCCAGGGCCCAGGGCTGATCCTGGGAGGCCTGAAAAGCAACAAGCTGATGCAGAAGCTGGACGAACATGGTCTCGAATATCTGCAAGATTGGTGCTCCGATGTGGAAGTTGCTGACAGTTGTGGAGGTTCATCTAACTGTTTGAATGGCTACGGTCTTGTATAGCAAGTGAATATCATCATTTTGGGGTCCGCAAATCATTTGTAGATTGGCCATGGTCATCCATTTTCATCGATGTTCTTTGAACGATTTTGAGAAGTGGTGTTCTGATGAGTGACCAAGGCCGCATGTCCGTAACATCTCAAGGTTCAAATCTCGGTTCTGCCATGGGTTTCCAATTGTGCTGGTTGGTGATCTTCGGTGCACTGGCTGGACAGACGGTTAGCGTGGTGTTCTTGTGTCTGTGGTGGTGGTGGTTTAGGGCTAACGAGGATTTTTTGACTGATCTCTTGGCTAAATCGATCCAATTGGCTGTCAAGGAGTGTGCTTTGTCCCATCACGATCCCCCGGATCTCCATCCAGAGGTGACTGTGCCTGTGACCCCTAGTTTTCTCGGAAGTGGGCCAGTTAGTGTTTTGATCAGTGGCTTGAGTGGATTCATTGCTGGGTTTACAATTTTGGCTGTTCCATTGTGGTGCTGTCGTGGTAGATCAATTGAAAAGGATCCTGTTCCTAGCCTGGTCTTATCCCCTGCGGGGTCACCATTGTCAATTGAGCAGATTGCCCGGAACCAGTTGGCTGAAGTGCGCTTGAGAAGGTATGGCGCTGACCGACCGGTACGCTCTGCTTGAGTACAACGTGCCTGGCGCAGTGGTGTTCCACGAGAGGTGGATCCTGGACCACATCTCCAATGATGACTATATCGTTGTGACCCCCGATGAGGATATCTACTGTGAATGCATGTCAGTCCTGAATCAGGATCTTCGTTCCTTCAGAATCCGACCAACCCCAAACACCTTGCCTCATGGCGTGGCTGCTGGACAGGTCTATGCACTGCCAGCCTGGGGAGCAGCCGACCTTGCAAGACTGCGAGGTTTGGCGGCCGCTGAGGCGGTTGCGGAGCGAGGACGACAAGGACTGGCTGGGGCCCAACCGGTGCCAGCAGCGGTGGCAGCTCCTGTGGCTGCGGCAGTTGCTGGTGCCCCTGTTGGTGAAACAGCTGAAGATGCAGGTCCGGGGGCGCGCAATGTGCCGTCGGGAACGGTGATTTGGGTAGCTGCAGAGACTTGTGGTGGTTTTCAGTATGGTGAGCTGGTGGCTGGGGTCGTAGCAGTTGCAACGGTTGGGGCCAAGACAGTGCATACTACTGCGGATGGGAAGAGCCTGTTCTGTGAATGTATTGATGCGTCTGGAGTTCTGGCTTTCAACAACCGGCCATCGAGATGCGATGGGCGGCTCCTGCCGGTGACACTCAACCCCCTTGGCTTGCCCGAGAGATCATTAGCAGACGTGGTGGCCGAATCAAAGGAGTTCCCTGTCAAGTGGAAGTTGGCGGGACCCCGCACAAGTCGTTGGTGTTTGGCTTATCTGTCCGTGGAAGGGTTGGGATTTGAAGCCCACCACGAACGCTTCCGACAGCTGTGTAAGCTGGATGGAGGGGCGTGGGGTGTGCAAGAACACTTCCAACTGAGCCTTATCATCAGACAATTGGTGCAGGTTGATTTCATCAATGGCTGCAACTCTCTTGGGATAGAGCTCATGTTCCGAAGGCTGCAGACGATCGAGTACGCCCACTCCGAGAAGGCTCGCGAACTGGAAGCCAGAAACGTTGGTGGAAAGCTGAGTCTTGAGGAACAATACACCTTTGGATCTTTGGTGCGTCAGGCTGGAACATTGATGATTGCTCCCAGCCTGCTCGAGCATGTGAAAGCTGAGGTCCAGAAGGACGTTGAGTTGCAGAAGAATATGCGAAAGGCGCGTGAGGAGAGAGAGCTCTCCAAGAAGAAGGGGAAGAAGGAGGACCCCTGAGCGCAAGTGTGGCTGAGATTGATAGGCCTAGATCTCAGCTGGACCATGAGGCCAATTTTTGTCCTGCCAGTGATCGTGCCGTTCAGCGTGATCTTTTTCCTTTGCCCATTCCCACAGTAGGCTCATCTCGGTTGAAAAGTGAGTTGAGTCGAAAATCTCAGCAAAGGTTGGGAAAGGCTTTGAACAAGGAGGCCATGGTACAACAGTGTGTCGTTGCTTTGAACGATCTCTATGCTGGTGGTGTTAGTTCCCCTTTTTCTTTTCATGATCGTGCTTCAACCGCACAGGAAGCCGTTCTCAGTCATGTCAGAAATTCAGTGCAATGCTTGGGCCCTCCTCCAGAGGGTTTGAGTCGCTCAGAGGCTCTTTTGCAGCTTCGGGCCTTTGACGGGTATGGAGAATCCCAGTGTCCATGCAACGTCAAGTCCTATCAGCCAGATCTGTTATCTCTTCCTGTTTGTGGCAATCACGCGGTGCCCTTAGCTGAATTGATAGGAGACTCTGGTGGAAATATCGTGAGCGATTTTTGTCGCTCGAGACTTCGTGGCAGGAATGATGCCTGCGAGGAGCTGGAGAGGTCGGGGGTCAAACAACCATATTGTGATCCTCAACTTCGTGTTCCCAGGATTTACAAAGAGTTCGTTCAAAGACTTGTTGATGCTGACCTTGTTGAACTTGTTCATGAAAAACCGGTTGAGATTGTTGAACCTTTTTTCGTTGGTAAAAAAGATGGAAGGCTTCGTATGGTTATCGACTGTCGTCGTTCTAACTGTTGGTTTCATACCCCTGACCGAACTCACCTTTGCACAGCCGAAGCGTTGAGCCGGATTGATTTGGATGAGGGACAGCAGTTGCATATTTCGACAGCTGATTTAAAAGATGCTTTTTATCACTTCCAACTTCCAGAAGAACTCAGATGTTATTTTGGTATGAGACCTATTTTTTGCGAACAGCCCTCATGCAGTCAGTCGCAATCTATCCTGCGGAGCAAGCTTTATCCCAGACTCAAGGTTTTGCCAATGGGTTGGAATCATGCGTTGTTTTGGTGTCAAGCTATTCATCAACATGTGGTTCAACAAGCTGGTGCAACAATAGATACATGTCTGGAAGATAAGGCCATTGCTCCTGCAAGCTCGATGTTCCATATCGAATATGTCGACAACTTCATCGTCCTCGGCACGTCTAAAGCCCAGGTTGATGAGGTTGCGGCTGCCGGTGTCAAAGCTCTGCGTGACAAGGGACTTGTTGTCCATGAGGAAGAATCATCACATGGAAAGATCAAAGTTCTGGGTTGGGAGTTTGAAGACACCAAGCTGCGGCCTCTGAGCCACCGTGTTTGGAGGGTGAAGTTGGCGATGGAGAGACTTCTGGAAGTCGGCCGTGTTTCTGGTCGACAACTGGAAAAGGTGGTGGGACATGCGTCGTTTATTTGCTTAGGTCGAAGAGAAGGGCTTAGTGTTTTTGGCGAAACATATATTATACGTTTATCCATCGACATTATTGGTCTCCCCATCGTATTTGGTCAAGTGTGAGGCGTGAGTTACAGATTTTTTGTGGTATCCTTCCCTTACTGTGGCGTGATTTATCTTCCCCCTGGTGTGCAGAGGTAACAGCAACAGATGCGTCTACATGGGGTCTTGGGGCTACTACAGCGGTTTTCCCTCAACATGAAGTCAAGGATTTGGGTAGTTTCTCCGAACGTTGGCGATTTGAGCATGAATCTTACAGGAAACCACGGGCTAGCACTATGGGAGCTGCGGTTTGCGGTGAGGGCGAAGAATCAGAGGTTTTCAATTGGGCTGCAGCAAACGAACACAACCCTTCAAATTTGGAACCTATCAGTTTTTTCGCAAAGAAGTCCATTGACAAAAAGTTTCGAAACCTTACTTTGGATACTGTTCTCAAACCATGGAAGGTTGTAGGTAGATACAAGTGGAAAAGACAGGAACCCATGCCTGTGTTGGAGGGGCGAGCTGCACTCTATGCTGTCAAACATGCCTTACGTGATGTCAACCATTTTCACAAGCGTCATCTCCTTTTATCTGACAGTATTTCAGCAGTTTGTGCCTTGGATAGGGGTCGGGGGAAATCTTTTCGGTTGAGACGAGTTACACAACAGGTTGCAGCTCTCAGCCTATGCTCCGGTTGTAGTTTTCATTATAGGTGGCTCCCATCAGAGTGGAATCCATCGGATGCACCCTCTAGAGGATCAAGATTTCCGGTCCCCTTGTCGGTTTTAGCTGCCCATGGTCATCCACCGGTTGATCCACCTGCCGAGCCCACAAAAGAAGAAGTCAAAACAACCGCGGGCAAAGGCAACACGGAAACGAAGAGAGAAAAACAGTCCAGTGACCTGGACTGGACAATCAGACAAACAGCGAAAAATCGAAGTCAGAAAACTGCAGTTGAAAGAGGCGGGCTCGCTGATTCAAGCGTCAGTGGGGGCTGCGTGCCGGAAGAAGTATCTGGACAGCTGGAACCGTCTGAAGGCCACTACAGGTTTGAGGGACCAGAGAAACATGAAGGCGAGTGTGCTGGACCAAGCATTGTGCCGGATGCTGAACATCATGTTCAGCGATGGCGAAGATCTCAGTCATGCCCAGTACATGTTAGCAGCCAGTTTGTTTTTCAATCCCCACCTGAAGTCCTCGAAGCAGATGGCGTTGCCTTTGACCAAGCAGACACTTCAGGGTTGGAAGAAGCTGGACCCTCCAAAGGCTCGATTGCCGTTGCCGTGGGAGGCCGTGTGCGGCCTAGTCGAGTTATCTTTCCTGGAGGGACAGAGAGAGATAGGGCTGATGATGCTGCTCTCTTTCTGTCTGTACCTCCGTCCTGGCGAGGTGACTCGGCTACGCGTGCAGGACTTGGTCCCACCGGTGCATGGATCGGGCGGAGGGGGAGCCGAATGGACTGCAATTCTTCATCCGCTCGAAGAGCACATACCCTCGAAGACTCAAGAGTACGACGAGACTGTGAGCTTCGACAAACCCTGGATGAGGTTCATTGCGGAGGCCACTTACCGGCACCTGAATTTGTCCGGCCGAGGCAAGGCCGAGAAGATCTTCAGTTGCAGTGCTCAGCAGATGAAAAAGTTCATGGAGAAGGGTTTCAACAAACTGGGGTTGGAAAGTTTGGGAAGTGCACATCCATACCGGCTTCGTCACGGTGGGGCAAGTCGGGATTACCAGCACAAGATGCGCTCCCTGACAGAGATCCAGAAGAGAGGAAGGTGGAAGTCTGCTGCATCGGTCCGAAAGTACGAAAAAGGCGGAAGACTCAACCAACTTCTGCGAAGCCTGGCGCCCAAGGTCTTGATGAAGCTGCAGTCTGCTACCAAAAGAATCGAAAAAACGGTCCTTGGCCAGCGTTGAAGCCTGGCCGCTCTCTCACTGAAAAAGTTTTCCTTGAGATATTTAGTGGATCCGGTCGTCTGAGCAAGAAGGTTGCACAGATTACAGGCTGGACGGTCTTACTCTGGGACATCTGCTTGGGTGCCGACTATGACCTATTGAATCCTGCAAATAGACAGAAACTCAAAGATTGGATTCGAGGAGGCAAGGTCATTGCGTTCCACCTTGGCACACCATGTGAGAGTTTTTCACGGGCACGAGACGTGCCTCCAGGACCTCCACCTCTTCGATCAGATGATAGACCCCTAGGTTTAGATAATCTCAAGCCACATGACAGTATTAAAGTCCTCACCGGAAATGTCTTCATGCGTTTTTCTGCTGCTTTGTTGCATTTAGCATGGGAACTTCATATTCCGGCTACCTTGGAGAACCCTGATCGATCAAGATTGTGGTTGTGTCCCCCTATTCGATCTTTGCTGCGACGCTCCATGGTGAATAGGTTTGTCACACATTATTGTTCATGGGGTATGCCCTACAAAAAGGCTACTGGTTTTTTGGCTATCCATTTGGACTTGTCTCGTATATCTGCCGTCATGTGTTTTGGGAGCAAGCGTGGTATTTGTAGGTTTTCTGACAAACGCCACATTCAACTATTTGGACAAAATCAACAAGGACAATGGCTTACCAAGTTAGCTCAGCCGTATCCCTGGAAGTTATGTGTTGCTTTGGCCAAGTGTTTCCATGATTTCGAAGTTCAGACTATAGCGCACAATTTTAGCAAACACCTATAATGGCAGACTCCGTCGGCTATACCAGTGGGCATTGCAACTATGGGCCTTGGTCTACTTCGTACTTTTATCTTGGATTATGAGCAATGCAATTACGGGCAACTTCCTGCAGCACAATTGTTTAGCAATGTGATGCGTGGCAGTAACACAGCAGCAAACAACATGTGCTGCGTGCGAAGATCGAGTCAAAGCCTGGCCAAAAGGAATCGGGCTGAGCGGATCATCGATGTTCTTTGAACGATTTTGAGAAGTGGTGTTCTGATGAGTGACCAAGGCCGCATGTCCGTAACATCTCAAGGTTCACCCTTCCCTGTTTCACTTCCCCCCCTTCAAACCTTGGGGCAACTTCCTGCAGCACAATTGTTTAGCAATGTGATGCGTGGCAGTAACACAGCAGCAAACAACATGTGCTGCGTGCGAAGATCGAGTCAAAGCCTGGCCAAAAGGAATCGGGCTGAGCGGATCATAGCTATGTTGAATTACCAGAAGGTACATGTGCTTTTTTCTGCACCCCCAATCTCAGTAAAATACAATGGTTTTCGGGAACTCTTCCGTATCCTCTTTTAATCAAACATGAAAACGGAAAATCCTCATTTATAAATGTGTTTCCCATTTAACTGTTAATGCATAGAGAGTTTTCTATTGCCATGTTTGATTATGAGAAGGCCCCTTGAACAACTGAACCGTTGTAACCTTCAGCGTGATGTGACTTTTTGCCTCCATTGGTTTTCCTTCGTTGAACCATCATTTTGCATTAATTTAACAGGCATTCAACATTCATTCCATCCATTCAGCATCCACTCAAGATTCATGTTCATTTATCAGCATTCCGCTGAATGTCAATGTGAATTGATTTCACACTCTCTTAGATATTCAATTAATGCATTTCAGGTTACTTCCCCTACGATCCATGATCAAAAAATGGGGTGTTTTCCAATAAAAATCGGGATTGTCATCAACCCATGAATAGTTCATACCCGATGACGGATCCATGGTGCTGCTATTATATGCTAACATATGACTGGGGTATATGGATGGGATCCATGTTACCAATTGTTACCATATAACATGGATCCTATGGGTACTGGTGGTGCCCTTGCAACTGGGGGATCCCATGAACATGGTGGGATGACCAGCTTCATGAAATCATCTCCATCCATCAACTGTAAACCACCATGTTTTGTTGCTTTAATGCCAGTGTTACAATGTGTTACAATATAATATCAATATAATAAACTAGCGATTTCAACAGTGAAAATCATCCAAATATGAATTTCCATCATGTTTGATGGAGCCCAATCTGTTCAATCCCAATTTTCATATGATAAATCCCCCTGCATCCATTTCATCCATCTTCATTCCCACTCTTGCTTCAAGCAAGAATTTGCAGGAAACCCAGAACTATCGTTGGAACTTCCAACGCCTGCTTTTTCGGTGTCGAAATTTTCCTACTATTAACCCATCATTAAGCATCATTAACAACTATTAAGCACTCTTATTCCATCATTAACAACTATTGACCACTATTGACCACTATCAATCAACCTATCATTAACTAGTATTGGCCTATCATTAACCATCCTCCATTAATCCGTCCGCCAGGTATACGCCCCTGGACCGCGTGCACAAGGTTCGGGATTTGGCCATGTGCCGCGCTTCAGTGGAAGCGTCCGGAGGCTGAAGGTCATGAAAACTGGGAAGATGGATGATCAACACAAGGATCGAATGGGGTACTTCATGTTTAAAGCAACCAACAAATGGACAAAACATAAAGTATAGTCATCCCCAAATAGATGGAAAAGTAAATCCCTACAAATCTGATGGTGATTTACTTTTCCATCTATTTTGTGATGACTATATATGTTGATGAACTCTGTGGGGGTTGAGATTATATAGGAATTGGCATCAGGGATCTCACGACAAAAATGATTGGTGTGTGCGTTCGCCCCATATCATAGACAACCCAAAAGATCAACAATTGTGAATCTACCGTGATTTGCCCAAGAATGGAGAGACAAATCCACAAGTTCACTGTGAAACTAGCGGAGTTATCACATCACAGCATATCAATATAATTCAATATATAATATATACACATGCAATCATGCACATAATAATACATAAATACATACATAAATATAAATACAGACATACATAAATACATATAATTACATATACATATAATTACATATACATCTACATGTACATGTACATCTACATGTACATGTACATATACATATGTCCAACATCTTATTCCACAGAATCTCCCCAAAACGAAGTAGCAACTCCTTGGACCAAGGCCCGTCGCTGTGAGCGGACTTCTGGGTGTGCCCGGACATTCCTACGTGGTTCCCCGTGGGGGGCCCCCGGCAACTGGTAAGTCATCAGGGTGGATCCGGAAGGTGGATCCGGAGCTGAACAAAAACCCTATGGTTTTTTGAAGGGAAGCTGCAGATTATGACCACTTGGATATATATATATATATAATGTATATATATATATATGTATATGTTGTATGTATATATATATATATGTGTGTGTATATGTATATATATATATATGTTGTATATGTATATATATATACACTGTATATATGTAATATCCCTAAGCGGTGTTCAAAAATAAAATCAAGGGGCTTGAGCCCGAAATATTTTTAAATTTATTTTTCAAAAGGTGCTTATCATAAGTTTTGAGTAAGTCAGACCCCTATGATTTTATTTTTGAGACATGGGCCAAGACCAAGAACCAACCCCAATGCAGCTGGTGGAGTAGCTTTAGGTTGGGTCCCTTTGGTTTTATTTTTGCGTTTTGCTTACCTTTTTGTTTTGTTGGAACATGTTGGAACACACCTCTTGTGTTGGAATTGGTGGACAAGACATGATGAAAACAATGGCTATCACGCCACAAAAAAGAAAAAACTATGGATTGTGATTACCTGATTACACCATTCTGCTTCTACAAAGCTTGAAATACATATTTAAAAGCTGGGTTTGGATATGTTTGGATTCAATATTTGATAGATTTTGGGGAAAATAAAATCCAAGGTTCCCAAGCTTGTAGAATTTTGTTGGGTAGTATGGTTGGAATATATTGAATCTATGCTTTGTTTGGTGGTCGCTATTGTTTGGGCAGAAAAGGATGCAGCCAGAACACGCCACAAAAAATAAAAAAAACTATGGATTGTGATTACCTGATTACACTTCTACAAAGCTTGAAATACATATTTAAAAACTGGGTTTGGATATGTTTGGATTCAACACTTTGTTGAAATTTCAGATGATTTCACAAACACAGATGCTGACCTTGAACCCTTCAGTTTTATTTCTGGAACATTTTGGATGCTGGCTTGGAAACTTCTTGATTTTATTTCTGGAACCTCTTGATTTTATTTTTGCAAACCCCTCAGTTGGATGACTGATGATACTGATGATTTTCTCTTTGCGCAACATGTGGGGTTGAACTCCCCTGATTTCATTTTTGCATTTTGGGGGTCAGTAGCCTGGGTGCCCTTGATTTCATTTTATTTTTCAGGGGTTCAACCCCATCTGGGTGCACCACAAGGGGATTATGTAATATATGTATGTATGTAATGTAATGTAATGTAGTGTAATGTAATGTAATGTAATGGAATGTAATGTAATGTAATGTAATGTAATGTCTATAATGTAATGTAATGTAATGTAATGTAATGCAATGTAATGCAATGTATGTATGTATGTATGTATAAAAATATGTATATATATATATATATGTATGTCTACATATATATATATATATGTATGTATGTCTACATATATATATATATATACACGTAGGTATGTCTACATAGTTTTACATGGAATACCCCCCCAGTTCTATATATATATATGTATAGTGGTTGTAATAGGGTGAAGTGGAAACCATCTCCAATACAACCATACACGGATTGTTTGAGAAACATCCCCAAATGATAGTTGTTTATGGCGATGGTTTTACTACATTATGAGATGAACCAATGACAATCTGTAATACGACATAGTAAAACCAATATATATATATACAGATATACATATATATATATACACATCCAAGTATGAAGATGAACCAAAATCATGTTATAATCATAATGTACAGTATAATGTAGATCCCCGAGCCATCCGCAAACGGAAGGAATCAAAATCCGCCATTGGCAGCTGAGGTGCTTCTTTGTCCAGAGCTGCTAGCGAGGAGATGATGGGGATCGAATGTGGGGTTCCACGGGTTTGTTCCAACATGTTTTAGGGAAATCCAGGGGTTGTTAACAGGTTTTTATTGTGGAATAATATGGATGTAGTCTGATGCAACAATTTTTGTTTTTTCGAAACTAAACCAATTCTTGGACTACAGTGACTGACAAGGGGCTAACTGGACGTCTTGTGTAATGCCATGGCCCGATCCTAATGATGACGAAATTTCTGGGTCAATACTTTTTAGGTCGCCACATATCATCATTTTGTTTGTAGCTCATATTCGTTATATGTATTCCTACTTTTGTAGATATTTGATGATATTTGTAGGTCAAAACCTTGTCAAAATTTCATGTTTGCCACGTTTTCTATAAGTTCACTTCCCACGTTTGTGGTGATTTTCCCGATTTTATAAGCCATACGAGGTATACTTCCGCCGTCGGCAGCTTTGACACAGTCGCACCGGAGGAGAGAAGAAGAACGAAGCCTAGCCGAAGGTGACGAAGGTGCGCGCAAGGGCAGCCGCTTCAGCCTGGGGGTTCAATACCAATGTTGGATCTTGTCCTCACCAAAAAAATGTTTCAAAATATGATTCAACCTATACAACAATGAAAATGAGTGATTTCACAGTTTAGCTGTTGAATAGTTTTAGGATGTTTTAGGTCTCATCATCAAAGAAATCGGAATTTCACTGGACTTAACATTCAAACATGGTGATTTGAAGATATTTGAAGGGGATGTTTCGGTCTGAGTGAAATCAAAAATTATCGTGGGAACATGTGGGAACCACCATTGCTTTGCCCGCTATTCAGTAACCTATTTTTGGGAGAATCCCATGATAACCTATCGTATTTGAGGGATGACTGTACAGATACTTGAGACTTGAGCTGCATGGAGAGGCTTGCGCTGGATTCAAATGGATTCAACCTGTGAAAAACACGGCATGGTGCTTGAAAGCTCCGTGAAAGAACGATGAAATTGATTTGATATATGGAGGTGTCCAATCCATGAGTAACCCAAATCATCCAGTCGTCATGGATGACCATGTTCGACTCAGAGGACTTTTCCTCAGAGTATTTGCTGGACATAAATGATCAGCCCCTCAAGATATTATGGCCCAATTGGATGGTCAAAAATAAGAAGAATCAGCCTTGGGTGCCAGGTAGCTCTATTTTTTGAGCCAAAATCCCGTCCACCAGGCCATTCACCTTCATGTACACAGTGCTTGACGGTCGAGGTCCCTAGCTGAAACCTAGCTGGATAGGTCCTCTCGTCGTCCCGGTCAAAAAGGATGGCGGCACCGGACAGACCAATGGGGAGTATAAAACCTCCAAAACTGGTGGTTTAGTCTTGGGATTGCCACATGAATGGGATGGTCTTCGTATCAAAAACCAGGTAGAATGCACTTTTGCTTCGAAGAAAAATCGCTAAAGGTAAGGTTTTCAAGGCGAGTTTCGACCCATCCCATGCCATGTGTGGAGAATGGACATGACCACCGTGTGGTCGTTGTATCCACAACGGATGCTGCAGCGGCTCAAGGGGTGGGCGGTCATTATGGGTCATTTACAGAAGCCCTGGGTGCCATTGACATGTACAGAAATAAAACTTAGGAAGTGGCAAGAAAATCAATGAAATCATCAGAATGAAACAACATGAATCAGAAGAAAACAAAATGAATCAGAATAGAACAGAAAGAGTCAGAACAAAACAGAATGAATCAGAATGTCTGAGACTGACTTTAGCAGTCCAAGCCACAGCAGTCCATAGCAAGGCCAAGCAGTTGAGATGTCACCATGCTATCCACTTGCCTCTTGCCGCATGCGATGGTACCTCGTCACCATGAAAAGGGAGACGTGAAGTTCGTTTCTTTAATATGGACCTGGGAGCAGGGCAGTAGGTTACAGCCCAATTCTCAAAAATTATCCATGGATCAAATGGATCATGTTGAAATCAGAATTATGTTTCCATTACCGATTATGAATGATTATGAATCGGGGTAAAATATGGTAAAATGCAACGACCTCACTACGACACAACTGAAACGATGGTTAGCAGGGGGTAACTATCCCAAAATGATCTGATTTTCGAGGCATGTGCACCAAGCTGCTTCAATGACAACTTACCAGTTCGATGATTTAACCTCTTGAAAATTGGTCAATACTATTAAATAATGGTGATTTACCATGGCAACAGTTAAATTACATTAAATTACCAGAGGGTTTTATATATATATATATATATATCCGATTACATCCCCTTATATCTTCGTTAAATCCTCGTTAAATCTGATCAAATCCCATAAAATTCCATTAAATCCATCAAATCCAATTGAAATCCCAATGAAATCCCATTAAAATCCAATTGAAATCCCATTGAAATCCAATTGAAATCCCATTGAAATCCCATTGAAACTAAATCCCATCTAAATCACTAAGTTGATGGTCAATCATCCATGAACTGCCTGGAAGGATCCTGACTGATGGTCCGAAAGAAGGACGTGTCGCATGAGGGCCGAGGCCCCGATAACTGGGTGGTAATGTAAATGCCTATACAGACGGAGGATTTGGGGGGTACCACCATTTTAGGAAACATCCATATACTGTATATATATATAAATAAATATGATGCACGATATATATGATGTATGACATAGATGATGTATCACATATATGGTAGATATGTAATATGTCTATAATTATACAATTATATATATATATATTTATACACCAACGGTAGATATATCATGTGAAAAATACTGAGGTATATATATATATATACACAACACTTCCAAACACGAAAGTTTATGGTATATATATATATAGTGTCTGTATATATATAATATATATATATGCATATATACATACGGAATCAGTATTGGTGATCGGGATAAATGCATAAGATACCATTATTAATACCGTTTCGATTCATGGATTGCCCTCGGGGAATCTAAATGGGAATTTTCCAGCAAGCCATGTTCGATTGCCAGAGGCTATGTTGTTGCATTCTTACTTTGATCCCATTCGAATTCTGTGCCCATTCTTAGTACTCGTAGGATCCATGTATGCTATATATGGTAACATTCACCATCAATATACCCCAAATGTTAGCATATATACCATACATGGATCCTATGGGGTATGAATCTGTTTCCTGAAGAATAGCGCAACAGATCCAGTTAGAAATGCTACACCGAGCATTTCTGCAGTGTGCAAAAAAGCCATGATCGCTTCCCAGGGCCGATACCACCATGTTGAGACATATCCAAATCTCAAACTGTTGCTTTAACATATATATATATATAATGTCCTAATGTATCATGATATGATATATCTTCATGATGAATAACTATATTATGATATATTAGGTACATTTATGTAAAATATAGAATATTGATGAATATCGAATATATCCCACGAGAATATCCCACATATCTCCATATGACTCCCATGGCCCACGTCGCTTCACGTCCCTAGGCGGAATCGAGAGATGGATCAGCTGGACATAGCCAATCCAGTGGGCTTCTCATGGTGGCTGATGAGTCACATTTTTTTCCAACATCTTAAAATCGATTGGAGGAGGAGCCATGTTTTTTCTTGATCATAGTAATCATAGTGTATTAATGTATATTGGTGACATTTAGTGACATATTAATCCATTATATATAGAATTAGCTCCTTCGGCTTACTCAACGGTGTGCGAACTGGAAAATCAAAAAAAACATAGGTAAATCATCATGTTTATCATCCATACATGGGCCATGTTCCATAGCCATGTTAAATAACCAGAGGATAACGTAGATTTATGATGGAGGATCCATGCTTGTTCTTCATAATAGTGACTATATATCCATTATGTAAGTAATATCCCCACTAAAGTATATCCCTGATGTTCATTTTTGATATCTGGTTTTTGTGGTTGTACTTATAGCTATAGGCTGCTTTATACAGGGATTTTTTTTTGGCACTCCGTTGGGGAACCTCTATAGAGATATCAGGTCTTCAAGACGAGGTTTGTCCTTGTTAGGAACCTGGACGCGGTCATGGTACTTTTGGATGATGGATTCCAACAGAAAATGGTCAGCAATGATCAATAATTTGTGAGAATTCAAAATTTCTGTTAAAATCAACAATAGTATATATATAATATATAATGATAACTGATTGGTGGTTTGGAATTTGTTATTTTTCCATATGTTGGGAATTTCATCATCCCAACTGACGAACTCATCATTTTTCAGAGGGGTAGGTCAACCACCAACCAGACAAGTAACTAAGTATGATAATCAATGGGATTTTGCACCAAATTTTGCACCATACAATCACCATGAATATTTCGGGTAGGTCAAAGATAATGATGTGCAAACCATTCCAAAGATGCATTGGAATGAAAAATGGCACCTCTTTGGGTCGCCCAGTTTGAGACTCATCTCCTCATTTTTTTCCCCATTTAGTACACGATCAGAAATTGATATTTATCGAATGTGGCACACTGGTTATTTAATTAACATAGCCATGGAAAATCACCATTTTTAATAGGTAAACCATCTATAAATGGGCAATTTTCCATGGCTATGTTAAATAACCAGATGGTAATGGTAATGACTCATCATTCTTATCATGAAACGCAAAAAGCGCAGAAATCCGCCCGACGTCACGACGTCTCCCCAGGCGAGGCCGAACCGGACTTGGCGGCCGGAGCTGCAGTAGCTCGGTTTTTAGCGCGCCGAAGTACTGTACTGAACGCTTCTTTCTGGGGATTTATGACATATTATTAGCGTAATAGATGTAAATAGCTGAAGTTACTTTATGGTAAATAGCTGAAATGGTAAATAGCTGAAGTCATTTTTCTGGTCAATAGCTGAAGTTACCATTTGGTTGATTACCATTTGGATAATTGACTGAAGAATAGTGATTGTAAATAGTAATAGTAAATACTAATAGTAATAGTAATAGTAATGATAGTCATGGTACATGAAAAAATGATTAGTAGTAACTATACTAACTGAACAATAGTAATCTATAGTAGTTGTAATACATACTGAAACAAAAGTAATAAACAACAACTGAAGAACAGTACCGCTTATAAATAAGTGAACAGTAATAACACATGTAATAGAATTGTGATTTAGCTGTTAGTTTCATGGTGATTTTCCATAGCGCTTGGTTTAACAACCAGATGGCAACTGAACACTATGTTTATTATTATAAGTAGTAGTAGAGTCAATAGCAATAATGACAACAATATTTAGAAATTGGCAACATGATGTGTTTTTTGGTAGCAATAAACATTTATATAGCATATATAAACATCACAATATGTCAGTTCTGACAAAGATGATGGTACCCTCCCAAAAGAAGACCAATGATTGCCCAATGGAACTGGTGAAAACTGGTTGGAACTGGGTCCCTTGGTTAACCAATTGGGACCAACGGGTAGACCGTTGATCCCAATTTGTCAGGGTTGAGGGTGAATGTTTATTGATGAGTCATTGCATGGTTACTTAGCAGTGCAAGTGCTTAATTTACCGATTGAGAATAACTAGTTCATTGACGTTGTTTGATTATTTTAGAGCATTAAAAATGCGATTTCCTGGAATGGGAGGTTGAGAAATCCAAAGTTATATTATTGAATCATATCGACTATATGCCGATGTCAGGATGCTTAATCATGCTTAATCTATATTCAACCAATTTTTGATGGCTACCTCATCGTTGACGCTTTTTCACCATTAAACACTTCCCTTAAGTTTTGATGGGTTAAGCCGGTTTTTTACCCCTCCACATGGAGAAGAGGCAGAATTTTGGCCCTGGATGGACTGCTACCCCAAGGTGGAACCCCGTTGCAGCACCGGAACCACCAACGAGACACCGAAATGGGCACCGGGACCCAGCCGTGGCATGTGAAGCTGTGCCATGGGATATTGATGGAGGGTTGGGGTTGGGGATGGTTCAGGACCTTTGTTGGATGGTTCGGATGACTTGAGTCATAAAGTCTGATGATTTATGAAGAATTATCGTGATTTGTTTCATGATTTCTCCATATTTCTCCTGATTTATGGACCAATTACGACATGTTACGACCATTCTGATGGCTTCTGACGTTCCCATCGATCCTATCATTGGATGGGGCACCTTGGCCGTGGGTTTTCAACGCCTGAGGCGGATTGGAAGACATCAAGACCGCTATTCAGAGATTGTCCTGTGCCTCAAATGTGGACCTGAAATTGGGCTATTCCCCCCATATCCCCCCATGGCCATGTAACCGGGGAATGAAGGAAACTGATGAGATTCCATTGGTTCAAATGGGGGTAGCCCATTTCAGATAAAGTCGAATGATTGAAAACTGACCGACTTCACCATAGATACCATAGATTCTGTATAGATGATGATACTTTGGGTTGGGGGAACCATCCCACGATTTGTCTTCAATCTTTGCAGCGTTGTGAGGGTCAGAAAGGAGCCGGGCTAGAACCAACAATGGCCGGGCTAGGTTCGCAACAACCACAGAATCCACATGATGTCCGGATCATCCATGAGTTTAACCGTTGAGGCAACTACGGAGGCTCCTTCTGTGAACTCCTCACCGTGCATGGCTCAGAAAATTTCACAGCTGTGAGACTCTACAGTTGCCCTGGGGAGTGGTACCCTTTGAAACTCATGGATCTTCACCCCCTTCCAGTTCCAGTCACTTATTCACCTTTGATATCCATTGATCATCGAACTGGACAATAGTTCGAAAATCCCAACAAGGTCATAGAATTTCTAGATCATCTGTAGGTTTCCAATCCATGGGGGTACCCCCAGATCAGCCAAATTAGATCAAAACAACCCATTTTAGTATTGAAACCCATAGTGACTTGAGGATCCTCCCTCCAACTTCTACCCAGACCCTCCAAATACATCCAAATACCCCAAACACATGTAAAAGCTACGTCAAAGATTGTAAAAGTGCATCGGAATTTCGGTAATTAAACGACCATGATTTATGGCTGCACACGGAATGTCTGACGGCGGATCTTCTCCTCGTGTTATCCCAGGTGGAAGCGGTCCAGGAATATCTGACTTTCCATGGCCTGCAGGCTGGACTGGAGCATGACTGGAGGGGCTAAATGTAGGTAGGTTCTAATGATTATCTAATATCTAATAATAGTCTAATGATTATCTAATGATTATCTGATGATTATCTGATGATTATCTAATGATTATCTGATGATTATCTGATGATTATCTGATGATTATCTAATGATTATTTGATGATTATCTGATGATTATCTGATGATTATCTGATAATTATCTAATAATTATCTAATGATTATCTGATGATTATCTAATGGTTATTTGATGATTATCTGATGATTATCTGATGATTATCTAATAATTACCTAATAATTATCTAATTATTATCTACTGATTATCTAATGATTGTCTGATGATTATCTGATGATTATCTGATGATTATCTGATGATTATCTGATGATTATCTGATGATTATCTGATGATTATCTAATGATTATCTAATGATTATCTGATGATTATCTGATGATTATCTGATGATTATTTGATGATTATCTGATGATTATCTAATGATTATCTGATGATCATCTGATGATTATCTGATGATTATCTGATGATTATCTAATGATACTAGTAATTGCATAGATCTGGATATAAGTGTACCAATTTGATCGTTTTTTCGGCCAGCCATTCTGCCAGGACACGCAAAAAGCCTTGGTCTCATCGCAGTGTGACTCGCCACCAGCTGGTTGGGTGAACTGGTTTCTTTTTTGGTAAAACATGGGTCTTAAAATGCTATATATATATACATATATACATATATATATATACATATATACATATATATATATACATATATCATATATCTATATAATTATATCAATATATGTACATAAGTATATTACATATAAGTATATTATATATAAGTACATTTATTATGCTAGACAATGGGGTGATCCAAGTTAAAATGGATTCACTTGATTCTCGTATTTTCTTCTGGATGTGAAAACACAACATCCGCTTGTGCCACTTTTGTCTCACTTTCCCAAGGTCCAGCCATGCTGGGAAAAGCCTTCCTTGGCATTACAGCGCCCTGTCGACAGGGATTTTGTTGGGGTTACCACGAAACGCGGTGGCACGGTGGGGGAACTTCCCCCGGTGATCAGCGGAGAATAAAGGCTAGGCTCAAAGGGTCATGACATGTCATGAGGGACAAAAATGCGAAGATCCTGCTGCTGACTGTCAATGCAGGTTGATAATCCATAAGTGAGAACTAACCAGCTAAGGATGGGATTGTACTGTGGGTGTCTCTGAAAATTTGGGGAAAACTGCCATTCCCTGGGTGGCTTGCTTTTGTAATTCTCCTTTTATAGGCCTGGTGAGGCGGGTTGAATCTGGTATCCAGCACCTTTGGCAACTCGGGTTAACATATGTTAACAGTTAACTCATTATTTTTGAGCAACAATTCCACTGTGATTTTCGGCTTTGGATGATTGACAGTTGTTTTTTTTGGTGTGTGTAGATGAATGTCCATACATTTCCCATCGAAATGGAATCACTAAAAAGCTTGTTAAAATTGTTAAAAAGATTGTTAATCACTTAAATGGAACATACAAAAAGCCACTGAAGATGAATTTCTATAGATCTGCCATCCATTTCCACCATTAAATCCCATTAAATCCCATTAAATCCCATTAAATCCCATTAAATCCCATTAAATCCCATTAAATCCCATTAAACCACCATTTTCCCATGCATTCCCCTATGGTTTTCCTATGGTTTTCCTACGCAAGCCCACGCAAGCCCAAAACGGGGCCGAGGTGCCAAGCCTGGTGCCAATGGCTCCGCTCCATCCAGGAGACAGCCAAGATGTGAAGAAATATGTCTATTTTCTATTATGGTTGATCTATGGTTAATAATGGTCAATTATGGTCATTAATAATGGTTAATCTATGGTTAATTGTGTTAACCTATTATGTCTATTATGGTTAATTATGGTTAATAATGGTTAATTATGGTTCGTCATTGGGTTAATATGTCTATATAATGGGGATTGTAATTATCTTCTTACCTGCTGTTAAGAGGATCAAATAGTCATTTGTAATTTCTCCAATTATCATATGTCGCTCTTCATGTCGAATGTAAACCAAGTGTACAAAACACCCACTTCCTTAGTCCACAGTTAGGAAACCTTTCTCACAATAACACAATCAAACTAGGTCGGTTCCAAAATGCATTGTTAATTCCCATTGTTTTGACCCAATTTGATAAAATGTGGTTCAATGACGGGATCATCCCATCCCCCAAGTTTGATTTTTGTTGTCCTAATCATGTAATAAATTTAATAAGATAGATGATGGCATAAACACAATGACTGGCCAAAATGGCCGGAGAATTGCTGAGCCAGAGCGGGTTAGCATAAATGATGGGTATGGTACATCTTTCCCAGCATGGGACCCACCTCTAACCAAAGTATGTCAACCATCAATGGGGATCACTGAAAACAATATCAACATCCAAAAACCAAATGTATTGTTATTGTTATTGGCTGGGACCCCTTTTTAAACAAATACAGTGGGACTTCAATTTGCTTAGTGTTATGGAAGACGCCAATGACAGGCACATCCAAATCTCACCAAAATACCTTGGCAAATTATTCGTACACTCAATGACCATTGACAGTTCTCCCTTATGATTAAGATGGTTTTCAGTTTATGTTTCAAGAAAGGTTGGTGTTTGACTTTGGTGGAAACAAATCTACCAAGCATTGTTTGCAAGAGTTTTGACGGTTGAAGAAAACATGATAATCATAACAAGATGAAAAGGTCTTGAACTATCAGACTCAGACTTTGCGATGTTCTTGGAGCTCATGAGTTGGATTCCTTCTAAAAACAAACCAAAACCTGGAACTGTTTCCACACAGTTTAAGATGTAGCCCGAGTAAATGATAGTAAAGAACTCAGGAAACATTCGGCAATAATAATACTAATAATACACTATTGTTTTGGAGTTGCCTTTGATCTCATGCACTCAGAAACACTGGCGACTTATTTGTTTGACAGTCTTTTGCGGAAAAAAAAATGGCGCACAACTTCGACTTTTAATTGTTTGAATAATTTTGAAATGACATATTTTCAAAAGTTTTAAACAAAATAAAAAAAGAAGAAATAGACATTGAACGTGCTGTTAAGCAAATCACCTTGGCCAGGGGGGGGGCAAATGCCCCCCCCTTCTGGCCAACATCGGGAGCGCTACCGATGTTGGCTAGCCGCCCCCTACATGTCTTAACAGCACTTCCAATTTTTCACATTGGGGGCTTATTAGCTCAAAAGTCCCGGTCCGTACTATGCAGGAGGGGGGCTAGCCAACATCGGGAGCGCTACCGATGTTGGCCAGAGGGGGGGGCACTTGCCCCCCCCCCTGGCCAAGGCGATTTGCTTAACAGCACGTGCTAAGAGTTTAATGTTATTTTTCTTTTTTTTCATTATTTGAAAACAGTCGGGAGCGCTACCGAATGTTTTCGCCAAAAGCAAAATTTGTAATTATGATCTTAAAACAGTCGGGAACGCTACCGAATGTTTTCGCCAAAAGCAATTTTTAAAACGATGCATGGTCTTAAAACAGTCGGGAGCGCTACCGAATGTTTTCGCCAAAAGCAATTTTGAAATTATGTATGGTCTTAAAACAGTCGGGAGCGCTACCGATTGTTTTCGCCACAAGCAATTTTTGAAAATATGTATGGTCTTAAAACAGTCGGGAGCGCTACCGAATGTTTTCGCCAAAAGCAATTTTGAAATTATGTATGGTCTTAAAACAGTCGGGAGCGCTACCGATTGTTTTCGCCAAAAGCAATTTTTGAAAATATTTATGGTCTTAAAACAGTCGGGAGCGCTACCGAATGTTTTCGCCAAAAGCAAATTCTGAGCATAGAACAGTTCCTGAGCACTAAGATTTTTTTACCATTGAATACATCAAATTTTGAAGGCAGAATCATTTGTTTTACTAATGCAATAACAAAAATGCAATTTTTCAAAAAGGTTACATTGTTTGTTATTACATAACTTTATATTTCATGTGGAACTGGGACCACTCAGGAGAACTGCCAAATGGTACACCTCAAAACCAACAGAAGCTGAAAGTCAGTGTCATTCTGGCCATTGTTCCCTTCCTACGAAATCTATATTCTTAGTCTTAAGGTCCCAAAAGGGAAGAAAGGGCATCACCATAACATGCACTTGCAGGCTTTCAACATCTGTTTTTATACTGAGATAGTAATAGATAATGATCAGCCGCGGCAGGGCAGCCACCCTCCCCCCCTCCACCCCAAATGGGGGATATCACGGGGATACTGGGAATATTGAAGGAATAATAGGAATAATATATGGTGAGTAATAGGGATATGGTGGAAATATCATGGGGACTATTCAAAGACATATATATATAGGATGATATATTGATGGATATACAATCCGGTGTAATCAAATGTGGCACCACCAAAGAAAATTGGTAAAATATAATTTGACTATTTGACTATGTTAAGAGCTGGCAAGTCTTCTAGTATGTTTATTTTCGAATTATCTATTGTGTCTATTATGTCTATATAATTAATGGGGATTGTAATGGGTCAACAATGGTTAATCATGGTTAATGATGGATGATTTTCCCAGCTATAAACCTCCATCTATATGGAGATTTCCTGAAATAGGGGTACCCCTCGATCATCCATTTATAGATAGCATGGTTAGCAGCTAATAATTCATAATCTAGCATAATAGTATATGTCTTATGTTATAGCTACATGTTATATATGGGGGTTTCCATACATGAGGGTACCCCAATAGCTGGATGGTTTATCATGGAAAATCCTACTAAAATGGATGATTTGGGGTACCCCCATATTAGGAAACACCCACAAATATATATATATATGTATTTACAGATACTTACCTACAGCATATATATATATAATATGAATATTAATATGATTAGATGTAAATGATTAAACATAGTTGCTTTCCGGATTTATATGAATTTATCTCAACCTATATCAATACATTATACATATATACATACAGAACTGTGTCCTGGCACCCAGAACTCAGGGAAGAGTCCCCATCCGCGAACTCCAAGGAGACGTAACTGTCCAGGCGGAACTTGCCGTTATGAAAGCCCGGGCCTGAAAGCGTTGTGGCTGGCCGGTGCTTTGTTAAACATGTGGGAAGGGTGAGTTTGGTATTTGAATATATCATCAATTAATGTACATAATTAGACCATGAATTCTATTGATGATATTAGAATATGGATTGTAGTGATGATCCCATGATGATTTTCCTCATCATGTATATAATTATAATGATGTAGATTAATGATGAATGTTTATGATCACATGGGATGTTTACACATATGATGGCGTAAACCATTCCATTCGGGTAGCCTACCGGGTACCGTTTTTCATCCCTTCATCCCTTCTGACATGTTGAAGCGGATGTCATTTTGGACAACGAACCAAGAAGGACTTGGGAAGAGTGAGACTCAAACGGATGTCATTGTTTATGTGGTTTATGTGCAAAGTGGTCAGCATTGGTCAGCATTGAATCCTGATTTTGGTTGACAATTTCTCAACGGCAATGCTGTGCTGCTGCAGGCACTGCAAGACTTCGATGATGGCAAGCGGGAGCCAATCTGCGTAAAAACCATGCGAAGCCGGTCGACTATTCATTTTGTGTACGCCTAAAATTAGTGGTGCAAATCACTATGAAAGTTGCTACTCCTCATTATTCATATGTAATCCTCATTCATCTCCGTCATCCCACATAAAAATCACTATTAATCACTATTAAAGTTGCTTAACAATAATTTACACCCAGGGTTAAGCCCTTGTGTCACCAACTCTGGGTTTATCCTGGGTTAACATCTGCCTGGACTGGCTGCTGCCTGGCTTTCCCAAAATCTAAAGCTGGCAATTTTGCATGGGGAAGCTAAGGGTTTGGAGTACATATACTGTAATAAACACTCATATATATATATATTATTATACATATACACATATATAGAAGTATAATATTATTATATATATACATGTGTTATATATGTAAATCAATACACATAATTTGCTGATGTTGAGTTCCAGATCTGGCTTGGACAAACTTTGGCGCCAGGAGCCTTTTCTGCAGCAGTGGAAAAGCCTGGTTCCTTCCAACAGTCCTAGCGGGTAAGACGAGCGTCGCAGTGTCGCAGTCGCCAACGCTGGGCAATGATTCCAAAGCATGGATGAAATATATGAAACACTGTAAATAATCGAATTATAATGGAATTGTGATGTAATTAAAATGGAATTAAAATGGGATTATAATGGGATTATAATGTGACTATGATGGGATTATAATGGAAATATAATGGGATTATAGTGGGATTATAATGGAAATATAATGGGATTATAATGGGATTATGATGGAATTATGATGGAATTATAGTGGAATTATAGTGGGATGTTTACCATCTACCACTCATCCACAGTACGTTTGGTCATCCTTCATCTTGTTGCAGCCTTTCCTCTCCGCCAGGGGCTCTTTGGAATTGCGAGTGCGAGTGTATTTCGGAACCTACAAGACACGGAAGGCATGACATCTGCGGAGATGTGGGTTGCTCTGAAGACATACCCATATACTCCATGGTGCTGGTATATTTACCTACAAAACTGGGTGATTTTGTTTGGGCAAATTTTGGTAAATATTCCAGCACCATGGAGCATATGGGATATATATGATAACCCCCAATTCCATCCAATTCCAATGGCCAATGGATGGTTGACTTCTGCTTCGGTAAACCATGACTCGTAAACTATGACTCGTAAACCCAATGGATGAATCTTATCATGATCCCTTTTTTTAAGTGCCGCAATTATTTGTGGGTAGTAAATTTGTCATGTTTGAGACACCCATATATTACATGATCCCATATGTAAGTAAGCTGTTCGATGTATGCTTAGAGCGACCTTTGTATCATGGTGCTGTATCGATCTTTGCTCGGGGGGCTTACTAACGGCCTAGTTAAAGAGTGTTCAATTATTTCAATTCAATCCCGATTGATTGTATAACATCGGTTAAATCATAAGAGTTCAATTAGAATGTTCAACTAACATGTTTGATTATTTTATTATAACTAACAATTACAATGTTGGTATATCGTTGGTTGCATCCCTAGCCTTGATCATGACAGTGGCTTAAGATTCACGACAGTGGGTGAGCTATGATGCAGAGGATTGCATTATAATAAAGCATAGAAATAAAGAGGATATTTCATGGGATATATGTATATATAATAGACAAACATATTTATATCATATATCATGAAATATCCTCTGTATATATCATATGTATATATTATATAATAATATATAATTATATTTGATTTTTCAACATATAGATATATCATAATTATATATTTAATCATATATGATTTATAACATATATAATGTAGTGTATATATATATATATGGAACATTATGCAACCATGCATAAATTCTCTTACATATCAACTTATCATAGGATTCTTTGGATGATTTCTGTCGACTGGAAACGCCGCCAGTGCCAGGCATTGCTGGCGAACGTTGGGGTACCTGAGCTCCAAGCATGTAATTTGGCCATAGAAATGTCCATATTTTTCTAGGATCCTCATTGATTTATATAATTTTCCACCTAAGAGGATGATGTTCATATCATGTTCGGAACTGTCCATATGTTTTTTCCCCACCTGCCAGGTGAGGCTTGTTAGATTTTATGTCAGTTGCCTCCTCCTGCCTCGTCCTCCTCCTCCTCCCCTCCTCCTCTCCTCCTCGTCCTCCTCGTCCTCCTTGTCATCCTTGTCGTCCTTGTCGTCCTCGTCGTCCTCGTCGTCCTCGTCGTCCTCGTCGTCCTCGTCCAACTGCGACCCGCGATCCACAGTGTTCTCTGCCGGACCTCAACCACGACCATCCACGCCCACTTTTCCCTGCCGGACCTCAACCACGACCAGCCACGCCCAGTGTTCCCTGCCGGACCTCAACCACGACCAGCCACGCCCAGTGTTCCCTGCCGGACCTCATCTGCGAGTATCCATGCCAAGTGTTCCCTGCCGGACCTCAACCGCGAGTATCCACGCCAAGTGTTCCCTGCCGGACCTCATGTAGGAAGATATGGGACAAAAAATGCCAGATAGAATGCCAGATAGAATGCCAGAAGATATACCAGATAGAATGCCAGATAGAATGCCAGATAGAATGCCAGATAGAATGCCAGAAGATTTGCCAGATAAAATGCCAGAAGATATGCCAAAAGATATGCCAGAACATATGCCAGAAGATATGCCAGATAGAATGCCAGAAGATATGCCAGATAGAATGCCAGAAGATTTGCCAGATAAAATGCCAGAAGATATGCCAAAAGATATGCCAGAACATATGCCAGAAGATATGCCAGATAGAATGCCAGATAGAATGCCAGAAGATATGTCAGATAGAATGCCAGAAGATATGCCAGATAGAATGCCAGATAGAATGCCAGATAGCATGCCAGAAGATATGCCAGAAGATATGCCAGATAGAATGCCAGATAGAATGCCAGAAGATATGTCAGATAGAATGCCAGAAGATTTGGCAGTAAGAAAATGTATAAATGTTATGGTGGGGATCACACGAAGTAAAGTAATTATTTTCCATATTTCCCTAAGATATTCATTGATGTCCATCATGTAGACATGTAAAAAAAAACACATGGGTCCTGAAGCCTCCGCCACTGAGGATCCTGACACTCCATTGTCAGATTCCTCAGCGAATGTTCACAGTTGCTGTTTCCTGCAAAAAAAAAGCTACTTGTTGCATCTACAAGAGAAAGCTAGTGCCATAAACTGGATCCACTGGATCCGTTTGAGGATGAATCAGTTGATAGACACCTTTATCTAAATGTATGTATTTTATGTTGATGTTTGGGGATGGTTTATGGCGGTTGACCTGGCCTTGGGTCGCTATTCCTGGGTGAATTGCTATGACTATTGATCGATAGTTGGATGATGATTATACATAATATGGAGGTTTCAGGTTTCCTAAAATGGGGGTACCCCAAATCATCCATGTCAATTGGATTTTCCCTTATTAACCATCAATTTTGGGTACCCCCATTTTAGGAAACCCCCATATATAACAAGTAGCTATAACATAGGACATACTATTATGCTAGATTATGAATCATTAGCTGCTATACATGAGTACCATGTGAGTTATGCATACAATGTATAGCCAATGTTTTTTTGCTTGTCAATATAGCTATAACTATAACTATGATTATAATTTTCCCCAAGATTGGGATATATATATATGTTCGAATGAAACACAACAACTATATCCGAATTTGATTTAATGATCAATGGAACTGGGGATTCTGTTTTGAGTTTCGAGTTTCTGGGTCTTTTTCTTTTCGAAATGGAGGTTTTTATGGCGCGCCTTTCCGTGGTCCAGGTTGGAGCCGGACTTTACGGATCTCAAGGCAGAATTGACCTGGAAATTGTGGATGTTTTGCGTTAAGCCTGAAGCAAATGATGACCTAAAATTCATGGAGAGGTTGTAGACTCGGGGATACCGTGAGTAATTCCAGCCGCCTCTTAGGATGAACAGGGTGTTTTTTCTATCAACAAACGGCTGAGATGATTTGCTAAGTGATTTACTCCACAGGATGTGGCTCTGGACCCCCAAGAATGGATGGTTTCATTGCTGGTAAGAATGTCATTTGATACACATCGCTTCAAAATTGATGAAATTGGATTTGACTAAACTCTACTAAATACAGTACAGAAGTATATGTAAGTATTCAATACCAGTGTATGTGGTTCAATAAACTAAGCATTGTCATCATCGTTCTGTTTGGTGGTTTGTGGGGTCTACTAGCTAGTTCAATATTTATCTATCATACACCGTAGCTTTTACGTAGTCAAACAAACCAATTAACTTAGCTATTAAACTCAACTATATATTCCCACTGTTGTTAGTTCATCCCCCATTTTTTGGTGGATAGAAAACGATGGAAACCTATCGTTTGCCGTAGTTTCCTTGTGTTTTCACCTTTGTCGACCCCACCCGAACTGGGTCTGCTGATGGATTCTGCAGAGGCCTTTTTGTCTTCAAGACCCTCTGCCATGGGTAGCGATCCCTCATCAAACAGCGCGGATCCCGAGCCGAACCGTGGACCCAAGGGCCCAAGGGCCAGCCAAGGACACCGAAACAAGCTGAGCTGATCGAGGGGCCACAATATATATGGCGAATGCTGCACCCTCTGTGCTCTGAGCAAGAGTTCTGACGTGGCTGAATCTTCGCTCTTGATACTGTCACTCTCCAATTGCTCTGCTTGAAAACTTCTGCAGGACTGTAGAAAAGCTTGCCACTGCTGGGTGCAGGTGAGGTGTTTGCTTCGCCTTTTTTTGGACCCAAACCAGGTCTGCTTCGAAATCCGTGGATGATTTCTGACTTAAATCACTTGGATGTCTTTGAATCGATTTGGGGATCGATTCTTTTAGTCATTTTTTGAGTTGTCCAGTATACAATTGTGTATGTATATATAATATATATATATTATATATATATTCTAAAATATTAGCTATCCATCGCTCGGAAGCGGAAGAGTGCTCTGGCTCTCCAGATTCTGGCTCGCGTCGGCTCAGCTGAGATTCTCACACCGTGGATAGTATAGACATGTATAGACTATAGATTCAGATATCCTTGCGAGTGGCATACCTATTTCCAGCAATTCTTCATATTCTTGATCTAACTGGACCTTAGATTTGATTTAATGACATGGGAATCAAAACATACTTTGACATCCAAACACAACACCTCCCAACTCTCATGCCCCCATACCCTTGCCGTGCCCGTGCTCCGAACGGAGCCTGAGGTCTGTCATCGCTGTATGCCTTGCCATTTGTACCACAGCCGCACCAGAACTCGGCCCTGCGATTCATTTTCGAGGACCTGAGAGATTCCTGGGGCGATGTCCTGAGATTGTTTTTTTTGGTAGGGTAGCTAAACAGAGAACACAGTGTGTATATATATATATGTATATATATATATATATAATATATATTTATATTATATATATATACATACATGTACATAGCAACATGTGCCAGACGATTCCCTGTGACCTTGTTTGTGTTTTCTGCTAAGTGGCCTTTAGAAAGAGGTCAGTTAAGGAAAACGTAGAGGTCAGTTAAGAAAACGAGCCAAAAAGTGGCCTACCAGTGACACGCAAGTGACACTCAGCTGACACGCAGACAGCCAATCCTTAAGTGACCTTTTCAAGGCGTAAGTGACCTTTTCAGGGTCCTAAGTGACCTCGTTTCATCCCACCTCGAAACCCCAGTGACACGCAAGTGACACGCAAATGACACGCAGAAATCATGTGGTCAGCCAGGCAAAGAGGCCACTTAAGGATTCATGAAACGAGGTCACTTAGATCAATAAAAATATTACATTCTAGACCGTAAGTGGCTTCTTTTTCATCTTTCCCTAAGTGGCTGCAAAACAAGGGCACTTTGAATCAGCTGGTGATACTAGTAATAGTATATTTATAGAATATCCTATTATAATATATATATATATCTGGATTATATCCCATAGGATCCATGTATGCTATATATATGGTAACATTTACCATACAAATATACCCCCAATGTTAGCATATATACCAGCACCATGGATCCGTCATGGGTATGGCATATGGCACATTGCATGGTCATGACGCCCCATCGATCCCCATCTGCAAAAACGGCTGTGTATGAACCGCGGTTAATTACGTATACCAGCCAGATATTTATATATATATACTGTATATATATATACTATATCAATATGATAGCATTTCCGAACCCACATCCTGTAGATATTTGCCTTGAATTTGACTCACTTTTTGCGACGACTCCTGGTGATTTCGAAAGGAGCCCTGGTCGCAGCAGTTGCGCTCAGATCTTCAGGTGGATGGATATGCCATAGGATATGGAGGTTTCCTAAAATGGGGGCAATTACCCCCAAATCATCGGTTTTAATGGGATTTTCTATTGTAAAGCATCCAGCTATTGTGGGATACCCCTATTTTAGGAAACCCTTATATGGAATGGACACTGGAATTGATGTTTGCTTTCTAAATGACCTTGGGAGATGTTTTTTCTGATTAATGGATCACTCAAGAAGATAATTCGGAAATTGGCAAACAAAATTGAAAGGGGATTGGAAGGAGATGATTTGTGCGACTTGGCCAAAGTTCAGTGCAACGGTGTTTCAATGCCTTTCGTTGCAATCTCACTCTCATTTTTCTGGAGGCTTTTATGACGGCCTACACTGGTACTCGCCATGCACCCTCATTGAGACACCTGGTGGGAACCTTAATTTGCTTGTTTTGTTGATGGTTATATCGCATTTATGTTGAATATTGGGATGTAAATTGGGATATCTAGCAATTGTAAATGGAAAATAGAGTCATTCAACAATTAAAAAAAAAGTTACAGTACCATGTCCATTCTTCGCCGTTTGTTTCCATGGTCAAACACAAAAAGATATATTCTTGCTAGGTATAAGATGCCATATTCCTGCCCCTCATTTCGACTTACCCTTTTTTCCCATGTTGCGTATACCTCACTGATGCGCAAGGGTCACCACGTTTTCGCAGCTCCTTTGGGGCAAAATGATGTCAGAGGCGGATGCCCACTTTGCTCGAGCCATGTTGCAGCGCCGCGCGCAGCTGCTGAGATCCTTTTTGGATCGACATGGATTTGATTATGTGAACCGCCCTCGAAGTCTCAAAGGGTCACTCATATTTTGCTGGTTTATGAACATGTTTGATATTTTGTGCACTTATTTTCAAGATGTTTCATGGTTTACATCCCTGAAAGATTGGATTTCTTTGGACAATGCTTGGGTTGGAATCACCTCGTACGAGGTCGCAGATCAAGATGGAGCCAGTGTACCCCATTGAAGTTGCTATGGAGCTGGGCAATTGGGGAATGGTGAAGATCTTGCTGGATGCCGGGGCCAACCCCCCGAGCAGCCCGAGCAGCCCAAGCAGCCCGAGCACGTCCATAGGCTCCATCTTCAACTGGGCACTAGCGCACCTTAAACCGGACAAGATTTCTGCGCCGGGGCCCTTGCGGAGCTGCCTTCGAACTGGCCTTCGGTGCAAGTCTGGCAGAAGTGGCATTGTCTCCGTGGAGCTATAGATGTGCATAGTTATCCCAAAGTATCACAGCAATTCCCCGTGACATCCCCTTTTGAGGGGAAACAGGTGGACATATCATATTTCATTGACAGGCGGATACACCTTCGCAATCCTTTGCAGCCTTTCCCCTTTTCCATTTACACTGCGGGATTTCAGACAGGGATAAAACTCGTCCTTGGCAGGTTGAAATCCAATCGTTATCATGAGGTTGTCTCATTTAATGGGGGACAAATGGGGACAAACAAATTACCTCAGCTTTTTTGTGGCAATTTCTTATGAAGATGATGATCAGCCGCATCGACTGCGGGTGGTTTCAAACATGGGTTTTAATGTGAAAAACCCTTGGATAAAGATCCCAACTGACTACAGCCACCATGCAGTTACTCTGTATTCGGTGCTTCTTGGGGATTCGCTGTGCTGGCAAACATATTCGGTGTGCTGGCATTTGGCTTGTCACATGTTTTTTTTTGACAACGGGCTGCTGCACCACATCTTGAAAAAGTGTGGTTGATCAGTCAGTCTCGATTTATCTTTTTGTGTAGTGCGAAGCTTTTGCTTCAAATTAGAAAATCCAGCGGAAGAAAAAGTTCAGTGGAATGGGCTGTATCTAGTCCCGCTTTTCTTCAAGAATGCACGAGCAAAGATTCCGCCACTATACTTGGTTGCTGATCAAAAATAAGGTTCTACTACCAATAAAGGTATACTCTTCAAACATGTCCGTGATTATCATCGCAATAAAAAAAAATGTGGGCACCTTTTGGTAAACCCCCAACCATCCATATCATCCATTTATAGATGGGGGTAGGTCAACCACCAACCAGATATTATATATGGTATTTTAGTCATCCATAGAGTTTGTAAACCCCCAATTTCGATAAACCATAGATTATCCATTAATATTAACCATAGATTAACCATAGATTATCCATTAATATTAACCATAGATTAACCATAGATTATCCATTAATATTAACCATAGATTAACCATAGATTAACCATTAATATTAACCATAGATTAACCATAGATTATCCATTAATATTAACCATAGATTAACCATAGATTATCCATTAATATTAACCATAGATTAACCATAGATTATCCATTAATATTAACCATAGATTATCCATTAATATTAACCATAGATTAACCATAGATTATCCATTAATATTAACCATAGATTAACCATAGATTAACCATTAATATTAACCATAGATTAACCATAGATTATCCATTAATATTAACCATAGATTAACCATAGATTATCCATTAATATTAACCATAGATTAATTAATATTAACCATAGATTATCCATTAATATTAACCATAGATTAACCATAGATTATCCATTAATATTAACCATAGATTAACCATAGATTAACCATTAATATTAACCATAGATTAATTAATATTAACCATAGATTAACCATAGATTATCCATTAATATTAACCATAGATTAACCATAGATTATCCATTAATATTAACCATAGATTATCCATTAATATTAACCATAGATTAACCATAGATTATCCATTAATATTAACCATAGATTAACCATAGATTAACCATTAATATTAACCATAGATTAACCATAGATTATCCATTAATATTAACCATAGATTAACCATAGATTATCCATTAATATTAACCATAGATTAACCATAGATTATCCATTAGTATTAACCATAGATTAACCATAGATTATCCATTAATATTAACCATAGATTAACCATAGATTAACCAACCATTGGAGGATCATTGGAGGCTTGGTCCATTAGAGGCTGCAGCTCGCCATTTCTTGGGGCCCAGGCGGATGGGATGATCCAATCGCGATGCCCGACGGCTCCACCCCCTGCGAGTTGGTCGCGAGTCTGGAAAAACGAATGGGCGGAGTTCGGTGGGACCGGTTGGATGGTTGGGACCAAACATTAATGGTGATTTAATGGGGATTTAATGGGGATTTAATGGGGATTAATGGTGATTAATGGGGATTTAATGGTGATTAATGATGATTAATGGGGATCTGGTTGGTGGTTTGGAACATGAATTTTATGACTTTCCATATATTGGGAATAATCACCATCCCAACTGACGAACTCATATTTTTCAGAGGGGTAGGTCAACCCCAAACCAGATATAATATGATCAAATGAAGCAGGAAGGTTGGAGATTTGGGAAGTAGCATCACGCATCTAGCTTGAATCATTCGCTTGAATCTGCTGGATGCTCAGCCATTGCTGGAGTAAGCACCTATGACTGTCCCTGTTACCAGTTCCAAGCGATTGCCGGACTAACATAGCTTGAAGCAAGTCATGATGGAAGTCATGATGACGTCATGTCCTGGCACTATCTTTGTTGAATGCCGTTGTGTTTTGCGGTTAAAAAAAATGGCTGGCTCTCACCATCAAGCCACCTTTTGAAGCCAACCGGCGGAAATCTGATGGACCAAGGTATCCACCAATGTTCACTGTGCAATCCCTGTATTTTAATGGCGCCATGGTCATCTATGGATAGTTTTTTGGGGTAAATTCCTATGTCGTTGAATTGCTGTTTATCTGATTGTTTTATGGTGAACTTCCAATCTTCTTCATGCTCAGTGTGCAACAATCTATGTTTTTTTTGAGAAGCTAAGTTGTGCAAAACTGCCGTCTTTGTCGTGTGGAAACCCTATTTTTTTGTTCCGTACACCCATTGATTGTCCCGGTGTGCCTCCCAAATTGGGGTACCGGAAGTTGTATGCCAGTTTCGACATTTATAGATGGTGAAAGCCGTATTGTTGTCGTTGAAAATCCCACAAGATAGTGCCCCATAGTAAGCTAAGTTGCTTTATAAGCAGATCAACTAGAATTTATGGTAGATGTATCAGATTCCTCTGATCAATGGACTTATAAACCAAATCACATTTCACTGGGTGCCACCATCTTGCAGGTTTTGCCAAACAAAAATAATCCGCAGTCAGTGGTTCCCTTAAATCCCATCAAGCACCATTAAACACTATAGATTGTGGAATATATATACGTATTATATATATAATTATATATATATGATTATTTATATATATATATACATATCCTATTCTTATCTCATGTTTGTTGGTTGTATCCCATACTAAATCACGATGTCCATCCCCATCAAAGTCCATTAAACCAAACCCCATATATTATGTTTTGTTTTGTCCATATAAACCATCACTATGATGTTTTGTGTTTTCCCATATAAACCCATCTAAATCCCATATATATATACATACATCCCACAAAACCCAAATACCATTTGTTTCCACATAAATACCATATAAATACCCCATATATGTATGGATATCCCATATATATATATAGATAGATAGATAGATATACGATATAAAGTGTGGTTTGACTGCGCAGGGCCAGTTTTTTTACTGCGATTTTTGGGATGTTGGCGGATTGCCCAAATGGCTGACCATTTTTTGTTTCCAAAACCCTGAACAGTAAACACAAAATCCTAGACCCTAAAACCTAAATCTGACATAACACCCTATAAGCCTTGAAAGTAACATGTTATTAGAACTGGGAAAACTAAATGAAAGCCTAGATTAAACCCTAAACACACCCTAAAAAAAAATATAAAGAAAAACAACTATAAAGAGTTGGTCACATGATAAACCTCTTGGCGACACCCCCGGCCTGGGGGTATATATATATATATATCCACTTACATAGTGTGTGTGGATCTTTGATGGGATTCACCTTGGGAATTATATGGGATATATATATATGGGTTGATATTTGGTGGATGGTTTTTGTTGGGGGGATTTTAGTTGGGGTTATTCATGGATATAACTATGGGATTTAAAATATCATAGGTTGGGATACACCCCCCTGTCCTGGCCGTATACATATATATATATATATTATATCTCTATATGTAGCCCATATTATAATTCCATATATCACCCATATAACCCCATTTTTGATCCAGTGCAGATCTTCACGGATGGGGATGGGATTTGCTCCAGGCTAGAGCTGCTCCGCCTGGCTGAGATCGGTTTCTCGGCTGCGAGCTATGCCTTGGCCCAGCAGACGTGCTGCCGGCCGGTTTTTCAACGAAGACGCGCGGTGGTTTCGGCCGTGGTTTTTTGAGGTTTTTTGGTTGGTTGAAAATCGGTTGGAAATGACTTAGAATGGATTTTACCGTGGCTTCTATGGGAATCTAAGGGGAAATGAATGTGAAATGTGCGATTCTAGTGGGATTTTAGTTGGTTTCTTTTGTAGGGACTTTGTAGGATTTGAAAGGATTTTATGGAATTTCATAGGATTTCAACTGGATTTGCTGTAAGAGGATTTAATGGGATTTATAACCAACCAAAACTGTTTGAATTTGATATGACCTCACATCGTGGCGTCACTGGAATGATGATGGTGATTCGGCCATTTTATTCAAGCAATTGACGGTAGAACCATGGAAATTATGGTGGTTTTTCACGTAATCTAAATATCAAGATGGTGACTTAGTTCATGGTTAGGTGCCTTGATTTAACCATCTATGGTGATTTTATGTGATTTTAAACAATAAGACTGATGGGATTTAATGGGTATATTTTGAGATTTTTCATGGGAATGATTAATCGTAACATGGTATGCCCACATCCCGAAACATGTTCTGGTTGGGTTTCGTAGGAGCCTGTTGAGGTCATTTTACACAGGACAAGGTGCAGGAACCTGCGGCCTGTATACCTTTTGTTGTAGCTTCATTTCACAGGTCTCAGTTAAAACCTCCAGATATACCATTTTTTATTATATCTGTTCAATATGTTTTTTCAGATTGTTGGGGACTGAGGTCATCCATGTTTTTGCCATTTTTGGGGGCCAGGTTTGGAAGCTGTCCGGCTCAACAAAGCCCACGGCCCAGAGTTGGGAGAGCTGGGGTTAGACGGTTAGACCTGTGCACGTGGGAGCTTGAATCTTTGCCTAAACGCGCTATGGACCAGGAAATGTTGATCCCATCATATAGGTGAACTCTGAGG